AGCAACACCACCAACAACAGGTGTTGGCGAGGATGCGGGGGAAAAAGGAACCCTCGTACACTGTTGGTGGGAATGTAAACTAGTACAACCACTCGGGAAAAAAATTTGGAGGCTACTTAAAAACTTGGACATCGATCTACCATTTGATCCAGCAATCCCACTCTTGGGGATATACCCAAAAGACTGTGACACAGGTTACTCCAGAGGCACCTGCACACCCATGTTTATTGCGGCACTATTCACAATAGCCAAGTTATGGAAACAGCCAAGATGCCCCACCACTGACGAATGGATCAAGAAAATGTGGTATCTATACACAATGGAATTTTATGCAGCCATGAAGAAGAACGAAATGTTATCATTCGCTGGTAAATGGATGGAATTGGAGAACATCATTCTGAGTGAGGTTAGCCTGGCCCAAAAGACCAAAAATCGTATGTTCTCCCTCATATGTGGACATTAGATCAAGGGCAAACACAACAAGGGATTGGACTTTGAGCACATGATAAAAGCGAGAGCACACAAGGGAGGGGTGAGGATAGGTAAGACACCTAAAAAATTAGCATTTGTTGCCCTTAACGCAGAGAAACTAAAGCAGATACCTTAAAAGCAACTGAGGCCAATAGGAAAAGGGGACCAGGAACTAGAGAAAAGGTTAGATCAAAAAGAATTAACCTAGAAGGTAACACCCACGCACAGGAAATCAATGTGAGTCAATGCCCTGTATAGCTATCCTTATCTCAACCAGCAAAACCCTTGTTCCTTCCTATTATTGCTTATACTCTCTCTTCAACAAAATTAGAAATAAGGGCAAAATAGTTTCTGCTGGGTATTGGGGGGGGAGAGGGAGGGGACGGAGTGGGTGGTAAGGGAGGGGTGGGGGCAGGGGGGAGAAATGACCCAAGCCTTGTATGCACATATGAATAATAAAAGAAAAAAAAAGTGATAAGGTATGGGTAATTTTCCTTATGTCTGACTCTAACCTCAGACTTAACATAAGAAAAAACACTGTAACTAAATATTGTGTGTTGAATCAGGCTCACTATCATGTTTCATTTGTGTTGCTTTTGTTATTCTGAGACCAGGTCTGGCTGTGTTGCCCTGGTTGTTCTCAAATTCATCGGCTCAAGTACTCCTCCTGCCTCAGCCTCCTGAGTAGCAGGTGGGATGAAAAGTGTGTGGCACCAATGCCTGGCTTATGTTATTTTTGTATTAGTTTGCTAGGACTGCCATAAGAAAGAGTCACAAACTAGGTGGCTTGAAACAGAAGATTACTGTCTCAGGATTCTGGAGGCTGGAAGTGTGAAAATCCAACACCGGCGGGGCTGAGCTCCCTCTGAGCCCTGCAGGAGAATCCTTACTGTCTCTGTGTAGCTGTCTCTGCCTTTTCCCTCGGTTTGCAGCTGGGTTGCTCCCTTCTGCCTTCACCATCACATGGCCTTTCCCTGTGTTCCATGTGACCGTCTTCTTACAAGAACAGTACTCAACATGACCACAGCTTAAGTTGACTGTATCTGCAATCACCCAATTTCCAGGTAAGATCACATTTTAAGGTACTGGGATTTAGGACTTCACCATCTGTATTTAATGGGCCAAAACGCAAACCCTAACAGCTGGTCTTGGGGCTGTATGGGGAGAAGGTGAGGGAAGGAATGCAGAGGCCAAAGTGATGCTGAAGCCTTCTGTGCACTGTGCTGCCTACCCAAGCCTTGCCAAAAGGTAGGGCTACTGTGCAGCGGTCCCTGAGAGCACAGTGCAGATGTTGCCCAAAGTTTCCATCCTGACCTCTTCTCAGGAATTCCCAGAACACCACCAGAGCTGGCTTCACACCTTTCCAGGTACATGCTTCAACTCACCACAGACTTCATCCCCAGACACTGTCCAGCAACCCTGCCCTCCCCAGGATGAGCAGCAGGCCTCGGCCATTGGAAAAAGTACTACAAAGGATCTTAGGAGCTCCCCACCCCCACCAGAGCACAGCCTGCAAGTCAGGGAGCTGGGGTGCAGCTTCTATTACTACTGTGCTCCACATGCCTGCTCCTGTTGTCCACCTGGGCTCCCCACCTTGCTGCCCTCTGAGAGTGTCAAGGACAAGCAGGTAGAATTGCTCTTGGAGAAGTCCAGCTGTTCGAAGGTCTCCTCAAGAGGTCACTTTTGAATTCTACACCTGTTGCTTACTCTACACCACTAAGCCTGTTAAGAATCTATTCACCCAAGGCCAGATTTTACCCCTGGATCAGTTACACCTTCAAGAGCCCTTTTTGTCCTGTGGGCAGGATTTATACTTTTACTTGTTCTCTGGACATTAATATGTAGCCCTTCCTTGTTTTTGTTCTGGTATGTTGTGCTATTAACCCACCCATGTCAGAGCAGCTTGCTCCTTCCCCAACACACCTTAGAGCATTTCTTGTCCTTTCCAGAGGCCAAGCAACTTTGTCCTAATTTCTAGAGTAGACTGTTTTCCTCCCTCCCTTCTTCCTTCTTTTCTCCCTTTCTCCCTCCCTCTTTTCTTCCTTCCCTCTCTTCCTTTTTTTTTTCTTCTTCTCTCTCTTTCCCTCCCTCTTCATTTTCTTTTTTTTTTTGTTTTGGAGACAGGGTCTTACTATGTAGCCCAGGCTGGCCTTAGCCCAGGCTGGCCTTAAACTACTGTCCTTCTGAGTGCTGGGATTACAGGTGTGTACCACCATGCCTGGATCTGCTGTTTTTTTTATTTGATGACACTACAGTCCAAATGCCAGATGACCTTTCTGCAAATATTCATTCTCCACTCTAGCCCTCACAGCACTTTTTTAAGAGCCATGAGCATTTTCTATAGATTCTGTACTGCTAAAGAATTCTTGCTTAGTATATTAATATGATTAGCCTGGTGGAATGTTTTTAACCTGACATCTTTGTTGGGATAATTATTTTCACATCATTTCCATGAGTTTTAGAAATGTGAATAGAAAGTTTTGCTTTCTTTTTTGCTGGGACTGGGGTTTGAACTAAAGTCTTCACACTTGCAAAGCAGGTGCTCTACTGTTTGAGCCACACCTCCAGTCCCTTTTGCTCTGGTTATTTTGAAGACTGGGGATCTTGCAAACTATTTCCTTAGGCTGGCCTCCAACTGCAATTCTCCCAATCTCAGTCTGTCAAGTAGCCAGGATTACAGGCATGAGCCACTGGTGCCCAGCAGGTTTTGCTTTCTTAATACACCATCCTTGAGCTGTTTTTCTGTTGACTCCAGGCCCCAGAGAGGTCTGGCTAAGAAAGCCAGTCAGACTCCTTTCTGGAGGTCAGTTCCCCTGGCCCTCACAGCAACAAGTGTTTTCTGGAAAGTGGGAAAGAGAAATCTAGGATTTGGGTTAAAACAATCACTTTCTCTCCAGCCAGGAAGATGTCATTCTTTGACGTTGCTTCAGCTGACCTCAAAGAGGAGGTAGCAGGATGTCTGACTTGGGGCATGAGGAACAATCCTGCTTCTTTTCATAGGTCACCCCATGACATCCACCTCACAAGGAACACACAGTAGAGTCAACATTACACTATGCCCTGGATTCTAGAATTTGCATACCACCGAAAGGCTAGTCTAATTTCTGGTCACTCTGGAAGGGCTCCCTGGGCCTACTGGGCTGGGTTTTAGAGGACAGGCTGGCTTCCCACTTTACGGGATTCAACTCCCAATATTATACCTTCCCTCTGCACCCCTACCCTTCAAGGGCAGGTAAGAGAAGCAGTTGCCTGGGGATGAGATACAAGGAGGGGCTAAGTGTCTCTGTGATAGAGATAAGAAATGCAAAATTTTAAAAAAAATCAGATCAGCAAACCAAGGCCAGCTACTAACTAACTGCTTTTATAGAGGAGGTTTTCGGGGCTGGGGTTAGGGTGAGAAGGGAGGCGAGTCCTGCAAACTCGGGGGTGTGGTAATGCTGCATTTGTAATTTTGCTGTTTTGCTCCTTAAGGACACATTTGCATTCATTTTGATTTTTAAAAATATTGCACTATGGCCAGGGCATGTAAGCTCAGCTAATTAGGAAGCAGGAATCTGGCTCAAGTGGTATAGCATTTGACCAGAGGCCATGAGTTTAAAATCGCAGTACAGCCAGGAAAAAAAATAACTAAATATTGATGTTGAGGTTTTTGTTTCATGAACTCATACATTTTGCAACCAAGGCAAGTGCCTTTCACTTGAACCTCTTTTGGGTCCAGTGAAAATACCTAGAAGTCTACAAAACCTCACCTTCCTCACCCATGACTCCTGAGTTAGGAGCCAGCAGTCCCGACAGGGGTCAGTGCTCACACCTGTAATCCTACCTAATCGGGAGGCTGAGATCGGGAGGATCTCAGTTAGAGGCCAGCCCAGGCAAAAAGTTCGTGAGACCCCATCTCCAAAATAACCAGAGCAAAGTGGGCCGTAGGTGTGGCTCAATGGATAGAGCGCTGCCCGGCTTTGCAAGTGCGAAGTCCTAAGTTCAAACCCCAGTCCCACCTAAAAAGCTGAGTCGGGCAGAGTCCACCCTGGGCCCCCAGAAGATCTGCAGCCCGCATGAGGGATATCTGAGCTCCCGGCCTCCGCGCCCTTCGCCCTTCTCAGGATGCACGGTGACCTTCTGCAAATTGTCCAGCTTTCCCTGTCTGCCGGCTGCGCCTCCACGCCACCTCCCGCATCTTTGGCCCGGCGGTATACGAGCGCGGGGACCCATGGGTAGCCGGTCCATCCCGTCCTCCCACCTCCAGCCAGGTCCCTATCGCCTGCACCCCACCCTCCCGTCCCAGCCAGCATTCCCCGGCCTCGTGCGGCGCGCCTGCGCGCTGCGTCAGTTGCCAGCGGGAGAAACAGCCCGGCCATACTCAAGTCCACACGCGGAAGGGCGTGGAAGCGCGAAAAGGCTCCCGCGCGCAGTGCGCAGGCGCAGACGCTCCGCCCCGCTGTCCAGGCGCCGCGCGGGCGGGGGCGCTCGGAGCGCGGCGAGTGGTCGCCCAGGGGTGGGCCGTGCAGGCCGGAGGGCGCGGCTCGGGGAGGCCGGCCCGATGGGGCGGGACTCGGCGGGCGAGGAGGGGCGGGCGGCGCGACGTCCACGCCCCGCGCTCGGGCCGGACCGGGAGGGTCTTCGGCTCTCGGCTGGGCTGGCGGGTGAGGTGCTCGGGTCCGAAGCGGCGCCATGCGCGGCGCCCCTGCCTCGCCGCTGCTGCTGCTGCTTGCTTGGCGGGGCCCAAGTGCCCGCTCACGGACCTCGGCAGCCCGCGCGTGGACCCAGGGCGCCCGCGCGCGGACCTCGTTGGCCCATGAGTGGCCTCGTTGCCCATGAGTGGACCCGCCCGCGACCTGACCCATGAGTGGACCCAGGGCGTCCGCGCGCGGACCTCGTTGGCCCATGAGTGGACCCTGGTCGCCCGCGTCCCCGGGCCCCTGCCGGCGCGGCCGGGGCTGCCGGGCGGCGCAGGCCTCGCGCGGGCGCTGGGGCGGTGGGCCGGGTCCTCCGGTGCTCTCCGGGGCGCGGTACTGGCCGGACCTCTCGCTCCGCGCCCTCCGCGCACCCGGCTCCAGGGCGGCTCCGCGGCCGCGGCCCGGGCGGGAGATCCCGGGGACAACTCGCGGCGACGCCTCGCGGCGGCCGGGCGCCCGGAGGCCTGGAAGCTCCTGGGGCTGGTGCGCCCCGAGCGCGGGAGGCTGGCAGGTAGGAAGGAGCCCGCAGGAGGGCGAAGGGAGGGCGGCACCTGCCGGGGGCCTGTCCCGCTGCTGTCTTAGCGCGCCCAGAGGACGGCAGGGGCTTTACTGCAATCTCTGGATCGGTCCCCGCCAGCGTCCCTCCTTTAAGAAAAATAATTTGACCAGAAATATGCCTACTTTGTATTATGCATTTACACTGTTTTTAGAAACGTTACTGGTTAGGCAACCTTATCAAGCGGTCAGCAATAGTTCACACGGTGAAGCCATCTGAACTCCCCGCCCCCAGGCACCTCACAGGCTATTTCCCTAAGTGGGGAGCAGTGGTAACTACTGGGGCCGGCCTTGGACCGGAAAGGAGAAACTAGAGTGTAATCCAGCTGAATCGTGATGGAGTAACTTCTGTGACAAAGAAATCAGGATGGTTGGTTTTAGAAACAACTTCCAGATACTACAGCTCCTTGTTTTCAGCCATAATCGAAGGGGTGCCTGGTAAGATCCAGAGATTTTTTTGAGGGTTTTCTAAACCTTCATTCCTCCTATAAAAATGGGTTGCAACCTCCTGCGAGGTTTCGCCGGCAAGTCATAACACATGGGATCCTGTTCCTGTTGGTGTGAAGAAACTAAGTAAGTCTTGTGATTGGTGATAGAACCTGAGGTGGTGATGAAGGCTTTGAAAGAGGCCTGTGAGGTTGTCGTGTCACACTGGAAACGGGAGGGAAATCCACACTCCTTGCTGTGCTGCTTGCACTCCGAGCCCCCCTGGAGAGAGATTAGGGACTTGGAGCAAGTGCACCCATCTGCCTGCACAGGAGAGCTTAGGAGGACTCTGGGTGCGCTTAGGTATCAGAAGAGTTAACTTCACTCTTTGGGTGTTTGCTACAGATTTGGATGAAAAGGCTCCTTTTGTCTGCTGTCTTATTTAAAGGATAATTTTGAGACAGTGGGTCTCAGGACTGAGCTGCTGAGACAGGCTGTGTCTGATTCACTGTCCTGAATCGTGCTCTTGACTCAAGTTCAGCAGAGCCTGGAGTGTGTCAGGGGAGCAGATCCTGCCAGGCCCAGATGGAACCTATTGACCCTGGGCACTACAGGGTGTGTCTAGACCCCACGTGTGGCTGGAGTCTGCAGAAATTCAGTGTTCTTTCTGAAACTTTAGGTGCCAAGGTTTCAGGTATCAGGCTTTGCTGGCGCCACTCCTCAGCCCTGCCTGTCCATGACCATTGTCCCTGTGACCTCTTACCTGTCCCCGCATGTCCTGCTGTGCCATCGTGCTATGAAGCCTGCCTTAAACAAGGCAGGAACTGCACCTGTGCCCATTGTAATAGCCATTCTGGCCTGCCTTTGAAACATCAAACACATGGTTTGAGAAATAATACTGAGGTTGCCACATCTTTTTTTTTTGAGACAGTCTACCCAGCCCAAGTTGGCTTTGAACTTGTATGCCTCAGCCTATTCCAGTTGCTGGGATTGTTTTACTTTTTAAACAGGTAGTAAGGGCACATTTTGTTTTAAGGAAATCTAATGAAAATCCCTTCTTAAAGTGTATTATGGTTTCCTCACCATTAAAGTCAGTCTGGATGATGGTGTTTGTGGGAGTAAGAGGAAATGGGATCACTGTTAATTTTTTTTTAATTTAGTTGAGGTTAATTTATGTAAACTATTATAGATTTTTTTTTTTCCTGTGGTACTGGGGATTACATCTGGGACCTTGGAAGTGCTCCATCACTTGAGCTGTGCCCCAGCCTGTCACTGTTAACTTGTAACTGGTTTTGCTAAGAGCAGCCTCAGGCTTAGCAAGTCTGAAATGCTGCATGTACAGAGAAGTTGTGTGTGTTTGTGTCTTTAAGTAGAAATTTAAAAAAACCAAGGTGAAGAGAAGGAATTCCAACATTAATTTTAGAGAAAACCCACAAATCTTTTTTTCAAAAAAAAGATTTTTTTTTTGTATTTGAATCATAACCCCTTCCATCCACCTTCAGCAGTGTGGTTAGAAAACTTTGACGTTAAATGATTTGTGTCAGAAACTTGTAAAATAGAACTTACTGTTAGAAATGACCTCGCTTCTCCCCGGGGACCTGTCCCTGTAACCTGCTCCTTCAGTTGCAGTTGTGTTATCCTTGGCCTGCAGAGCTGCCCCTGAGTCCTTTCGCACTGATAAATCTTCCTCTTATCACTTTGGCCACAAGGAGTCTCAGAAGAGGCAGGAGCAGGGTGTGTACTGGGCAGGCAGAAGACTCTTGGTCAGGCTTCCCATGTGCCTGGCAGATAGCATCCAGGGCTCAGCCCTCGCCGAGAGTGGTGGGCCTCAGGGCTCTCTGCCCCAAGAAGCTCTTTCCAGCCTGGAGGTCCCTGGTGTGCTGGGCGCTGGTCTTGGCGGCAGCTTACCAGGCAGGTTCCTAGCTGGACTGTGGTTAGACGGAATGGAACTCTACCCTGCATCCACTTCCCACTGCCGTGTGCAGGACTCGGGGCTGCTCCCCATCTTGAAGTACTGATAAGGGGCTGGATGGTCTGATACCAGGAAGTTCTTGGAACCTGGTGCCTGCCTACAGTGTTTGCTGAGTTTGTGGGTGTCTTTCACAAAGATGCCATAGAGTGACCATGTGAACTCAGCTATCACCCTTGTGGGCACAGGGAACCTGGAGAGAATGGACAGTGCCTGAGTGACCATGTGAAATGTGGCTGGGTGAAATTGACCAAAGCATAAAACGCACAGCAGATTCTCAAAAGACAGAAGAAACAAGATGTGAAATACCATTTTTTTTTTTTTTTGCAGTGCTGGGTCCTTGTGCATGCTAAGCAAGTGCTCTACTACTGAACTACATCCCAGAGCCTTTGTCTTTCTTCCTTCCTCCATCCTTCCCTTCCTTCCTTCCTTCCTTCCTTCCTTCCTTCCTTCCTTCCTTCCTCCCTTACTCCCTCCCTCCCTCCTTCCTTCCTTCCTTCCCTCCTTCCCTTCCTTCCTTCCTTCTCTCCTTCCTCCCTCCCTCCCTCCCTCCTTCCTTCCCTCCTTCCTTCCTTCCTTCCCTCCTTCCTTCCTTCCTTCCTTCCTTCCTTCCTTCCTCCCTCCTTCCTTCCTTCCTTCCTTCCCTCCTTCCCTTCCTTCCTTCCTTCCCTCCTTCCTCCCTCCCTCCCTCCCTCCCTCCCTCCTTCCTTCCCTCCTTCCTTCCTTCCTTCCCTCCTTCCTTCCTTCCTTCCTTCCTTCCTTCCTTCCTTCCTTCCTTCCTTCCTCCCTTCTTCCTTCCCTCCTTCCCTTCCTTCCTTCCTTCCCTCCTTCCTCCCTCCCTCCCTCCCTCCTTCCTTCCTTCCCTCCTTCCTTCCTTCCAGACTGGGGTTTGAACTCAGGGCTTCATGGTTGCAAAACTGGCACTGTATTGCTTGAGCCACTCCTCCAATACATTTTGCTCTGGTTATTTTGGAGATGGGGGTCTTGCAAAATATTTGCCCTGCTGCCTTCAAACTGTGATGCTCCCAAGCAGCTAGGATTACTGGCATGAACCACCAGCACCTGGCTAGGATTATTATTAATTTTTTTTTTGATGGTACTGGGTTTGAGCTCAGGGCCACATGCTTGCTTGCTAGGCAAGTGCTTTACCACTTGAGCCACTCCTCCAGCCCTCTTTTTTGTGTTGATATTTTTGAGACAGGGCCTCCAGAACTATATGCCCAGGCTGACTTCAAACCGCAATCTTCCTGATTTCTGTCGCCTGAGTAGCTAAGATAACAGACATGAGCCACTATTGCCTAGCCAAAATTAATTTTAATTAATTGTAAGTTACATAAGTGACTCCCACTGTCTGCCTATTGAGCAGTGCCATGGTCCAGGGTGAGCCCCTGTAGCTCATAGAGCGGGTTTGCCCAGGTGTGGGCACATGGACAGTGTGGGCAGAGGCAGCAGGCGCACTGAGCTGCACCTGCAACTTGTGATCACTCCTTGAACCTGAGATGTCTCCCAAACTCTGTGTTTCCTGCTCTGCTTCTCATCTTCAGCCCTCAAGTCTTCACTTCCTTCCCTGCCCAGCTCAGACTTACTTTGCCTCAGTCTCCATCTTGTACCCACCCTCAACCCTGTGCCCCTCCCCACCCCCTCAATTATGACCATGCCTTCCTGATTCCTGAAATCCTGTGTCTGAAGACAAGTTACTGTCCTCTCCAAAGCTGCTGCTCCTGTTGTATTCCTGGTCTCAGCAGGGGAACTTCCATGACCCCTTACCCAGGCCCTAGGGGTCACTGCTGCTGTAAAACAGTAGTGGTGCTAACAGTGATAGGTGGTTTGTTTACTAGAACCTAATCTCTGTGCCAAATTCTTTGACATGGTGTCCGATCTGCATCTCACATCAGTCCCATAGGGGAAGTATTGGTTTTATTGCCAGTTACAGATAAAGAAACTGAAGCACAGTGGAATCAAGTGACTCAGGGAAGGTCAGACAGCTCAATGAACCATGGGTACCTGGCAAACTTTACATATTTTAAATTAATTAAAAAGTAAACCTGAGAGGGGATATCCTGGGGTGAGTTTGCATTCAGTTAAATTCCTTCTTTTGTAATGAGCATCAGTACTGTGTAAGACCTGAGTCAGACCAGGGCATTTCATTCATGAAATACAGGTTCTTGCAGCTATTTTAAAAACTGGAGGATGGGAGGGCTGGCTTTCATAGTGCTTCCTATATATTGTACTTTTGGAACAACTTTGGACTGACCCTCTGTCGCCAGGAAGACCTCTCTGAGTTCATCAGGAATGAACTGTGCAGAGCCAGAGTTGGACCTTCCCCCTCTCATTGACCACAAGAGCATGGTGCTTAGATGCTTAGCTTTACATCAAAAGGAAATGGTCCTGGCCAGGTTCATATTACTAGTTGTATTGAGATTATGGGTTTTAAACCTGGCACATGGTATGCAGACTTTCTGGGCAGCAGGCAGGTCTGATGTTCCTTGTTAGGCCGGTTGAAGGATTTTGCTCTGATAAGATGTTACTGCACCTGTGCAGTTCATTCATTCATTCCACATGTATCAATGGAGCTTTTGCTGTGTGCTGTCCCTGGGGGGGGGGGGCGGTGGGATACAGCAGTGAGCAAAGCAGACCAAAATTTTTTATATCCTAAGAGAGACAGAGACAGTAAAGCAGTGACATGTTAGGAAAACCTAGGACTCTAAGGAAGAGGGAGAGAGGTGAGCAGTTTCAGGTGTCTGCATTTTATTTATTTACTGTTTTAGTGGGATTAGGATTTGAACTCAGGGCTTCTTTGTGCTTTCAAAGCAGGTGGTCTATGGCTTGAGCCACGCCTCTGTTCCATTTTGCTCTGGTTATTTTGGAAATTGGGGTCTTGCAAACTGTTTGCTTGGGGTGGCCTCAAACCGTGATCCTCCCGATCTCAGCCTCTGGTGCCCAGCTAGGTATCTGCATTTTGGTGAGGCAGAGGGGAAAGGTGTTGGGGAGAAAGACCTCAAAGCATGTTCTCTGCTTAAAAAGCTGTTTCTCCAGACATCTGCTTTCCAACCCGACCTCCAGCTGGTGCTGAGTTTGCTCTGTGCTCCTTATTAAGCTCATAGAAAAGTTACACCTTTGAGTGAAGTGTGAGCATCAGCTGCACAGCAAGCAGAAGCAATTGCCCTTTGCAGAGAACTCCTGCCTCCCGGGTGGGGCTCAGTCTGGGTTGTATCCAACTGGGACCCTCACCATGGACCTGATACACACAGTACCAAACCAAAGGAGTCCAATGGAGGAGAAGCTGCCCTGCACCTAAGTCACCTAGGGCCACTCTTAGAAGGAATCTGGGGGTTGGTGAAGTGGCTCAAGCGGTAAAGCATCTGCTTAGCAAGTGTGGGGCCCTGAGTTCAAAAGCTCAGTACCATCAGAAAAAAAAAAAAAAAAGACCTCACAAATGTTAACGTTTGTGTCCTGGACTTTTATTCATTTATTTTATTTTTCGATGGTACTAGGGTTTGAGCTTAGGGCCTCACGCTTGCTAGGCAAGTGCTCTTCCTCTTGAGCCATCCACAGCCCTTGTCCTGGACATTTTAAAAACCAACGGTAGATTGATTGTTCCATGTCGATACCTAGAGACACCTCATTCTTTCTAATGATTGCTTAATGCTTATAAAATAAGTACTCCATCATAGGTTCAGCCTGTCCCCTGTTGATAGATATTTAGGGTACCTTGGTTTGCATTCCTCTTATTAGTGCATTATCTGTGATAAGTGTTCTTCCCAGGATTTTCTAGTAAGACTAGCCCTTCTGTCTTTTTTTTCTTTTTTTGGTGGTATTGGGATTTGAATTTAGGGCTTTGTGCTTGCTAGACAGGTGCTCTTCTGCTTGTACCATGCCTCCAGCCCTTTTTGCTCTGGTAATTTTTAAGATAGGATCTCACTTTTTTTTTGCTGGGCTGGCCTAGACCACAATCCTCCTGATCTCAGTCTTCTAAGAAGCTGGGATTACAGGCATGAGCCACTGGTAGCACTGGCTCCCTGTCTATTTGAAAGTTCTTGGAGCAAGTAAGTTTCTGTTTATTCTCATCCTGAGATCCAGGTGCCTTATTCCACAGAGCAATAACACTAAAGCAGGGGCATGCCACGTGTGTCATGGATCCCAGGACCTGCTCTCCAAAGGGTATTTAGAGTACTCTGAAATACTAGACAGAATCCAGAACCTTACCTGGATCATCTGACCTTCAACATAAAGTACAGTTAGACACCAAGCAATACTGGTGTGTAGCAGGAATGCGAGAAAGCATGATCTGAGATGATACCAAGTGGAGCGACGGGGAGGGAGGACAGAACAGATGGCTGTGGTGGCTGTTTTGGCTGTTATTCCTGTGAGAAACAAATGATGGGCTCAAAAAGTCCTCCTTTCTGGCCAGGGACACTCCCTCCATCACACTTGTCCTGCTTATTCTCAGTCTGTAGTTGGGTCTAGGGGCAAAGGGGAAGAGAGCCCTGGCCATGAGCACAGTACCTCCTCTTGGCTACAGTGGTGTCGAATGAGGCATATGCCTGTCTTCCAGCTGCTGTTGGGTTTCTGGCCATGTCCAGTGTCATCACCATGTCTGCCCCTTTTTTCCTGGGGAAGATCATTGACGTCATCTATACCAACCCCACTGCGGACTACAGTGACAGCCTGACCCGCCTCTGTGTGGGTCTCACTGGTGTGTTTCTGTGTGGTGCTGCTGCCAATGCCGTCCGTGTCTACCTCATGCAGTCTTCAGGTCAGTCTCACTGGGGCGGGGGGGCGGCGAGTAACCCCAAAGAAGGGGTGGGGAGCTTGGGTGTGAGGGGCCTCAAGTCTCACTGCTCCAGGCCAGGATGGTGTTGTAGGTTGTTCTGGATCAAGGGCTCTCTTCTCAACTCTTTTGCATAGTTGGGGCTGAGATGTGGAGGAAACACCACATCTGTCTGTCTTCCGGAGGTCTGAGAGCAAGGCCATGGTAGATTCTGGGTTTTTCCAAAGAGCTGCAGAACCCTTTTGTCTGCCCTAGTCTGGGAACTTTCCAGTTAGCAGGCAGATACTTCCCTCAATGGTGAGAGAACCCAGGACACCACTGCAAGTCCACTTAGCTAAAAGGATTGTGACAATTAACCAGTTCCTGCCATTGGAAAATCTAGTACAGAAAAGACTTGCTAGCAAATCCACTCTTGGAAATTAATGTGGTAAACTTTCTTGGTAAGTGATATGTGTTAAAGGTGTCTGGGTCTTGATGTGTTTATTTTACTGTGTCCATAGTCTGGTTACTAAGAGGAAGCCAGTGATTACAAAGGTGTGGCCGTTAACATGCCAGGGCCAGGGTGAGTCCCTCTCAGTCAGATCCTCGCAGCAGATGCACAAGCTGCAGCACTTGGGCTCTTGGTGCCAGGTGGTGGCCCACCAGAGGGCCGGCACTGTGCCCAGGGCAGCCGCTGCGCCTTACCCACTGGGGGCTGCTGTTTGCCTTGTAGGTCAACGCATCGTGAATAGGTTGCGCACATCACTCTTCTCCTCCATTCTGAAGCAGGAGGTCGCTTTCTTTGACAAGACGCGCACTGGAGAGTTGATCAACCGCCTCTCTTCGGATACTGCACTGCTGGGACGCTCGGTGACCGAAAACCTCTCAGACGGGCTGCGGGCTGGGGCCCAGGCCGCGGTCGGAATTGGCATGATGGTATGGTGGCCTCTTCTCCTTGGTGCCTTCTGGGGTGTCTGGGCTTTCAAATGTGAGAGGGGTTATGACAAGCTGTTGTCATTCTGTAAGTGCTCGGGGGGATGGGGAGGTGAGAGATGTGGGAGAGGTGGACAAGACGACTATCCTGGAGTTGCGGGGATGGATATAGTTGCAGGATGGGAGAACTGCCCATCCTGCCTGCCTCCTGGTCTCCATCCCTCCAGAATGAGTGTTATCTGGAGAATGGCTTCCTCCATTTGTTCTAGGCTGTCTGAGGATAGTGAGCCATGTGTCAGGAGTGTCAGGTGGGCCAGGTGCAGTGGTTCGTGCCTATAATCCCAGCACTTGAGAGGCTGAGGCAGGAGGATGGAGAGTTCAAGGTCAGCCTGGGCTACATACAAGACCCTGGTTCAAAAAAAAAATTACCACTGAAGTATTTCACCTTTTTTCATATTATGACTTCAAAATCTGGTGTATATTTTGAACTTAACATCTCAATCTGGATGCACAATAATCACTGGAAATGTTTGATCTGTATTTCGATTTCCTAAAGTTTGCAACTAAAAAAGTTTGACTTACCCAAATTTTCCAGGCATAGTTGTTTGCCAGTAACTGAGTGGAGTATTGTATTTTAAACTTAATTAAAGTTAGTAAAATTAAAAGTTGATCTTCTCTGTTATACCTGTGCATTTCAAGTGCTGGTGGGCATATTGACAGAGTGGACCTGATAGTCTGACTTAGCAGATGGAAAACAGCTTTGAAATCTTGTTTTCCCAGAGAAAAGAAAAGGAAGCCCTAGGAAGATCCTCCCTGTACTTCTGTGTTTTCCAAATATGAACAGTTCTGGGTCTTCGGGAGAGGTAAAGCCAGGGAAACCCCTTTTTGCAACATTGAGAGAGAGTGCCATCTGCCAGATGGCCTGTCTTGGTGAGCTTGGGTTGCCAGAACCAGGCACCACAGACTGGGGATCAAAGAACAGACATCTGTTTCCCATAGTTCTGGACGCTGGAAGTCCAGGGCCATCTTGAGACCTCTTCTCTTGGCTTGTAAGTGGCCAGCATCTTGCTTGTGAGGTGAAGAGAGTGTTCTGGTCTCTCTCCCTGGAGATGCTACCCTCATGGAGCAGGCCCTTGATCTCGCTCAACCTTGTTTTCACTCACAGCTGCCCTGGGAATCTGGGATTCAGCACATGAATTTGGGGAGACTCCAACAGTTTACAGTGGGCCCCATATGCTGGCATCATTGGGTCAGATCTTGAGCCAGGAGGAGCAGAATGTGGCTTTTTTCCTCGCACAAGTTCCCTGGGCCTCCTTATGGTGATCCAAACCATGAGAGCCTCACTGTGCTGCACCATTCTGGTGCCTCCTTCTAAGATCTGTATTTCTGCCATTCTGCTCCTTTCCATCTGGGACCCTGTGTTTGACCCAGGTTATTCATGTAGCCTGGAGGCAGGCAGATGAGCGGGGTGGTCCTGGGCTCCTCACCTCAGCCAGGGAGGAACTCCATGGATTGCCTGCCCAACCATGGAGGACATATCAGACAGATGACATGCTCCCAGAGGCTTGCCCTGGTGTCCTGGGGACTGTGCTCAGGGTGGCTTATTCCTGCTTGCTCCTGTGAAGGGCCCAGCACCTTCCTGCCTCGAGGCCTCTGTGCACCTGCTCTTTCTTCTTAGAGGCCTCAGAGACCAGATCATACCTGAAGTGATTCTGTTCTTTTTCCTCCCACATCCTGGTGGGTTATCTCCCCAGGGCCAAAACAGTGTTTCCTAATTTGGGCACTTAGTAACAGTTTGTGGGTGAGAAAATGGATGATCAGGGTTGGGATGTTGCTCAATGGTAGAGCACTTGCCTAGCATGTGTGAGGCCCTGGGTTTGATCCCCAGCACCAAAAAAGAAAAGACAGAAAAAAGAAAATGAATAAATAATTGGTCGGTTTGCCCATCACTCTGCACTGCTGTCTGCAGCACTTCCCCAGCATTTTAGGAGACCTAGCACCAATTGCATGATTTTCCTGTAAATGAAATTTGGCACATTTTAATATTGTACTGAAGAGATGCTATTTGAAACAATTGCCATATTGCCGAGTTGACAAAAAAGCTGTCTGTTACTAGTTATTCTTTGAGTCACTGGCGTTGTCAGAAGGCCCTCCACATGTGACCCAGATGTGTCCCCGTGGCTCTAGGCTCAGCCATGGAAGCAGCTGCCTCTGTCACGGTCACATAGTGACCTCTCTGAGTTGGGCGCTTCGTTGGGACACATCACTCTGGTTGTTCAGTGACTAGAACTGGCATTAGATATTAGTCTGGCCAGCCTGGAGCAGAATGGGCCTCCCTGCGGGATTCTGTCCTGTCTTCCTCTGCTGTTGATGTGTAGTCAGTCAGGCCTGAGGGTGAAGCGTCTCCATCTTGTCTTCAGTGGCCCCTGCCACGCTACTTCTCTATGGTGTGCTGCATGTTCTTGGGGTTTTATGAAGGTCAAAGATGTCTGAGGCTCATCTTGGAGGCAGTGCCTTGCAGCTACGTCTTTATGCACTGGCAGGTGTTGAGAATATCTTGCTCTCCATGTAACAAGTGCTCTTGACTTTTGTTCTGGCAGTTTTTTGTCTCACCTAGTCTGGCCACCTTCGTCTTGAGTGTGGTCCCTCCAATATCCATCCTTGCAGTGATTTATGGACGATACCTGCGGAAACTGTCCAAAGCCACACAGGATTCTCTGGCACAAGCCACACAGGTAATGGACCTTTCCATGCACGCAGTGTCTGGGGCAAAGGGCTTACAGCAAGAACTGGAGGTCAGAATGCAGGATGTGCAAGCTGTTCAAAGAGTGCCTTCCTTTCCTCATGTTAGGTAGGACTCCATGGTCCAGAAAGAAAGCGCTTGGCCACTGGAGTCAGTTCCCACCCGTCCAGCTTGCCTCCGCACTGTGCCAACTTCTTATGCTCCCAGAGGACAAGTTAAGAGTTTGGCAGTGATTTCTAGATTGCACTGCCTCCTTCACGGATTCGGTAAAGACTACTGTCTTTCCAAAACCTAAATTTTCATGTTGCAAGCTCTGTGCTTGTTTGTCATTGAAAAAATGTGACAATAAGCCAGGTGCAGACTGCACATGTGTAGTCCACCTATTCAGTAGGCCAAGGCAGGAGGATCACTTGAATCCAAGAGTTCAAGATCAGCCTGAGCAATATAGCCAGACCTCATTTCATGTATCATCATCTATCTATGATGTACAGCTATTTCCCTATTAATATCTATCATCTGTATCTTTCTTTATCATCTGTGTCTGCCTGTATCTATCGTCTATCTATCTATCATCTATCTATGTCTATCATCTATCATTTAGCTATCATCTATCATTTATGTATCATTTATCTATCATCTATCTATCATTTATCTATCTGTTAATGTATCATTTATCTATCATCTATATTTTATCTATCATCTATCATTTATCTGTCTATCATTTATCTATGTCATGTATCTATCATTTACCTATCATCTATCATCTATCATATGTTTATCATCTATCATTTATCTCTTTTTCTATCTATCATCTATCTACACATCCATCCGTCTAGCTGTCTGTCTGTCTATCTATGTAATCTATCTCTCCCTGCCTGCTTAGCCTCCTGATATGTGGCTGGCTTTTTCAATGGTAGCATTGTTTGGTGTACTCTGCTTTATACCTTTCTTCTGATGTAGTCATGTTTCATGAGTGGCCTTTCAAGGTAGCATCTTAGATGAGAATCACCCTTTAATTTTGCTGTAGTGTGTGACTCTCCTCCCCTGCTGTGCTTCTCATCCTCACAGTTAGCTGAGGAACGCATTGGAAACATCAGAACCGTCCGAGCTTTTGGGAAAGAGATGGCGGAAGCGGAGAAGTACGCCAGCAGTGTCGACCACGTGCTGCAGCTAGCAAGGAAGGAGGCCCTCGCTCGGGCAGGCTTCTTTGGAACAGTAAGTCGGTTGTCCTGGAGAGTTAGTGCAAATGCTGTGATTGTGAGAGATTTTTATTTGTGACTCTTGCCACCAACTTGCTTCTTCAAGCCTAAGAATGACTTAGACTTTAAAGTATTGTGAAAGAAGAGGAAAACAAGTAAGCGTGATTTTGAAAAAGGCAGCATGTGAGGTCAGGTGCTGGTCCTCAGTGTGGAGCTGGGTGGCTTTTTTTTTTTTTTTTTTTTTTGTGGGACTGGGGTTTGAACTCAGGGTGGTTTCATGCTTGTCAAGCAGGTGCTGTCCTGCCTGAGCCACACCTCCAGTCTGGGCAGGTTTTTGAGCTCCCCCTGGTGCTGGGCAGCTGTGTGCATTCTCAGTTCTCAGTTCTGTGTCCTTAGGAGCCGGGGCCACAGTGTGTTTACACAGTCTCCTGATGCAGGCCAACCTGACATCTGCTGAGAAGTAAACCAAATAACTTCAGCACGTTTCAAGAAAGAAGTAGAAAAAATTGGTCACAAAGTATGCAAATTGGGCACTGAGAAAATTTCCAATGAGACAAATTGATGATGTGCCCAAACTGGAAGGAACCCTAGAGGCAATTCAGTCATTGTCATCATTAGGAAACTGGCTCAGAGGCCCTCACCAGAGACCACATGGCTTTTGAGGGCTACAGACCCTCAGTATGGAGAGCACCTCACCAGCACATGGACACAGAAGACTTCTACTCACTTCCTCTAGCTAAGGAGGGATGCAGTGTCACTTTTCCCCTGTGCTAGCTGAGTACATGGGTAAAGCAGTAGCTGTTGGGTGGCTTAGCATTTACATTCTCAAGGTGATGAGATTAATTCCTTCAATGTTGCAAATATTTCAAAATTTTTTTGTTTGAAATTCAGGTGAAATTTAATATCTGAAAAGGAAACCATGTGTTCATGTGTTTGACTCCTGAGAGGTCTCTGGTCCTGCCTGATTTCTGTGTTTTCTTCATCCCACAGACTGGGCTCTCTGGGAACCTGATTGTGCTCGCTGTCCTGTACAAGGGAGGCCTGCTGATGGGCAGTGCCCACATGACAGTGGGTGAACTCTCTTCCTTCCTAATGTACGCTTTCTGGGTTGGATTAAGCATTGGAGGTATATAATTTAAATAGGCTTGGGGAGTTACATATTAAAAAATAGGTTTTCAGCTGAGTAAACATTTCCTACAATGTTGTTTCAGCTGCACTTTTAAAGAAAAAATGAAGTTGTAAGAGTAGGCAATGGGTCCTTTGTTGGGGCTCTGCTGAGTATGGTAGATAGAGACCCATAGTTCTACAGTGGTGATGGTTTCATGATTGGCAAGTCACTGGGGAATAAAATTTCTTTCATACATGGTCAAAACTAATGAGCAACCAAAGAATATTGATAAATTATGATGCTCATGAAACAGAATTGCTTGCTTTTGTCAAGAACATCATAGAGCTGGCACTGTAGTGTGTACCTGTGGTCACAGCTACTTGGGAGACTGAGGCAGGAGGATACTGGAGCCCAGAAGTTGGAGCCAGCCTGGGCTACATTGGGAGACCCTGTCTCAGAGAGAGACTCAGAGATAGAGACTCTTGGAGTTTATTGTCCCATCTTGGGTGAATGTTAAGAAGGACCATGAGCCACAGCTGTGTGAAGTCTGTGGGTTTTCTTTTCTATGCCTTTTGTGTCCCCAGCCCATGTGGGGGAGGGGTCACTGATTCCCTGCTCTTGCTGCCTTTCCGTCTGTGAGCACTGAGATGGAAAGGCTGTGTGGTGGTTGACACTGCTGTGCTGGCTGGCTGGAACATCTGTTTTCTGGCTCTGTGGCTGATTGGTGAAGGTGGAGTTTTTCCTCAGACATCACAAGCAAGTGAGGATATTTTTCGTAGTGAGATTTGCAGAGACCCCTAGAATAGCACTTTAGTTCTGCTGACTAGTCTTAAAGAACCCCTTTGAGACGCTGTGGGGTGCCAGTGATTCGGGCAGACCCAGGACCAACAGATGGCACACTGCTCTTCCCTCTGTGTCCCTGGTCAAACCTGCCAAGGGACCCTACACCCACTGTGGTGCTGCTTCTTTGATTCTGCCCAGTCTTCCAGTGGACCAACTACCTCCACTGTCGATTGTGGCTTTCTGTCCACATCCTATGCTTGACCACAATCAGGTTTCTTGCCCTGCTTCCCCCATTCTTGTGTTTTCTGCCATGTCTGACAAGATCTTTTCTAATCTTTCCTGTCCTGCTCCACTTTCCATGCTGCTTGACTCCAAAGAGGCATCTCTGACTTTCTGCAAGTGCGAGCTGTGCCTTGTGCAGGAACAGGTTGGAAGGTTCAGCTCTGGTCCACAGGTGGCAGAAGGAGCTTCTGGGATTGTGTCAGAGGCTGTGGACATGTGTGTGACTGAAGCCCGCCACAGCTCTGTGCAGCCACCACCTCTGTCCACAGTTCGAGCCCACGTCTTATCCTGCACCTGCCATCTGGGGCCAGGAAGGAGAAGTGAAAATGTGGGGAGATGGGATACATCTATCATGCAGTACTCAGCAGTGCTAAGTACATTAATGATACTTGACTACTTCCACACTCACACTCAGGGCGCGTACATGTTCCCAGTGCTGGGCAGCCCCATTTACAGCTTGAGACCTTGTCTTTCACAGAAGGAACCCTGCGGAAGTGCTTGCTAAAGATTCTGTCACCATCCCCCTCTGCCCACTCCTATAACCGTGGCTGCTGTTTGTCTTTATGTTACCTGTCATAGACATTTCAGAAATGGAGTAGGAGATATGTGTCCTTTTGTGTCTGACTTCTTTTACTTAGCACAGTATTTTCAAAATTCATGGACATTATAGCATGTGTCAGTGCTTCATTCCTTTTTATGGATGAATAATATTTTATTGTACAAATAGACACATCTGTTTTGGTTGTTCAGAATCTAAACTCTATTATGTTAAACTACTTCCAACTGTTTTCTTTCACTTCTCTCTCTCTCTTTTCTCCTCCTTTTCTTCCTTTCTAAAAATTAATAGACTCTGTTTGGGGTAGGGGACTTTGTTTTGGGGACAGATCTTACTGTGTAGCCCAAACTGGTCTCAGAACTCATGATCTTCCTCATCCTCTTTAGTGCTAGGAGGCATGGCCACTACACTCAGATTTAGACTACATATATTTTTTAATTTTTTATTCTTCATTTTTTGGTGGTATTGGGGTACAGGGCCTTATACTTACTAGGTGCTCTACTGCTTGAGCTACTCCGCCAGCCCTAGACTATATTTTAAAGCAGTTTCACATTCACAGCAAAACTGGGTCACATTTATACAGATTTCCTAAGGACCCCTGCCTCCAGCCTTCCCCACTGCCAACATCCCCCACCAGAGTGGTGCATTTGTTACACAGTTGATCTGCCTATATTGACACATTGTTACCATCTACAGTCCACAGTGTACATTAGGGTTCACTCTTAATTCATTAGGGATATTGTGTGGTTTGGACAAACCTGTTGATAGGGATCCACCATCACAGTATCACAGAGTAGTTTGACTGCCCTAAAAATCCCCTGAATATTGCCTGTTCATCTTTCCTCCAACCCCTAGCAGCCACAGACCTGTCCATTGTCCTCTAGTTCCACCTTTTCCAGAAGGTCCTGTAGTGAGAATCATATGGTCTGCAGCCTTTTTCAGACAGGCTCCTTGTGTCTTTTCATGGCTGATGACTCATTTCTTTTCATCTCTGGGCAATACTCCATTGTCTGGATAACCACAGTTTGCCCTTCCATTTTCCAGGACGTCTTGGTTGTGTCCATGTTGGGCAATTACAAACACAAGTGCTGTAACATCCTTGTCCAGGGTTTTGCATGCCTGTGACTTTTCAGTTCACTTGGGCAAGTAGCAGGGACTGTGATTGCTGGATAGGATAAAGAGAGTATTTTTAGTTTTATGAGACTGTCAAACTATCTTCCAAAGTGACTGTGCCATGTCTCACTCCTTTGTTGATGTATCTTTCACAGTGTTCTCCCAGGCCGTGACCTCCTTCTCATTCCCTTGACAGTGATTTTGAAGAGCAGAATTTTAAAAATGTAGTGAAATCTAGCTTACTGCTTCTTTCTTTTGTGGGCTGTACCTTTGGTGCTGTATCACCACATGCAAGATCATGTATATTTTCTCCTATGTTATCTTGTAGACATTCGTAGGGAAACTGGAGTTTTGGAGTCAAGATCCAAACTCCTGGGATTCCACATGTCAGATCAAGCCACTCACCCCTACTAGCCAAATAAAGAGGCATGGTGGGGGCAGAGAAAGGAGATTTATTACAGGACTTGAGACACCACGGGAAGAGGCAGAGTGAGCACTCAGTCCATCTTCAGCTGTATTTGGGGTATAGATATGAGCTATAGGTTTAAGTAGGGGGACAAAGGTATGCATAGTTAAATAGTCCCAATCATAGGTGTGCTCTAGTTGACCATCATCTTGGCCAAGCGTTCCAGGAAGGGATCCATGAAGATGTTATCACTGCCATCACTTGAGGGGAGCAATCTGGTTCCCAAGACATAATTATTCCCGCTCCAGAGTGCAGCCTCATCATTATAGGTAATTGTCCTCATTTTGAAGGATGGTCTGTCCTGCAAGTCTCTGGTGTTCCTTATAGGTAGTTTCTGTCCCTTGTCATAAACATGTTATCAGTCATCCCTGTCCTTCCTTGATTTCCAGGAAGGAGGGAATGGCTCAGAACAAAGGACAACAGGTACAGAATTGGAGGCAGGGACGCCAAGCTTTTCTGCTGCTTTTAGTTAATTCATGGGCCCAAGTAAGGAGTCAGTGCTTTTTAGCAAAAGCAGTTTACCACCTCTTAGCATAGTTTTGCCTTTTACAAGTAGGTCTCTGATTCTTTTTTTTTTTTTCTCCTCATTATTGGGAATTGAACCCAGGGCTTCTCACATGCTAGGCAAGGGCTGTACCACTTGAGCCATATTCCCAGCCCCTTTGTTTGTTTTGTTTCTGAGATAGGGTCTTGTTAACTTTGTCTGAGCTGGCTTGAGTTCACAATTCTGCCTCCTCTTCCTGAGTAGCTGAGATTACAGGCATGTGCCATTACACCAGACAAGGTCTCTGATTTATGCTAATTTTTGTGAAGGCATAAAGTCTGTGTCAAGATTCAGTTTTTGCATCTAGGTGTGTAGTTGTTCTAGACACATTCACTGAGGAGAGGACAAATACATTACTACTATATCTTTATTGTGTTGTCTTTGCTTCTTTGTCAGAAATAAGTTAACTATATTTGTATGGGTCTTTTTGTTGCTTTGCACTTGCCAGGCTGGTACTTTACCACTTGAGCTACACCCCTGCCCTTTTTGCTTTTGTTATTTTTGGAATAGAATCTCATTTTTGTGCCTGGGCCAACCCAGACCTCAGTCCTCCTGTTTACATTTTGCTTGTAGTTGGGATGACAGGCATGTGCCACTGTGCCTGGCTTTTTATTGACTGAGATGGGGTTTCCTGTCCTTTTTTGCCTGTGTTGGCCTTGAACTGCAGTCCTCCCAATCTCCACCTTCTGAGTAGCTAGTATACAGTCATGGGCCACTGTGCCTGGCTTTGTTGTTAGTTTTGTGTATATGTGTTGTGTGCACTGGGGATTGAACTGTGGATCTTGCACATACTAGGCAAGTGCTCTACCACTAAGCTACATTCTCAGTCCTCTGGGTCTGCTTTTTTCCTGATGCATTTTTAATTCAACTTGAGGGTTTTAGTATACTGTATGTTGCATAAATGTCCACATGCCATGGAAAAAATACTTGGATTGCAATTTTCAGCACTTTTACTGAGGGAAAAATGTTACATATATATGTTCTCTTATTTCATACACATCATTGTAGGTACTTTAAGTCACCAGTTAAATCATAACTCAAAGACAACAGAAAAAGAAGTTGATGGAATAGTTAACATTAATGAAACTCCTTTTCATCTTTTAGTCTATGTAAAAGCTGTGTGCATTGAGTGACTAGAGAAGAAGTTTGACTTCATAGGTTTGTCTTTAAAATAAGTATTGAAGTACTTTGTCTGCCTTGTAGCCATGGGATAAAGGTGTATTTATTTCACCTGAAGTGCTGTGTTTTTGACATGGTGGTCTTCGCCTGCAGCATTGTGATTTTCATTCACTGGTGCTTAGTGTAACTATACCTATTTATAAAACCAGACGGTAAATCCTTATTAGAAATCTGCAAGACAGGAGGAGGAAAAGCTAAAGGAAAACTGGGTATGAGAAGGGAATTGTGACTATCATTTCCCCAGCAGCTGCTTCCACTTCTTTCCTGAAAGTAGCAGATTTCATACTGAAATCACAAGCGTGTTACTGTCCTGACTCTCTGTGATGCAGGAGAGCCAGTAGCCTTTCCTGGTCCCGCTCATGCTAATGAATGGTGGGTCTCCTCTTGTCCTCAGGTCTGAGCTCTTTCTACTCGGAGCTGATGAAAGGCCTGGGCGCCGGTGGGCGACTCTGGGAGCTTTTGGAGAGACGGCCACAGCTGCCTTTTAATGGTGGGTTTGAGCTGGGACTTTTCTTTACTGGGATTGAACAAAGTTTTGGGCAGTCAGACTTTGGGCAGTCAGGCCTGCCCTGCCCTGTCCCCTTCAGGAGGAGCCACAAACCTGTGGTCCATGTCACACAGCAGGGTCAGGTTGCCAATGAGAGAGGGGAGAGCAAGGACGGTCCCCAGAGCAGTCCTTGTTGTGGGTCAATGTCCTAGAAGCTGACCATGCCTCTGCAGTCAATGGTTACTGCCCAGGGCAGCACAGAAGGGAGAACAGGCCAGGGTGCCAATAGGAAGGCCCAGCTAGCTGGCTGGACAGGTAGTCTTTAGCGACATCTGTGATGGGCTGAGTAGGAGGAAGGGGCATCTAACACAAAAGGTTCTAAGGTTTTCCGCATCTGAGGGTGGCATAGGATGCTGGCTGTAAGTAGCCAGGTCCATCTCCTCCTTCCTTGCGATGACTTCTGTGGGCCATGGGGGAGCCCAGTCATGGAGACTTGCATAGCAGCACTGTCACTGCTCAGGGCTTCAGCTTGGCTGGGGAGCATAGGGCAGCAAGCAGGAGCCTGGTGTCCTCCAGTGTGACAGAAGCTAGAGCATGAAGCCCAGTGAGAGGCTGAACATGTTTCACACATCAGGGCAAGGCTGTACCGAGGAAGAGCAGACTTCTGCCCCTATGGCCCTGTGGCTGTTATGCAATGCTCCCTGTTCATCACTGTGCTTTCAAAACGTTTATTTGGTGTAGATAAGATGAACTCTGCACAGTAGCTACTCGGGCAGTGGCACCAGGAGAGCCCCAAGCCAGACTGCTCCAAGGGTGGCTCTTAATTCCCCTCCTGCTAGCTCAGGCAGGGCATGGTGTACAGCCCTTGCATCCTCAGAAAAGTTGTACTCTCAAGATAGTAAGATCACACAAGACCACACATAGTGCCCTGTACATAGCAGGTTCAGGGTGGGTACGTGGCCTGCTCCCTGTTGTGCCCATGTGCCTGTCAAACAGGGAACCACATCCCACTGTGAGATAGGTTTTCCCCTAAGTAACTTGTGTTCCCTCTTATGCTTCAGAGGGAGTCACAGTAAGTGAGAAAAGCTTCCAGGGTGCCTTGGAGTTCAAGAACGTGCACTTTGCCTACCCAGCTCGCCCAGAGGTGCCTGTGTTTCAGGATTTCAGCCTTTCCATCCCAGCAGGATCTGTCACCGCGCTGGTTGGCCCAAGTGGTTCTGGCAAATCAACTGTGCTCTCACTCCTGCTGCGGTTATATGACCCTGATTCTGGTAAGTGGAGACCCATCATTCATGGTGAGAGCCCGTACCTCCTTTGTGGGAAAGAACTCGCTCAAGCAGAAGGCATGTTCATTCATAGGTTATGACAGCACCCACAAAAGCTGTCAGGTGTTTTGAGTCCTGCCTCTTCAAGTCCAGACTCTGCCTCCTCTTATCCACACTCATGGCTCCTCCCTAGGAGCTCTGCTGGGAGGAGGACAGCAAGGCTGTGCCCAGAGGTACCCAGCAGGTGCTCGGCAGAGCCTAGTGCCCCAGTGCTCAGCGATGCCTAGCAGATCCTGGCAGAGCTCAGCAGTGCTCATTGGTGCCCAGAAGCCAAGATGAAGTTCCTTATGTGGCATGGAGGCAACCACACAAGCTGCTGCTGGAACACTGCTCTGCCATCTGCATTTGGGCTTGGGAACCCCTAGGAGACTTTCTGATGCCTACCCTTGAATCACTTGGCAGTTGTACTGTTAATCTGGTGATCAGTAGTGATTTGTTTCCATGTGGTGGCTATGTTAAAACTTTTCTGAACAAGTAGGGATTTTCTTAATGGATTTTTCTCATTCTGGTTTATATTTTTAATTGGATTGCTAGGCTGGTGCTCTACTTTAGCCATAACTCCAGCCCTTTTTGCTCTGATTAGTCTTCCTCCTTCCTCCTCCTTCCTCCCTCCTTTCTTCCTCCTCCTTCCTTCGTCCTCCTTCTTCCTTCCTCCTCCTTTTTCTTCCTTCCTCCTCCTTCCTCCCTCCTCCTCTTCCTTCTTCTTTCTCTTTCTTCTTCTTCTTCTTCTTTTTTTGTGGTACTAGGGTTTGAACCTAGGGTCTACACCTTGAGCCACTCCACCAGCCCTTTTTTGTTTAGGATTTTTTTTTTTAGAGATAGGGTCTCTCAAACTATTTGCTTGGCTGGCTTTGAACTGCAATATTCCTGATCTCTGCCTCCTGAGTAGCTAAGATTACAAGTGTGAGCCACCTGGGCCCGGCAGAAGTGACATTCTTACACTACCAGTGTTGTCATTGTCACCAGTTGTTGAATCTCCTTGATGTGCAGAATTAATTCTGTTAGCAAAGGCCATAAAGTTAATGTCAGATCTTTAGTTGCAGATAACAGATTCCCCTCCAGCTAAATTTATGCAGAAGGGCATATTTGAAAGAGTAATAAAAGAGCTCCAAGATCACTGGTGGGGCTGACAAAATAGATTCCAGGTTTAGATTTCCAGGACACTTCACCCCAGAACCAGGCCTTCATGGTCACTGCTGATGCTGGCATGGTTAGGAGGCTGCAAGATCAGGTAGCCTGTTGGAACCAGGTCACCTCAGCCAGTAATTGTGTCAGCAAGTGGAAGCTGCATCCTCTCCTACACAGCATCCTCTCCTACACAGTTCTCTTTGGAATCAAGGCTCTGCACAGAGGATTTGATTGTTGGAAGGAGTCACCAGGGAGTCCAGTGGAGCTCCCAACAGTCTGTGGGACCTGGAAGGTGGGCTGGTCATTCTCATCACCCACCAGTAGAGGGAGACCTAGGCTCAGACCATCCAGAAGACCTCTCTGAAAGTTCATAAAACAGTTGGTTTTAGATTTCCACTTGGAGATTTCGGCATGGATCCTCCCTCTCTCCCTCTCCTTTGCTTGCCCCTTTCTTCCTCCCCTCTTTCCTCCCTCCCTTTTTCCTCCCTTCCTTCTTCCTTCCCTTTCAGATTGAACCTAGAGCAAAGCACTCTTGTCATTGAGCCATATCCCCAGCACTGGGAATACGTTCAGTAAACTGTGGGATTTTCCTTCTGGGACCCTTCTGTGTTCGTGTTAGTCATGTCACATGGTGACCCTTGGCTCTCTGTTTACAGGAATGGTGAGTCTCGATGGCCATGATATCTGCCAGCTAAACCCAGTCTGGCTGAGGTCCAAGATTGGGACAGTCAGTCAGGTAAGAAGAAAGGCTTTAGTTTTCATCTTGCCTTTCTCTGAAGCTGTTTCCATCATTTACTTTTTTTTTCTCCATCTCACACATCTCTAGAAAGGGATGAGGTTTTCCAAGTGTGTTAAACTCATCTCACACGTAGGCTGTTTTCTACATGTCAACACTTTACCAGTTGAAGCATTGACTTTTTACTCAGAGCTGGAACTTATGTTTCTTTGTAACATAGATACTGTAGAGGCTGTGGAGAAACCAGAGAAGCTCTCCCTGGCTTTTCCCCGTGTCCCACATCCACCCCCAGCAAGCCCCCCTCCACCCCCATGCCCCCTGCATGTTAGGCTCAGGGCTCCTCCTGGAGAAATTGCAAATTACAAAGACTCTTACTAGAAGGAGGGATATTTGATGAGGCTGATTTCACAAGATCATGTGGGGCAGGGAAATTTTGCAGTAGGTGGTGTTTTACCGTGTGCTGGGCTCAGCAAACACACCTACATTTCGCCTTGCTCTGTGCCTCCTCTGATGAGTGTCTCCATGTGCTCAGGCTGGGTGGGTGGTACAGTAATGGGTGCCAGTTGGATATATCAGCAGTGCCCATTGCAAAGGTTAAAGGGGAGAAGGTGGAGGTTGGCATCTTCACAGGGCTCCTCCCTCCTATCCTCATCCATGGATGAAGTGGGTTCCCCTTTGTCCATGGTGCAAGGCAGGCAACTGGACTCGGGTCTTCCAGGGGACCTTAAAGGAGGGGCTCAGTTGTACAAGTTTCTCATCATGGGCCAGACCCTGTGGGATCCTGCTGTGGAGTCTCCTTCCCCACAGTATGGTGAGGACTACAGTTGACCAGGTTGACCAGGTCTGTCCTGTTAATGGTAAAACAGGAATGTTTAAGTCTGTGGATGAGTTTACAGAGAAAGAGGAAGTAGACCAGGCAAGGAGCCCTGTCCTGGGAGGGTGTCAGTTATTGCTCAGACTAAGCCCTGTGCTTACTGTGCTGGCTTGAATCTGCCCTGAAATTTTGGTAAGTGTGCTTTATCTCCACCTTACAGGAGCCAGTTTTGTTTTCCTGCTCCATTGCTGAGAACATTGCCTATGGTGCCGACAACCCTTCCTTGGTGACAGCTGAGCAGGTAGAGAGGGTGGCAGAAGTGGCCAACGCTACCATGTTCATCCGGAGCTTCCCCCAGGGCTTCCACACTGTGGTCGGGGAGAAGGGCATCCTCTTGTCAGGTGCATGCTGTTTATTTTACTTGTTTTTGTCAGTGTGTGTTTGCTCCTGTCATGTGGCAAAAGGGGTGTGCTTAAAGGACCTCTCCACACATTTCAAAAGTGCATGTTACCTGCGAATGAAGTTTTCTTTCTTAGAGTTCATGCAGGTAGCCTTGTCACTTTCTGAACTCTTTGTGTATGGACATTCCAGTTTCCTTTCTAGCCAAAGGTGTTCCCAAAATTACCACTGAGCAGTACCTAGCCCCAGCAAGCATTTTTCTTATACAGTCTCTCACTAGAGCAGTGTGAGACTCTAGAGAATTACAGAAAATGAGACAGATATGACAAAGTGGCTGGCTGATGTGCCTAGGTAGGCAGAGACTACATCTTGAACGAAAGCACTCTTACTCCCCACTGTGGACTTCACATGTGAGACCAGAGGCTGACAACTTTTCAGAGGATCAGAAAGTAGGTGTGTTAAGTTCGGCCATATGTCATCTCTGCCATTTATTCTTGTGGGTGTTTTTTTTTTTTTTTTTGGTGGTACTGGGATTTGAACTTGGAGCTACATGCTTTGCTAGGCAGGTGCTCTACTGCTTGAGCCCTACCTCCAGCCCTTTTTGCCCTGGTTATTTTGGAGATAGGGCCTTGCTTTTTGTCCAGGCCAGCCTGGACCATGACCTAGGTTTCCCTGCATTGATGGGATGACAGGTGCACACCCCCCCCCCACCGAGCATTTTTGCGTTGAGGTGGGGTCTCCCAAACTTTTTTCGTGATCCTCTGGAGCTCAGCCTCCTGCATAGCTTGGGATGACAGGCACTCAGATATCAGTTGAGATAGGGTCTTGTGAACTTTTTTTGCCCAAGCTGGCCTGGAACTGTGATCTTCCTCGTATCCACCTCCTGTATAGCTTGGGATGATGGGTGTGAGCCACTGTGCCTAGCTATCAGTTGAAATAGGGTCTTGCAAACATTTTTTGCCCAGTTTGCCTCTAAAGTAGCTAGGATTATAGGCATGAGCCAGTGGTGCTCAAAAAGCATTCTTTCCTTGAGCACTGTGCAAAATCAGTCATGATTCAGATCTGGCTCCGTGGGCTGTAGTGTGTGGAGCAGCCTTACAGCTGGGAGCCTTACAGCTTGTAATATCAGACCATATGCAGCAGACTGTTGTGCACTGTGGGAGCTACGTTCTTGGAGAGGAAGAGAAGACTTTTTCTGTATTCTTTTGAATACAGAAGTGAACCAGTAGTAGAACTGAAAGGGAAATACATTTTTGATTGAACACAGACTTTTTTCTTGTCACAAATACTGAATCATGTTTCTTTGTGAGGTGCTGAGTGCCTGTCCCCATAAGAGCCAGACGCCTCTGTCAAAGTATGTCCAGCAGGTTAGACCAGAGTTCATTCCAGCTGTAAATGTTGGCTTGAGGTTGGACCACAGAGAATGCAAAACAAAAAGGTTGATTTTATTGTGTGTGCATTGTTTTTAAAACAAAAGCAATGAGTGAGTAGTTGTTTTGGTGGATTTTGGACATAAGTGAGTAGTTGTTTTTGTGATCATTTTGGACATCCCAGGAGTGGAATCACACCTTGCTGTGTAAAAGTGACCAGCTACAATCACTCTGAAATGTGTCCTTGGGCAACCATTTTAAACTGCTTGTGGAGAAGAGTGTGGGGCCAACCTTCTCCCTTGGAACAGCTTATGAATCCCCCTAGCAGGATTCTCAAGTTCTGCTGTACATTCAAAGAAGCATGGTTCTATTCTGCCCTTCTGTTCTCGGGGGAAGAGAGATGTCTCTCAGTAGGTTCCCAATACTCTAGCTGGCACCAGGCATGCTCCATTTCACAAAGGCCATCAGCTGGCTGCTCCAGGGACCTGCCCCTGAGCACTTGGATGCCCACGTTGGAAGTCTTGGAGGAGGGCTTCCTCAGGTCCCTCCCACACCTGTTCCCATGTGAGGGCAGCATCCAGCAGAACCACAGCATCCACTGTGCGTGGATGAAGTCACATGCTACCCAGTAATTACCGTGAATAAGGATGCTCCACCAACAGTCAACCAAAAAGAACACTTTTACCACCAAAAGTGGGCATTGGGTTTCATATGACAGCCCAAGTTGGGAGGTGTGAGCCTCTGGGACTTCCCAGTGCATGTGGGATACAGTTCCTGGTGGGTGGAACAGGAGATAAAGCAGGCCTGGAAGAATTGCCACCGACGTGCTGGCCACTGGCTTGAGCCTCCCCACTCCACTTGTGCCCTTGCTTTGAGTGGAATTTGAGCTTAAGAGAGGAGGGAACTAGAGTGGCTTCCATTTGTGACCTCCAGCTTCGTGTGTACATACAACCATGTGCTCCAGGGCAGGGAGAAGATGACACCATGGGAAAGGAAGGAATGGACACCAGTGTGACTACATGGAATAGGATGCTTTTGCTCCTAGACATTTCAAGTGCTGTCCGGAAACCTCAAATATCTTGAGTTTCTAGTTTCCTGGCTACATGGACATTCTGTTAGCAGGCATGTGTGGTGGCCAGAAGCATAGCCCTTCACACTGTCCATTCAGAGTTGGGCTGTGCTACTTACCAGCTGTGACCTGAGATATGTTGCTTTGTGCCTCAGTTTTGCATCTGTAAAATGGGAGTGCTTTTAGGATCTGCCTCGTATGATATTTTTAAAGAGTAAATTAACACATCAAGTGAATTTATAGGACTGGATGTAGCTCAGTGGTTGAACCCGTATAGCATGCACAAGGCCCTGGGATTCAACCCAGCACGCACAAACAATGCATTTACAGAATGATTGGAATGTAGGAAGTCCTCAGTAAATATTAGCTGTGATGATAATCATTAACTTTGATATTGATGGGAAGAAACACTTTTAAGAAATAGGTTTCTGTTATACTGTTCATCGGCTGCGGCTAGCTGAAAGAAGTCACCTTCAAACTCCCATGGCTCATCAGAAACGCCTGTTCTTAAGAATATTTGTTAAGCTTTCTTCTGTTTAAATGTTATTTTTGTCAGGTGGGCAGAAGCAGCGGATTGCAATTGCCCGTGCTCTGCTTAAGGTAAGTCTGAACCATTTGGCTGACATTTTCCTAATGTTTTTAATTGGGACCTTGTAATTTGTAACTTACCATTTTTTTCCTTTTTTTTTTTTTTAAGAGGGGAAGCATGGGCATTTGGCTGAGAATCTGAAAAAGAGAAAAGTGGGAGCTATATGGAGGCCCTGTTGTCCAAGTTTAACAACTGTATCTTGGAGCCTGCACTGTTGTGGGGCTGAGGGAGAAAAATGTAACACACAGGCCCTCTGTCAAGCATACAGACTGACTATGAATTGATGATATTAACTCAGAATACCCAAACAGTGCCAGTATGTGTATTGTCTAACCTATAGCCAAATGCTAAGCTGAGTGGCCATCAGCTAAGGCTCCTGGGAGGTCAGGAACAGCTGTCCCTGCTGAAGTCACACATCTGCTTCCCCTTTGTTACAGCTATTCTCCTCACTTCCCAGGGGATCTTGTAAAACAGCTTTATTGACACATAATCTTCATGCCATAAAATTCACCCATTTTAAATGTACTTTCCAGTGCTTTTTAGTAAATTTACAGAGTTGGTGGCATATATAATCTAATTTTTTAACATTTCTGTCAGCCCCGAAAGTTTCCTGAAGTCTGTTTTCAGTCTTTCCCCATTTCTGCCCTCAGCCATGATGCCATTTTGTCAATCTGGATTTGCTGTTTTGGGCATTTCGGGTTTGTGGACCCCAACGCTGTGGGTCCTTGGCATGTAGGCTTTCTCACTTCCCACAGTGTTTCTGAGGCTTTCTTGCTTTGTTACCTGCTTGACACTCCATTCCCTGTAACTGAGTTGGCATGCGCTTTTACCCACTTCTCAGTTGATTTGGGGCGATTTTGAGTGCTGTTTGACCCCGTGGTGTCCACCTTCTGCTGCACATATGCTTTCATTTCTTGTGGATGGATTCTTAGGACTAGAACCTAGTGTGCTATAGATTCTCTTGCTGTTGTTCCTAATTTACATGTTAATGTGTTATTCCTAAATAAACTGTCAGGGCTGGGTATGTGGCTCAAGTGGTAGATTGCCTGCCTTGAAAGTGTAAGGCCCCCGAGTTCAAACTCCAGTACCACTACCCCCTACCCTCAAAACTGTATTACCTAAATAAACTATTAGCAGAACTTTGGGAGAGTTGTAGACTGTATTTTATTTTCAGATTTCTATCTCACACTACTTCTTAATTTACCAGCAGGATAAAACTGCTGTAAGTAATGTCCAGTCTGGTGACTAATGTGATAATGGCTTAAAATTTTCTCCAGTGCTCCCAGCATGTTTTTCCTGGGCACTTTTTTCCTTCACTGCAGTAATTTCTCTATTTCATACAGTTCTTCTTGTTGTTTTGGCAGTACTGGGGCTTGAACTCAGGGACTCACACTTGCTGGGCAGGTGCTCTCACTGCTTAAACCACTCTGCCAGCCATACATTGCTCCATGGTGTGCTCAGGCTGTGCACCCCATGTGGGGCACTGTAAGCACTCCCTCACTTGCCCTAGGCAGGGCCGCCCCTCAGCAGTTGCACACATCCTCCTCCTCTGCTGTCAACCCAGGCTCTTCTGCCCCTGGTGTGTCTGGCACAGACATTTTGCCTATTCTTGAGGCTTTGATTGAATGTGGTGTTTTCTGGGTTCTGCAACATTGTAGCATACGTCAGAATGCCATTCCTTCTTACTGCTGAAAATTTGTGTTTTTCTAATAAAATTACTTTTTGCCTTTCCATTTTTTTCCTTCTTCAGAATCCGAAAATTCTACTACTGGATGAAGCAACTAGGTAAGAATGTCTCAGTGATGTGTGCGACCTAATGATGTGTGTGACTCTGTTAGTGGGTGTCTCATTGCTGTGTGCAGTCATGTTGGTGAGTGTCTTAATAATGTGTGTAATGGCTTACACACTAGCACCTTAAATTTGTCCCTCCAAGTGATACAGCAGAAAATGCTTCCTCTACCTGGTAAAGTGATGAGGTCTGGGTCACTAGTGGCAGTGGAGGCAGGTGGTGAGGGTGCTAGCTTGGATCCCCACCTGCCTGCCACGGGCCTTAATGACCGCAGTCGGCACCAGTGTGGAACGCCTTTCTGGTTTCATCTGAATGTAGGTCTGTAGGTGAAGGAGCCCCTTCCTTACAGCATGTTCAACCCTGCAGTGAACTCTGATCAGGGAGAAAGTCACTGCTAGTGAAATGAGCCAGGAGGCATGTGAGCAAAAGGTGTATGTGGCACTGACACCTTTGCTTCCTCTGTGTGTGACCCTGTCTGTGACAGTGCACTGGATGCTGAGAATGAGCACCTGGTACAAGAGGCTCTTGACCGACTGATGGAGGGAAGAACAGTCTTGATTATCGCCCATCGCCTGTCCACCATCAAGAACGCTAACTTCATTGCCGTTCTTGACCAAGGAAAAATCACCGAGCATGGGAAACATGAAGAACTGCTTTCAAAGCCAGATGGGCTGTACAGAAAACTTATGAACAAACAGAGCTTTCTGTCAGCATAATGAAGCAGTTACTGGGGTTGAGCACGGTGATTCATGTCTGTAATCCTGGCACTCAGGAGACTGAGGCAGGATGCCTTGTGAGTTTGAGGCCAGCCTGAGCTACACAGACTTTGTCTCAAAAAGAAAGCAGTTACTGGTAGATTGAATATGAGACTTAAGAGCAGCATTGCAGGAAAAAACCTTAACAGACTATATGAAATGTATGAATCATACTTCAAGTTATTTGAAATATGCCTATTTTTCCCAAAGAATGTAAAATATTGTTTCAAACTGTATCCATTCTCAAGACATTTTTATTCAGAGTTTTAATAATTGTAACTTTCTAAATGTCTATAGCATTGAAGTTATTTTCAGGTTTTGTACTTTTTGTCTTAGAATATTTTAATTAATGTACCACAGCAACTCATTTTCTCCTGCCTGCTGTCATATTCAAGCTATTGTCAATTACAACTTTAAAAAGGGAATTATAAATTATTTTAGGCCGATTTACCAATTACTGTGGCCCACCTACTTTGGTTCTAATTCTACTAAGTAGAATAATGGAAAATGAAAATGTAAACCTTTATTGGATCATACTAATCTCATGAAATGAACCTCATACAGGTAGAAGCAGTGGACATCAGTGGCCCCTGCCACAGCCTGTGTCTTCAGAGGCGGGAATCAGGCGGATGAGTTTTTTAGGTGTGTTTGAATGAGTAATTTGCAAAATTTTGGCATGTGAAAGACTGATGGGTTTTTCAAAGAAAAGAAGCCCATCCTTTGATGAAGAAAGTCCTGTCTTTATCCAAATACTTGTTTCTACTTTTGGGGATTGAGGCATGAACCACCAGGTATTATCAAGAAAGATGGATAAAAATGAATTTTACACTTAAATTGCCTGAGGCTTGTATTTTTAAAATTATATGTTTAAAATGTGTAATTTCCAGATAAATTGAATTTTAATTTATATTTTTGAAATTTCATTAGTAAGGCTAGATCTGAGTAATACAAATAGTTTTCAACTTTGAGACATGTTTAGAGAGTTTAGGAGTTCTTACTACTCTGCAGACAACTACAAGGATCCCTAAGGATATAGCACCATCCAGAAAAAGCACATTAGTAACCCTGTTCTTCCACTTGTGGTTATAACTTTATTCATCTACATGTAGATGAAGCTTCATGCTTCCTAAAGCAATGCCAGCAACCAATGAGTTTGCCAAGGTTGGTGTCAGTGCTGTGAATTTGGTGTTACCACAAGAAAAGTCCCATTCTTCACTGAGGCCAGGGCCTAGGGGCTCATGCTGATGCAGGTAGGATGGAGTTTTCCCTTGCTGTCAGTGTCTATAGGCCCCTGACCACACTGGAGGAGGACACTACGGCTTTGTGAGAGGCATGGAGTATTAAATTTTATTCTACACGGGGGAATTTATGAATGGATAAGAATGAATGGGTATTGAGTTGAGTTGGTAAACAATACAGCTGTGAGAATTTAACACACGTGTATTCTTTATGATTTGCTATTACAGTGTGGTTCTCAGAAGGCAAGCAACACAGCCACAAAGTCTGTTCTGAGGGAAATCCTTGTCCCTCAGGACTGTTTACAAAATTGAGTACGATCATTTTATTTTCTAATTCAAAATCTTCCTTTGTGTCTAACATTTTCTATCATAGATTAAAATTTGTAGTGAACTTTATCTGTGTCACTTCTTGTAAGCTTTGCGCTACATTCAGTTTCTTACTAGAATCTGCATGGAGATTCAGGAGTAAAACATCTAACATTACAAACATAGGAAAGCAAGTGATAATTGCAAACTCCAGCCCTTTCCAACTGTGAGAGTTTGCTAATGGCCTCGCTTGTTTGCTATTTGGACATAATGTGTCTAGTGGTGAGTAACCATGTCCCTGCCCTCACCACAGACAAGGAACTGTGCTGAAGAACTGATGACAGGGGGCTCATGCAGTATCTGCCCTGAAGGAACTCAAGTTTGGGAGGAGTAAGGCAGGCAAAATTAGTAATAAGGAAAAGGCCAATTATTACCCAGGTACTGTGGTTCACACCGTGTTTTGGCACTTTTTTGTCTCTAGTGTTTGCATTTCACCACATGTGATGTCCTGTGAGTTAGACAAATACCTGTTGTCCCATTTCACAAAGGAGGGAATAAGCACAGGCAAGGAGTGGTGAGAGAATATGGGGGTACATCATGTGGGCTTGTGTTGCGCTGAAGCTCTGATCTCATATCCTACCTGCACAGAGAGCCATTGAAGGGTATATAACCAATTTAGAAAATAAGCAAAAAAGAAAATTTAGATGACCTGAAATTTGACATGTAGAGATAAAATTTCACATTGCACAGCTTGGAATTTTGCTGTGTGCCCTTCCAGGCCGGTCTCTATGTGCAGAGTCTCCCCTGACCTTGAACCTGAAACGCTCCCAAGAAATGATGAGGCAGACCACTGTAGGCCAAATCCTTTTAAGTACACTTTTATAAAATAGGGCTCCATTTGGGGGAACCATTTCATTCCATAAAAATGCCAGATATAAAGAAATGGCATGTGTGAAAACTAATTGCCAGCACCCCTTGGGGGTGCCTCTCTGCTTCTGAGTGGATTTTCCTGGGAATCTCAGCTGGATCCACTCCGTGAACACTGAGCATCTTCCGCTGTTAGGTCCTGCACCCAGTGTTAGCTGCACCTCCCTCAGCAGGCTGGTCCAGGGGTCCGCCAGCTTATCTGCTGCCTGTTTTTGTATGGCCTATAAGCTAAGGATTGTTTTCACGGTTCCCAATGGTTGAAAAGTATCAAAAGAGTAATATTTCATGATACATTAAAATATATGGAATTCAAATTTTGGTGCCAAGCAGAGTTTTACTGAACAGTACCATTTGTCCATGAGAAATTGTCTATGGCTGCTTTTGCCCTCCAACCACAGAGGAGTATTTATGGCCTGCAAGCTAGGACCCTTGAGGGAAAGCTTGCTGTCCCCAGAGCTGGTGAAAAAATGCACATTCTATACTGCTTGATGGACTTCTGAACCATACTGAAATTCAGTCATCTCAAAAAGCTCCGTTGCAGTTAGATGAGGGTTAGACAGATGCCCTGAGGATGTCAGAGTGGGTAATTTGCGTGATGGATTCCTCACTGTCCAGTATTACTGCAGTGCTGTTGAGCATGACCCTAACAGTTTGGCCACATCCGAGCACATAACTTGGGCCCTTCCTGTTGTCTGCTGCAGCAATCAGCGTCACACAGATCGAGGTCTGCTCTTAGTTTGCATGGCTGATGCCTCCGGAGGGATGCTCAGGAGCTGGTACGCGTGCTATGTATTTATTTAGGCGGGGCTGGTATTAACCCCATCCCACCTAAATACACAAATAGAAAGGGAAGCCAGATGTTTTTGGTCTGGAAACTTGTTTTATTTTTGGGTAATTTTTGTTTTGTTTTGGTGGGACAGGTTTGAACTCAGGGCTTCATGCTTCCAGAGCAGGGTCTTGAAAAGCAGACACTCTACCACTTGAGCCATGCCTCCAGTCCATTTTGCTCTGGTGATTTTGGAGATGGGGTCTCTAGAACTATTTGCCTGCACTGGCCTTGAACCTTGATCCTTCCAAGAAAGACATATCCTTTCTTTATACCTTAGGTTCATGGCTGAGGCCTCTGTAACAAAAGTATACAAATTTATTTAACGTAAGTTTTATGTGACATGGGAGCCTCAGGAAGGGACCAACACAGATACAGTTGTTCCTTTCATCTCACTGAGGGTACTAACCTGCTGACCTGCTTGTGGGAAAAGAGTGGCCTCTGTCTTTCTGATGCCAAAGTGCCATGTTTTGGGGTAAGGTCCTGCATCCCATCACCACACATATTTTTATTGTGTATATTTGGGGTATGCAGCACAACCTAGTGATTACATGGTGAAATGACTTCTGCAGTCAGATGAATTTCCCTATGCAGCACCTTCCATTCACCATGTGTTAAGAGCACATTTTCAGTGTCACATGATGTACTTTATGGGATTTTTTTGTTGTCTGTTTTGCAACGCTGGGATATTGAACCCAGGGCCTCACATGTGCTAGACAAGAGCTCCACCACTGAGCCACACCCCAGCCCCTCCACAGGGCACTTCAGATCTGTAGACATGCATCTTACATAAAGGCACCTTTGCACCCCTGACCTCCTTCTCTGTGTATACTATTGTTTAACCAAATAACTTTTAAAGTTTAACTTAGCATGCACACACAAGACTGACTACATAATGAATATTTTCCTGTATCATTAAGTACTCATTACATGCATTTACATGCATTGTTTTTAACCATAGCATTCCACAATGGACAAACTATAAATCTACTATTGGCAATTTATGTTACTTGGTTGTCTTTGCTATTATAAATAACACTATCTTTGTTAGGGTTTCATAGATTGTCTTTAAATTGCCAAGTTTAAAGAGCATATACAGGGGCTGGGAGTGCACATTAGTGGTGAAGCCTGTGCTCAGCATACAGGAGGCCCTGGGTTCTATCACAGCACCAAAATATACAAGTAAGTAAGTAGTGAGCACCTGTGACTTAAAAGGCTTTTTGGCTGTTCTCTTAAATAAAAGACCTCGTTAATTTACAATCCCAGCAGAAGTGCATTCAGGCAGCACTTGTTTCCCAGTCTTCCGTCCTTCCTTCCTCCCTCTCTCCTTCCCTCCCTCCCGTCTTTCCTTTCCAGACTGGCTTCAAACTTGAGATTCTCCTGCTTCAGCCTCCCACTGCTGGGATTACAGGTGTGCATCAGCACATTAAGTAACCACAGCTCTTTCAGCATGAACTTTTGTCTGTTTTTAAAAGCATCTCTGGCAGCGCAACAGCAAGCAGTTCTCATTGTTTAATTTGCACTTGCATTTAATTACTAATGATATGGAAGACTTCTTCCTATGCTTTTGGTTATTTCTATTCTTTCATCTAGCGCAACCTCATTCCCTCCATGCATTGCCATTTTTTCTGTCGGGGGAACTGACTTGTGTGTGTATGCGTGCATGTGCACTGGGAATCCAACTCAGGGCCGCTTGTCTGCTACATAAGTGCTCTACCTTAGAACTACACCTTCATCTTCAGCTCACTCACTGATTTTTTTTAAGACATATGGTTTTTTCCTTCAGTTTGTTTGCATATTTTTTTCATATCCACAAATGTCAAATATATATTATTTAATTTTCACCACTAGTCTTACATCTAGACTCTGGGAAGTTCCTGCTCAAAAGTGCCAGCTGCTGGGAGTGCCAGCTCCCGCAGAGGCTTTTATGACAAACAGTGGAGAAACCACTGACCAACTCAACAGGCACAAGAACAAAACTGACCCCACCAAACTCTCAGGCTACTGTCCACCCTATTTCACACCCCTCTTGATAAGACTGAACCAAGAAGGAATGCAATGGGCTGTAGGAGCTGCAAGATTCAAAGGCAGTCAGACGCTGGTGGCTCCTGTCTGTAATCCTACTTACTCAGGAAGCAAAGATCAGGAGGAGTAGGTTTAAGGCCAGCCTGGACACACAGTTTGCGAGACTCTATCTCTAAAATACTCAACACAAAAATGGCTAGTGAAGGAAGGGGCTCAAGTGGGAAAGTGCATACCTAGCAAATGTGAGGCCCTGAGTTGAAACCCCAGTACCACAAAAAAAAAAAAAAATTCTTTTTGAAGGCAAGCTGCAAAACTGGGGATAAACCCAGGTGGGAAAAAGTAAAGCAGAATGCCTGCCAGGATGTTATGAATGTGCACAAACGGCTCTTGGAGAATGCCAACTGGCACTCTGTCATCCCCATAGAGATTTACTCCTGTTTACATAATCTTCCCTTATCTCAACAAAGAGGAAGTGACAGTCTGCTATGGATCTCTACAGTGTGCATAAGGCAACAAAGTCAACCTCTTCTGTCAAAACAAAAGTAGTTACTTCAAAGACAGTAATGGACACAAAACTTTCACAGATCAAAAATAACAGTGCTCATGGGGGCACAGAGAGGACAAGGGGTTGCCAAGTCCTGCGGAAAGTCTCAGTGAGGAGGCAGCACTGAACTGAAGTTGGCTGCACGAGGTAGACACCTCTGGGACCACAGAGAAGGTCAGCACCCCAGGAGGTAGAAACACATGCAAGAGCACTGGGGCCTTTTAATTCTTGGACAGTCGAATGCAAGTGGGAAGTGGAAGAACAGGAGCGGAAAAGCCAGTTGTCATAAAGGACCACCAAGGAGCTCAGCAAATAAACCGTGGACAGCGGTCAGTCCAAGAGCACCGCCAGGCTTGCCTTAATTCACATGGGGAGGGCAAAAGAAAGGCTGGCCAGAGGCAAGGGCAACCCACCTGCCCTCCAAGAGACCCGGCACGGGTCCAGGAGCAGACAGGCATGACTCCGGGACGCGGCCGCTCTCGGCGCCCTGGGCAGCTGGCCGGCTTCATCAAGCTGGGACAGGCAGAGACAAGACAGAGGCCGAGGGAAACTTGGGTTCGGCTTTCCAGTGCACCGAGGCGTCCGTCGGAGGACATCCACGCACGTGCCCGCGAGAGGGCAGACAGGGGTCGGGCTTTTGGGCGAGGTCTGGGTTAGGGACGCGAATCTGCGGGGTCAACAGAGTAGAGGGAACCGTACGGCGTGCACAGGAAGACGGCGCACTAGAGAAGCGCCAACCCGACACTCAGTACGCCACCAGCATCCATGGCAGGGTGCCTCCCTCCTCAGCTCTGGCCGCGGACACCTCCCATTCCCCCGTTCACGCCCACTTTGTGGAGAGCGGTTCTCCCCCAGCGCGGTCTAGAAGGGCGCTTGTTTGCAGTTTCACATCCCAGGAGCTTTAACTCACCTCGCTGGAACTCAACTCCGGGACGCGCCCCACTCTCAGAGCTGGCAGGTAGCTTACGTCATTATCACGCGCCCGACCCACTCCGACCACTACGCTGCGCTTCGGCGTCATCACGCGTCTTCCCCTCTCCTCCCACCCCCAGCTCCGACCTCGCCTGTTGGAGCTGCACTTCGGCGCCACGGCTATACGACTTTCAGCTCCTGCTCTGGCCAAACCCCAAGACTTGGCGCTGCGCTTTTGCGTCATCACCGAGCGCCGGTCCCGTTCAGATCTCTGCCTGTGGCTTGGCGCGCGTCTCGACGTCATCACAACGCGCCTTTCCGCCCCTTGGGTGTTCAAGTTCCGGGCGCGAGTGCAGTGGTTCTCTCACGCCGCTGGAGCGGATCAACAGCTGCTCTTTACAGTCATGTTCCCAGCCGCCTCTTCTCCGCGGACTCCCGGTGTCGGGTCCCGAAGGGGCCCGCTGGCCGGAGTCGGGCCGGGATCCACACCTCGTGCAGCAAGCAGGAGGGGTCTGTCCCTCGGGTCTGCGGTCAGCTCCCCCGTGCTCTTCTCCCCGGGGGGCCGGCGTAGCTCGCTGAGCTCGCGGTAAGTGATCGCCCTGACTGGATCCGGCGGCCAGCAGGCTTACGGCCAGAGCGGGCCTGTGGGTCCCTGTGGGTCTCTAGCGGCCTTGGGAACCAGGGCTGCGGGGTGGACTTTTCCGAACATTGGGAATTCGACCAGCCTCACTCTTGCGCGTTGTTTCAGCTTCTCTTTGAGTAGGCTACTAGTTTAGCCACCACTGTAAATTTTCCGTGTGTTGGAAGATAAAACTCCCACTTTTAGATGGGCTCTCACCTAGGTGTGAGTGTGACCAAAACTAAGGGCATCAGTGCTACGCTGTTAGTCATTCTGGTGTTCCAGTCTCAACAAACGTCCCCAGCCCACCATCCCATCTTGGCCACAGATTTCTATGAATTTTTGTCAGTCTATCCAAAGAGAAACCGCCGAACACTTGATGGACGACTGCATGTAAATGTTTAGAACTTTTGAGAGAATACAGTGTACCAGGAAGACAACTACTGTGTCTGGAGGATAATACCAAGAATTTGGAGGATGCTGCTTAGCCAGGGACCCCATGAACTAAACCAACTAAAGTCACACACTTTATAGAAAGAGCCAGATGAAAAGTCTTTATCCAAATACCCTGTTCAATTTTCTTTCTTTTTTTTTTTTTTTTTTTGCAACTCAGTCTCTGTGATACCCAATGTATTTATCGTGTGTAACAGGAAGTGTTAGCAACTGCACAGGTTCTTTCCTCTTTAGCTGGTATGTAGCAATTTATTTATTTATTCATTCATTCATTTTGGAGTCCTGGGGATTAAACCCAGGGCCTTGTGCATACTAGGCAAGTGCTCTACCACTGCACTACATGTACCAGCCTAGGTAATGATTCTTTCATTGAACATCCATTATTGGGTTATATTAAAGCAGAGTGTGCGAACAAGTGGGTCTAGAAGTCTAACTCAGTAAAAGGAGCCACTAGAGCAATTTGAGCAGTTGCCTTAGAGATGTTGCTATCATTAACTGCTAGGTGGACTAAAGGATATCTTAAGTCATGAGAAGGTTTGGGTTTGATGTGACACTGTCCATCACATTACCTGTAGAAGCTACTCATTATAAAGTTCTAATTACAGCATTATCCTACCAAGTAAAAGTTAGGCATAAACAAGAAAAATTTAAGAGAGTTAAGCATGTCATTATAATAGGGAATCTTCTTCCTGTGTCTTAGGAACAGCTATCCACAGCATGAGCTTATCTACTTCTTATCCTGGTTTACAAGTGAATGTCTCTGGTTATGGCATCAAATGGTTTGGTGGGCACACATGAGGCACAAGTTTCAGCTTGTGGGGCTTCAGGATCAGAGCAGTTCTTGTTCTTACTTATTCCATGAAGAAAATTAGACTGGAGGATCCCAGAAAATTAGGTTCCAATAGATAATAAAACTAGAAAACAGTGGACAGGACTGCAACCTAATGGCAAGTGGACTGTAGTTTTTCTTCAAAAACATAAGATTTCTCCCTATAGTCACCCCCACTTGTACCAAAGATAATCGGAGTAATTAGTTTAGTCTCATATAAGGGCAGCAAGGATAGTGATTGACCACATGGCTCTTTTTAAATTTGTTGGAACTTTTTCTTCTTCTTCTTTTTTTTTTTTTTAATAAGGCCTGGCTGGGAATCAAACCCAGGGCATCACACACTAGATAAATGCTTTACCACTGAGTAACATCCCTAGCCCTTGATGGAACTTCTGTTACAGAATCTCAGATTGGACTTTTTAAACCTCTCAAGGTTAGGAAGGCAAACCAGGGTATACCTGGAACTTTACCTGCAGTATTTGTATAAAGTCATTCTATGTACATCTTCAAATATGATACTTAGTCAAAGTCTTGGTAATGTAACTAATATATCTAATTACATCCTATTATAAAGAGAGCAGATTTTATTAAGCTTATACAAATAACTATGTTGCCATAAAAATAATTTCTTAGCTGGGTGCTGGTGGCTTGCTACTATAATCCTAGCTACTTGGGAGGCTGAGATCGGGAAGATCGAGATGTGAGGCCAGCCTGGGAAAATTATCCATGAGACCGCCTCTTCAAAATAACCATAGCAAAATGGACTGGATGTGTGCGGAGAAAAAAAAAAAACACTCTGAAGGGATTAGGTGGGGGTGGAGGAAAATAATTGTTCTGTCTTTGTTCACTAGAGTGTACTTTACCAAATTGAAACAAGAAATTATCTTAATGAAATGCTTCCTAGGCCAGTTTTTAAAAAGGAACAAAACCCTTTACATCTCAGACCAGTACTCCAAAAAACCTTTGCCAGTTATACTTTGCTTTTTTTTTTTTTTTCAGTATTGGGATTTGAACTCAGGGTCTCATGCTTGCTAGGCAGGCGCTCTACTACTTGAGCTATGCCCCAGCTCTTTTTGCTGTAGTTATTTTTCAACTAGGGTCTTGGGTTTTTGCCCGAGGCTGGCCTCATTGAGATTTTCCTACCTGCAGCCTCCCTCATAACAGCAATGACAGGCATATAATACCACCATGCCTGAGCTGGCCTTGAACCTCCATCCTCTTGTTCTCCACCTCTTAAGTAGCTGAGATTACAGGTGTGAGCCACCTGGCCTGGCCTTCTGAATCGTACTTTTGCCTCAGTGTACTATTAATACTAACACTAATCTTAATAAAGCCTGATAAATAAATTCATCTAATCTTGGGCAGCCCCAACTGTTAAAGATGAAAATTTCACAAACTTTTTATATGACTTTATCCACTCAGTTTTTGTCCTGTGTTTTCTTTCTTTCTCATTTTGAACCAGTCATTCTACTTTAGGACCAAAATTACCCTTTCCGTCTTAACAAAAACACATCCTCCATAGCTCATAGCTCCACTTACTAAAAACATGCCTGACTTTCCTTGCATACGAAGTTGTTTCCTTTACTGTTTCTAGTGTGAATTCCCATGCATTAAGCAGGATTTTTGGCACTTACTATCTTAATCTCTGGTGAAAGCCTGGGAAGTAAGCAATTTTATGGACATAGATTTCATATTACTCATAAGATAGTTTTTGTTGTTGTTGTTTTGTTTTGGTGGTACTGGGGTTTGAATTCAGGGTCTACACCTTGAGCCACTCCACCAGCCCTTTTTTGTGTTAGTATTTTTGAGATAGGGTCTCGTGAACTATTTGCCCTGGCTGGCTTTAAACTGCGATCCTCCTGATCTCTGCCTTCTGAGTATCTGGAATTACAGGCGTAAGCCATGGTGTCCGGCATAAGATAGTTTTTCATTGTGGAACAGGACATGTTTATTAACACCTCACATCTTTAGTGCCTTTGTAATAAGAGGCCCAAAATTGTCAAATGAAAATCTGTGTTCAACAATTAATCTTTCAGAATTTTATCTTATTTGGAAGTGATCTAGGCATTCAGGGAATAAAAGCCTAAGACGGGATACCACAGAGTTGGGTCGTGTAACACTTTCATAGTCTATCTTTCCAGCAGATGCTTTCTGAGACTGGCAAGTGGCCTATTTCAACTGACCCTTCCATGTCCAGTTTATCTTGACCCAGGAGTCTTAGTTTTTGGTGGCAAGTGCTCTCATGGCTCCCCAGTGCCTTACCTCTGCCCATGTGTCAAGTTGTAGCTTTGGCCCTGAGATCTCCTTGACCAACCTTGTCAACGACTTTCCCTACTAAAGCACACAAGAAAAAGAAGCAGAGAGTAGAACACACAGTTGCTATGATTTCTAGAGCTGGTGTTACCTCTGTGCAAGATGAAAAACAGATTGGGTTTGAATCGCCTACCTTTTATGCCCCTCTGGTTATGTGGCTATGGCTTGTGGTCTTCATCTGTAAATGATGATAAGGCTGCCTCACATAGGCTGCATGAGTGGATAGGAAATGCCCCATTCAGGTGTGAAGTGATCATAAGCCAGAGACCCCAACTCCTGCTGAATTGTCACTTAGTACCTGACACAGAAACCCCGTCACTACTGCTGATGAGTAATTCTGGGGTTTTTGGCTAGAGAATTGAGCTTTATAGCTCCGTTACAGGGAGAAGGCTTCTGCAAACAGGGAGTGCAGTGGTTTTGTTATTGAAACTGCTGCTGTGGAGCACCAGTCCACACTACCGCAGCTAATCTGGAACTACAAAGCAGGTAGCATCTGTTCCTGAGTGCTTTCCTCTGCTCATCTTTCAAGAGTGAATCTCCCTGCAGGAAAACAGCAAATACTGAATTTTGGACTTATGTTTAAAATTTATTCTATAAAATTTTGGAATACTTTAAAGGAGAAATTATTTCAGAGAGTGCACTGTATCCTTGACTTGTAGTTTGAAAAGTGCTCTTCAAAGTGCTGATCTCCTGAGTAGAGGCAAGCATCTAATTACTGAGCAAGAATCTGAAGCCAGGTGTCCCTAAATCCTGTATGTCTTTTTAATTTTTTTAATGGAAAATACATTTAATTCACAATATAAATGAGCTAGCTTTTTTTTTCACTGATACACCTCATTATCTTGTTTATCAAAGATCTCTATTGTGTGATATATGCATAAAGACTAGGGTAGTAGAAAATTTTAAGTTATGATGAAGTAAGATGGTCTCTTTTCTTTAGAGGAACACCTACACGAATTGTCCCACACCATTCCATAACTGAGTCTGTGAACTATGATGTGAAAGTGTTTGGATCATCTCTCCCTGTTAAAGTCATGGAAGCCCTGACACTGGCTGAGGGTAGGTGACTTCTTTCATTTGCCCCTATTAGCCATTCAAATTGAAACCTGAGTCTGGCATGGAGATTGACATTTGGCCTTTCTCTAGTATACCTTCACCTGGATGAAGAGAGATAACTAGCCTGACTAATTTTCACTATAACTAAGACATAAATTAGAGAAGCAGAATGGGTTACTCTAACACAATCACATTAAGTCTTTAATGGTTTTAAGTACTATTTATGCAAAATTCAGTCTCATTTCAAAAGGTGATTAGGCATATGAAGCTCAGCTATTTAAAAAAAAATCCATAATTCAGTTTCATAATTCAGTAAGATCAAATCCAAGTCTTTTTCTGGATCCTGGGTAGTATCCCAAAGGCTGCATCCACAAGTTTATGAGATTACCATTGTGGTGCCTTTACAAGGTTCTGCTGGTAGAGACTGGTGTAGGACTTGGGAAGGTGCAATGGCCATGAGACAGTGAGGAGAGGGTGACAGGGATGTGCACAGTGCTCTCCCATGTCCACGTTGTTTTTTTAAGGACTCAACTCTGAGCCTTCATGCTTTTCTAGAGCAATGTTTTTCAGATTGCAGGCTGTGACTGCAATCACTTTTTTTTAAAGAAATAAAAGAGAATGAAAATATCAAAGCACATCTCAATAAGTAACTTTTATTTTAAATTGTATTTCTTACTGCGAATAATAAGTCAAAAAAATTCAAAGTGCTGCATTCCAAAAGAGGAGTGCTTCTCATCTCCTGGAACTTATACGTCTTGACTGCCAGTCCTCAGGGGCTTTAGAGGTAATTGTTTTCAACAGCTAAACTGCTAGCCTTTTTATGTGATGTTCTGTTTTAAATGCTTTCCTCCCTCCCTCCTTTCTCTCTCTTCCCCTTCATTCCCCTCCTCTTCCTCTCCCCTTCCTTTTCCCCCCTGAAAATTTCAGTTTAAATTGTTTAAATCTTTCAACACACTCCCAGTTCATGCCACCAGGCTATGTTAATAGCAAATAACACACAATCTCAAATTTAGGAATACAGAGGAATGAGTCCCTAGAAATCAAGATCTGTGAACTGAAGAGCGATGTAAACATCCATGAGCTCTTCCTCACGTGGTTTTTAAGTCAAGGCCTCAGGGCTCATGAGCCAAGAATCTGGAGCAACTGAAGGGCTGGGGTTGGGGCTCAGGTGGCAGAGCACCTGCCTAGCAGGTGTGAGGCCCTGGGTTCAAAGCCCAGTACTGCCAAAAAGAAAGAACAATATTAGTGAGCAGATTTTCCAGTGCAGCAGAACTCACAAACCTAGACTGGACATGGTTTGATGTTTCAGCTTGTCCATTTCTGATGCCTTGTGTTTTGTACTCTGCCTTTAAGCAAAGAGCAAAAACTAACTAATTGTCCAGGTCTTTGGACGTGTTTGTGGAGGAAAACCACCAGTGCTCAGGACACAGCAGTATGTTAACTTAGCCTTGCCACGTAACAGAGAATGGATGCCCTGTGGCCTGGCGCTCTCTCCACCTGCTTCTGCCTCTGAGTAGCATCTATCGAAGTATGTGGTAATAAAGATGTTGGCATGGGAAATTTAACTTTTTTCATAGTCACAATTTAAAATTAATTGCATGCCTTGTTTTTCCCTTCAGTTGATGATCCACTGTCTGTCTGCATAGATGAAGGTGGATGGGCTTGTCTGGTCTGCAAAGAGAAACTCCTTGTTTGGAAGATTACTCCGTCTCCTGTTACTAAGGTAGAGGCTCTTCAGAGACTGGAAGAAAGTGCAGAGGAGGGCATCCATTGGTTCTTCATTTTTACCCTAGTCCTTTAGAATCAGTGGAGGGTGGTGATCTGAGTCTATGCACACATGAGGAATGTGTGATGTGAAATATTGAGCATACAAACACATTCGTGTGTTGAGAGAAAAGTTTCTTCTGTTTTATTAATTTTTTAAATTGATGTCTGTAATTTCTTCCTTCCAAAAAAACCCACTGCACTCAAAATAAGTGACCATAACCTCAAGGTATCACTGTCTTTATAGTAGAAGACTCCCAGGTGACGAAGCTCACATCTCTCTTGAGCCAGTGTGCTCGCAGGTTTGCAGCTGGGCTTAATCTGCTCAAAGCCTTAGTACTATCTTTATAGTTCAGTCTCTTCTGGAAGATGGGCTCAGTCCACCACCATAGGCTCTGCTTCCTGCCATACGGGCTTTCCAGGCATGTGGAGTCCTTGCTGTCCTTGCCCTTCCTGTGCGTTGTCACTCTGTGTGGCTGTGCTTGCCATACCTCTTCATATGCCACGTGTTTGTGGGAGTGCTGTTGGCACGGGAAGCCCTTTTAATAAAGCTTTTTATTTACTCATTTATTTATTTGGTGTAGTCTGGGTTTGAACTCAGGGCTTCTTGCTTGTAAAACAGTTGCTCTACCACTTGGGCCACACCTCCAGACCATTTTGGTCTGGTTATTTCAGAGCTAGGGTCTCACGAACTTTTTGCTTGGGCTGACCTTGAATCACAGTCCTCCTATCTCAGCCTCCCAAGTAACTGGGATTCCAGGGTGAGCTTCCAGTGCCTAGAGGATCATTTGTTTTCTTATGCACCACCCCACTGGCCCAGAATGTGGGCTCCTCCCCTGCTGGCCACTCTGACCATCCCACTTGCCCCTGGACTAACCAACCTCATCTCCATCTAGGCCCTGGAAAATCCACAGCAGTAGGATCTCCCAGTGCCCCTACAGGACCTTTACTACTTTCACTAGCAGGCAGGGAGAGGAGAGGAAGCACCTTGCTTCTGAGCAGGCTGGGCTGGGCCAGTGGGACTAGCACCACTGAATTAACTTCAACTGCTTCTGAAACTCTGCGTTAGGAGTGGCTTATGGTGGAAAGGAGGAGTTACAATCCTGGGCCTGTAAGGAGAAGCAACATAAATCTCATTGACCAGTGTTGCACCCCCTTCTTCCCCCAGCCTCTCACCACTGCAGGTTCTGGGAATCCCAATCTTTACCTGGGGACAAACCTTGCACAGAGAATCCTCCATCCTTATCATCCTTTTTCTCTACCTACCTGTCAGTTATCTCAACCAGTAGAACCTGACTCTTAAATTGATTTACTTTGGTGGGGGGGTGGGCGTTATTTTTCTGAGACAGAGTCTTGAAATGTAATCCAAGGTAGCCTTGAACTCACAGTCCTCTTGCCTCAGCCTCCTGAGTGCATTATTACGGTGTGCTCCCACGCCTGGCTCCTTTTAATAATTTTTAAACATGATCCATGTCATTCACATTTAATAAAATTAGAGCCACTGAGATTTTCAGTGAACACAGTGCTAGTCAGTCTGCCTCCAGCAGTGGAGTCACCACCGGTGTTTGGTAACAGCTCAGCAACCTCTCCTCTTCAGGCAGGGTCTCTGGCAGCTCTCACTGAGCTCTGGGACGTTGTTCCATTGGAACTCAGGGCTCCTACCTCCCTAAACTCTTCAGGTCTGCGGGCCTCTGTGCTGCTGCCCCCCTAGTAAGTGGTGTTTGTAGTTAGCAGTGGTGGGAGAGAATCCTGGGGGCTTCTGAGTTAGCAGGGGATCTGGATATTTATCCAAAAGTCTAAGAAAATATTTTCAAAGCACCTGATATAATTACTCTTTGGTTATGCTAATTTTAAATGTCAAATGAATCAAAACCATACTGGGAAAGTTCATAAGAAGTTTGAGCATGTCTTGCTCATATTTTTCTTTTAGTTTTGGTTGATGTTTTTTGTTTGTTTGCTTTTGAGGGCACTAGCCTGGCTTCAAACTTACCATGTAAGTCCAGGCTGGCCTCAAGCCAAGTACTGGGATTATAGATATGTACCACCACACCTGGCTGAGTACTTCTCTTCAACAGTGGACTTGTTAGCCTAGGAAAAGAGTAGACATGCTGATACTGAAGGACCAATCTAAGTATTAAGTATTCCTGATTCTGTGTCTCTTAAGATGCTATGTTGTAGAATTACTGAAAGCCTGATCAAAAAGAGCTGTGAAAAGAAAGAATATTTGTGGAATGGTATTTCCAGCAATGAGTCAGAATCTAAAATATGCAGGGAAAGGAGATAGAGAAGTCAAGATAAATATGCACAAAATTACATGTAATGTGATACTTTCTGTTTGGGTTTGCTCTGCAGTTATCTGTTTGCAAAGAGCTTCAGCTCCCACCTAGTGATTTCCACTGGAGTGCTGACCTGGTGGCTCTCTCTTACTCTGCTACCTCAGGTGAACCACATTCTATTCAGGTAAGTGACTTAAAAGTTTATTGAAATGAACTACCTTTTTTGGCAGTATTGGGGTTTGAACTCAGGGCCTCAGGCTTGCTAGACAGGTGCTCTATCACATGAGCCACACTGCCAGTTCTCTTTTTTTGTGTTTATAGGGTATTTTCAAGATAGAGTCTTACGAGTTATTTCCCTGGGCTGGCCTTGTACCTCAATTCTGATCTCTGCCTCCTGAGTAGTTAGGATTACAGGCATGAATCACCAGCATCTGGCAAAGTTTTTAAAACAAGGACATTCAAAAGTTGGAGGAAACATTCAAGTTGATTTTGAAACATAAGTATAAAGCTGCAGAAATCAAGACTCCATGGCTTTGGCATGGCTGGGTCAGTGGAACATGATAGAGAGCACATGGGGTTGGCCTCGTGATCTTTGATGGTTTCTCAGTAAGTGGTGTTAGAACAGCTGGTCATCTGTAATAAGAAATGAATTTCCCCAAACCTCTTACCTTGTGCAAAAATTAACTCAAAGTGGCTCGTGGATCTAATGTAAAATATAAAATTGTAGAAGAAAACAGTAGAAAAATAATCATGGTCTGATGTTAGGCAGAATCTTTGGAAATCACCAAATCATGATCCATAAAAGAAAAAATTTGGTGAAATTTATATTAAAATAAGATCAAAATGAGAAACTTTGCTCTGCCTAAGGTGAAAATGAAGATAAACGCTTCAGGCTGGGAGAAAATATAAACCATATATCCAACCAAGGACTTACATGCAGAATATGAGAAGAACTTTAAAAGCTTGGTAAGGACAGACAGTTCAGTTTAAAACAGAGCATAGGTCTTGAGTAGATGCTTACCAATGAGGACGTAACTATAGTAACCAAGCACATGAAGAAATGTCTAGCATCACTAGCCATTAGAGCAATGCAAAGTAAAACAGTGAAGAGCCACTGCACACCTAGTAGAGCGGCTACAGTGAAAACTCAGTACTGCTGCCAGCTGGCAAGGATGTGGGGTGACTCGAATTTGAGCTTACACACTGCTGATGGGGTGCAAAATGTACAGCCACTTGTTTTCCAGTTTCTACGAAGGGAGGACACACGGGCCATGTGGCCCAACATTCCATCTCTGCCATACACCTTCAAGAAATGAGAACTTATGTTCACACAAAGAACAGGACCCAAGTGTTGTAGTGGTTTTATTTGTGATACTGAAGCTGGAACCAATCCTGTGTCCTTCATCAAGTGACACCTGTGTAATGGAGTGCTGCCCAACAGCAGAACAGACATGCTTCTGATGCTGCAGCTACTGTGTGAGTCTTACGACTGAGCTGGCTCCGTGCTCTGCTTTGTGTGGCCTCAGTGTTCACAGTACTGTTCTGTACCCCTACTGTAGTTAGTTACATCCATCTACACACTTTAAAATTCATAGAACACTATTAGAAAGGGAAAGTAGTTACACAGTCTGGTCATTTTAAAAAGTTTCAAAATAGAGTTCTTAAGTCTGCTTTTGTCCGTCAGACAAAATCAGCAAAGACTTCTTTGTTATGTTGCTGACTGTGCTGTGGTTTTGTTTTGAGGCTGTTGCTGTCATGGTTGCTACCAGAGAAGGGTCCATTCGCTATTGGCCAAGCCTTGCTGGGGAGGACACCTACACAGACACCTGCGTGGATTTGGGCGGAGATAAGATATGCAGTTTCCTGACAGCAGTGCAGGTGTGGTGGAAATTTATTTCTATTTATGGGAAAGCTGGGGTTGGCAGTGAGGTTTGAGTTACTGGAAACGTGGATTCTGAACAGCCATAGAGATGACCACCAAGGGCAAGGAAGAGAATTTAACAGCTCCATGTAGGGAGACCCCTCCTGGGACTAGAATGTCTCTGTCCTTTAGAAATGCTTCACAAGAGGAGCTTAGAAACTCTTTAGACACTGAAGAATGTTTGCAGGCATTTCTAATTGTATCAAAGAAGTAAAACTGATACTTCATTTGTTGAACCTGAAGTATGGTCAACCTGTAATTTAAAAATCAGACTTTAAAAATGAGCTTTTCTTCTATTATAAAAGTTTTCTATGTAGAATTAATAATAATGTGCGAACAGATTCCTTTAATTATTTTAATAAAATAGTGTACCTTTTTTGATTCTTACAGAGTTGTTTTAGATGGTCATGGTTTTTTCTGCATGAACCATTTAAAAAAAATTTTTTTTATTCTTTATTTTTGACAGTACTGGCGTTTGAACTCAGGGCTTTGCCCTTGTTAGGCAGGTGCCCTACCTCTTGAGCCCACCCACAGCCTTCAGCCGTTTTTTGCTAGTTCTCTTTATATTCAGGTTAGATACTTTCTTGAACTAACGTCAAAGTTCTTGTTCACAGGGAGGAAGTTTTATCTTGTCTTCCGTGGGCTGCCAGCTAATTCGGTTGATCCCTGAAAGCTTGGGGAAGATGCACCAGCATGTCCTGCCTCAGGGGCAAGGCGTGTTCTCAGGAATTGGCCGGAGGGTCTCTTCCCTCTTTGGAATTTTGTCTCCTAGTAGTGACCTCATGGTAAGTTTATAAAGTACTATTGGATAAGTTTATTTCTTAGTGACGACATTAAGTCAAAAGTTTCCTGTGATGTTGTTACTGTTCCATGTGATTAAAGCTATGATGTAAAATTGAACTGTGTTTTTAAGAGTTAATTTTATTTCTTAGCCTTGACTGGAAGCATGTCCTTTCTCCCACCCTCCAGCTCTTTGTGTGCATGTCTCATATCTAGACCTGTTTGCTGCACTGCACTGCTGGGTGGTGGGCTTGGAGAATGGAGGCTGATTGGAGTCACATATGGGAGCCTCTTGGGAGCTCCTCTGCATTTGGTCTCCTGTAATCTTTACCAGAGCCTGTGAAGTGTAGCATTTTCCCTGTAGTTTTGCCCATGAGGAAGCAGCTTCTGTGAGGCTGAGACCTCAGTGAGGCTGAGGCTAAGGCTGCAGCAGTGGAGCAACAGGGCTGGAAGTCACATCCAGGCCTGTCAGAGGCTGAAGTGCTGCTCTATTTACTGTGTTTCTCTTAATCTTAGGTGGCTTTTGTCATCTCCTTCCTTGAATGTTCTTTGAATGAAAAACTTAACATGTCTGAAACAAGCTCATCACACTCCTTCACACTTAACCTACAAAACTCATCTCTCTTTGGACCTAGCTGTTTCTGTCAATGGCACCATCACCCTTCAGTGCCCCAGGTGGAAAGCTGACTTAATAGTCCCTCCTTCCTCTCCCATGTAGCACTTCAGTCAGTGACTAGCTGTCTTGGTCAGGACTCACTTCATCTTGGCTTCCTGTTTCTGTTGGCCCTGTTCTGCACTCTGATAAATCTCAGGGTCACTCATTGCTGGTCTTTGCTGCCCCTCAGGGGCCACGGTGATAGAGACAGGATAAGTGGAGAAAATGAGGGCTTTTCTCAAAGCTGGCATGTTCACCCAGCTTAGACCATACACATCTACTTTAGACAGAATAATGCACCCAAGTGTAATGAATTCCAGCCATCCCTGCCAGCCCATTTGATCACAGCTCTGCTCAAAACCATGCATAGGATAACATCTCCCTTGCTTACGAGGTTTATAGCCTTACATTCAAGACTCCACCATGATTTCCTTACTGTCCTTCCAGTTCAACAGGACTACTTGCTCTCTGAGGACCATGTAACTTTCCATCTGCTAGCTCTGCTCTCCTGGGCCTTCTGCCTGTGGGGTTCTGTGCATTTCAGGATCACTCCTTTCTTCAAGTCCTGAATGAGGAGTTCTGGTGGGATTGTAATCACATAGCCATAAAGCACATGAAATTTGAGTTTCTCATGGGATCCAGTCTGTATTTTCTCCCTCTCCTTTGTCCAGCTGGCCGCTGTTCTCTGGAATAGAGGAAGGTCAAGCTTCTACAGCCTGACGAACTCAAACATCAGCAAGTGGGAACTGGAGGATTCCTCAGAAAAACAAGCACATAGCTGGGATATACATAGAGCCCTGAAGGAACACATCACTGATGCTATTTGGGTGAGGACCAGTAACATTTATCTCTTTGGTGTGTGACAGTGACAGTGCCACTCCTTCCTTGGATTGTTGTTTGTTTGACAGGGTCCCATTATGTAGCCCAGGCTGGCCATCTGCCGACCCAAGTGTTCATTATTCATTTAAGAACTGCTGCTGCTGCTGCTGCTGCTGCTGCGGGTGTGGCATCATCAGGTGCTGGGGACGCAGAGGTGAAAAGAAAATCTTTGAGCTGGGAGCCTTATGTTTGATATTTCCATCTAGGGCTCTGAAAGCAATTACGAAGCTGTTAAAGAAGGGGTCAACATTCGGTATTTGGACTTGAAGCAAAACTGGTAAGCAGCTAGTTTCTTGTGTAGAAGTCAGACAACAACTTGGGAAGTAAGTTGTGTCTGTGGTAAAATGATGAGCAGTCCTGCTGCCTGCACCTCCACTGCTGCTCTTAGTCTCTCTGCTAAGTGTTACCGAGTGGTCTTTGTTATCTAGTCACGCTTTTTTACTCACTTGGGAACATGCAGCATTTCTCAGCCACAAGTAGTGTGTTCTTACCTGGCTGTGAGGACTGCAGCTCTTTCCTCACTTTGTCCTTCTGCCACTGTGGCTGTGTGGAGCTGTGGTCTGTATCCGCTCCATGGAAATGTCAGGCACTCATCTTTTGTTGCAGAGAGAGTCTAGTAGCCTGTAGTTGGTGTCTAAGCTGAGCAGGAGAAGGGAGGGTGAGGCTTTATCTTGGTACTACGAGTTAGAACTCAATCATGGTTTATGCTCAGAGTCAATTTCCTCTTAGAAACAGTGCTCCAGCTAGGCACAGTGATGCTTGGCTCTCCTGTAATCCTAACCCTCAAGATGCTGAGGCAGGAGGATCACGAATTCTGGGCTAGTCCGGGAAAGACATTGTTTAAAAACAAAAAAAAAGAAGAAGAAGAATTTAAAGACTCTTATGTGTTAGAGTAATTTTCACAGTGTTCTTGTTACTCTAGCAGACCCAGTTCTGCTAGTTATTGGAGGGATGTGCGGTTGTTACCCTGCCATGTGATTCTGTTGTGAGTTGGGCTCTTAGTATACTCCTCCTTTTTATCTCTGAAAACCTTATAAGAACTGCTAAAAATAATAGTGTTTATTTAGTTTCCACAAGCATTTTGGTTACACGGTTTACCTGTTTTTCATTTCTCTTTACTGAACTTTTGAAAAAGTAAGACTGATGCTCAGACACAGACCACATGGGCTTCATGTCAGGCTTTCAGGTTTGGGTTGAGAATGAGGAACAGAACCTGCTTAGGAATTGCTGTCTGGAACTCCGCTCCCTAGTGTGGTGCTGATAGCCCTCCAGGAGGCTCGGGAAGCACATGCTTATCTTTGCTCCTCTTCCCCCCATGCCCCAGATGATCCTGCTCTCAGGTCCTCGAGGTCTTGTGATCAGAGCACATGCAGAAGAACCCATGCATGGTTTCTTCTTTTTGAGATTAGTGTTTGTCTCCTTGTAGTCATTAACCTGATTTGTTACCCATTTGTCCGGAGCTGTAACCTGGCCTTGCATTTTCAGTAAGCTGGCTTGCAAATTCTTTTACTAAATTACAAACAATGAAGTCCAGATGTCTTCATATAGATGTAAACTTTGTATTTTTTAAATTTTAACTTTATTACCTTGTATACCTTTTTAATTTTAAATGTATTACCTTGTATAGATCTGATTATCTTCATATTATCTTTACTACCTAAAATAGCTTCATATTTTTCAAATATGCCTTTTTTTTTTTTAACAAGGGTGTTAAGGAAAACTGGTCCTCGTCCCATCTCCTGAGGTGTTGTTTGTTAGCCAGGTCTCCATGCTCTGTAGCATGTAGTTTGGTAATGCTGCCTTTTGACTGTCCTCTCTAGTGTGACCAACAGCCCACTGCTTGGTGTGGTGGGGGGACTCCCAGGGCTCCATCCTGTGAGACCTCCTTCAGCCCTTCTTGTGTGTAAGATCCTTATGGACCCTTTAGGATGCTGCCAGTATGTTGCAAATTTGAGCCAAAATTCCTGAATTTCTTTGAAGAGTCTGTGTGAAAGCATTGGGGTTAGAGAGCCAGGGAGAATGGAGGAAGTTCCTGAGAGCCAGGTGGGCTTTTGATGTGAAGTGTCATGTCATTCAGAATGGACTCTGTTTCTTTTTCTTTTTTGGCGGCACTGGGGTTTGAACTTAGGGCCATGCACTTTCTAGGCAGGTGGTCTACTACATGACCCACTCCTCAGCCCATGGCTTGGCTTCTTAAGTGTTGTTGTCCATACAGAGTGCTTGGCACCCCATTAATATTTCTGAGATTTGAGTGAGGGTTGCTTATAATGCTACTGGATGTTTTGGAGTGGTTCTTGGCATGGAATTACTTTCTTTTTTTGAATTTTTTTTTTGCAGTACTAGGGTTTGAACCTGGGGCTTTACACTTGCTAGGCTGGTGTTCTGCTGCTTGAGCCTTGCCTTCAACCCACAGCCTGGAATTTCTATAACTGATGGTTAAAACTAGAAATTTTTTCCTCTGGACAATTCTAAGTTGTAAAGAGCACTGTCCAATTAGCTGTTTACAACTTCCCTTTGAAGGACTTGAGAGTTTCTGTCCCAGATTAGTGCCTGCTGCCTCCAGTGTCCAGTATGGTCTGACCCCCAGTGGCACTAATGTGGGCTCCTCTGGGCACTCTCAGCAAAGCAGTGGCTGCCTGAGTGGTAGGATCCACTGTCTGGCAAGAGGAAAGAGGCCAGCTGTGGGAAACAGAGTGCAGACTACACTGCCTCAGCAGGGATGGGGAACGTGGTGATTCTATACAGAAGGTTCAGCGAGGCTCAAAGTTGGCCCTGTCCCGTGTTGGTCACAAGTCTTCTGTTCATTGCTTCTATATTTATGTTGCACATTTGGGGCATCTGAAGGAGGAGGGCAAAACCAACATATCTTGGACCAAAAGTGTAGTAATTTTTCTGTTCATTAGAAAGGCATTTTCTGTAAGCTTATTGTTTTATAGGAAATTTAACAAGAATTGACTTTGAGGATCAGATTTTTTCCGATGGCTAATAAACGTTTAAATAGATTTATAAAGAAAATAAATTTTAAAAAGGAGTGACTGTTTCAGAAACTGGGGGGAAGTGGTGTAGGCCTGCAATCCCGGCACTTAGGAGATTAAGATAGGAGGATCTTGAGTTTCAGGCTCAGGGCCCTGCAGTCTTATAACTTCCACCCCAGCTGTAGCTGTCACCTCCTGGCTGATCGTAAGTGAGGGACATGGCCACTCCCCAGTTCAGACTCCTTACAAACCTGGCCCATTTGGCCTTAGGGCTGTACTGGGTCAATTCGAGGATGAGTGGTGCATTGACGTTTGTTTATTTTTTTTTAAGTCAAGTTTATTGAGCCATAATTTACACAGTGTGGTGTTTGTTCCTTTCAGTGTTTAATTGTGTGAGTCTCCACAGGTGCAGGTAGTCAGCTTAATCATAGTCACAATCACAGTACAGTTCAGGGCTGGGGTGAGGCACAGCTCTTGCCTACCATACAGAAGGCCCTGGATTTGATCCCCAGCACACAAATGTATACACACACACACACACACAGGCACATGCGAGCAAGATGGAGAACAGTTTCATCACCCTCCAACATTCCCTTGTGCCCCTGAGAGTCATTAATCTGTTCTCTGGGCCCCAAAGTTTTCCCTTTTTCAGAAGGTCATATTAATGGAATCATGCAGTATAAAACATTTTTTTGTTTTTGTGGTATTGGGGGTTGAACTCAGTTGCACAAGTGCAAGTGCAACTTGTACTTGCTACACAGGCAATCTACCATTTGAACCACTCTACCAGCCCCAATATAAAGCCTTTTAAGTTTGGTTTCCTTTCTCTTAACATAATACATTTGAAATTCCTTTTCATTGTTGAATAGCATTCTATTCCATGGGTGTAACAGGGTTTGTTTATCTCCTCAGCAGTTGAAACATTAGGTTGTTTCTAGTTTAGGACACTTTAATAAAGCCACTGTGAATATTTGCACATAAGGTGTATCTGTGAACATGGTTTTGCCCCCCTTGGGTAAATCTAGGAGTGGGGTTGTTGGCATGTATTGTGAGTGTGTTTAACTTTGTAAGAAACTGCCAAGCTGTTTCAAAGAGGCTATGAGCTTTCTTTGTCCTTGACTAGTGATGGACTCCTGGTCTTGGCAGCAGCCTGGCACCCAGCAGACAGTCCCTGCCTCGTCTACTACTCTCTGATAACAGTAGAAGATAATGGAAACCAGATGTCAGAGATGGTCACTGTAGAAGTCACTCAGTACAACCCACCCTTCCAGGTGAGTTAAATTCCAGAGTGGCAATAACACAATGACTGTTTCTATAAACATTGCACATTATTTGAAGCTCATCTGCAGGGCTTAGGAAGTTTGAAAACTTCCCAATGCTTTCAGACATTATTCCTTTTTTTAAAAAAACCATCTCACCCATCTTACTCATTCCTTGGCCAACCTGAGCTAAAAAGATTAGATAGAAGCAACCAGCATAAATGGTCTGTTTCTTCTACTGTAAGCCCTTGGAGGGGCTGCCATTTCTGTATTGAGTACAAAGGAGATACTGGTGACAAGTGCAGGGTGAAGTAAGGAAGAAGAAAGGTGACAGTTGGGGTTCATTTTGGAGACTTGTATCTTACAGAAGCCCCTCTGCGCAAAGAGAGCTTGCATTTGTAGGCAACAGGGCTGGGTGCTCTTCAGAGGTCCTGCAAGTCATAGAAGGCAGGGTAGCTGAAGTGAGCTTATGAACAACAATCAAGCACGTTGTCTAAGAACCGAAATGCTCACAACGGAAGCCATGCAGCTTTCTGTGAGTCATCACATTTAACCTTGTGTGATGTCTGATTCTGTTTTTTTTTTTAATATGACTTGGTTAACTGAATCTCTTAAGAAAGTCTTTTGATTTGTTCTTTTGAGTCAGAAATAAACTTTATCATGTTTTTCGTTTTTTGTGTGTTTTTTGGTGGGACTAGGATTTGAACTTCAGGTCATGCTTTCAAAGCAGGCACTCTACTGCTTGATCCACACCTTCAGCCTATTTTGCTCTGGTTATTTTGGAGTTGGGGGGGGTCTCGAGAACTGTTTGCCCAAGCTGACTTCAAACTTGGATCCTTCCAATCTCTGTCTTCTAAGTAGCTAGGATTACAGATGTGAGCCACAGGCATCGGCTTATGTGTTGTAATTTTGTATAATCGAAAAATCATACTCGTGTTAGGAAAATTTTTCAGACAGTGCAGAGAGGTAAAAAGAAAAAGATTTAATAATAAAAAACTTCCTAGAGTCCTACGTTAATGTTTGTAAAGCTACCTCTTTAAAATCGTTAATGTTATTACTTAATTAGGTCTTATTTCTATTTCTGCCTCTGATTGTATATCAACAAATTAAATCATTTTCTTGTGTCAGATTGCTGTGTGTGTGTGTGTGTGTGTGTGTGTGTGTGTGTGTGTGTATGTGTATGTGCGCGCGCGCATGCACGCATGTTCTGGGGATTGACCCCAGGGACTAATATATGCTAAACTCAATCTCGTGATTGATAACTTGACAGTAAAGTAAGAATCAGAACCAAAATGTTTGTCAATGATTATTTATATAAACATTTTCCAATTCTAAAATGAATAATTCATTAAAGCTTTTATCTCACATTTGTTGTGGACTTACAGTTATAATATTAACAACATGGGAATGTTCTCAAAATTTGCTAATTATTTGCAGCTCAACAAATGATTTCTTTAAGGCAAATGTCTCAGTCCAAAACCTTTATTGGGCTGCAATAGCAAAATGCCTGATATTGGCTGATAAACAACAGAAATTCATTGCCCAGCGTTCTGGAGGCTAAAAGTCCCTGATCAAGGCACCAGCCATTCTTCACAGACAGTACCTTCTTGCTGTATCCTCACGTGGTTGGAGGCAGACAGTCTCACAGAGGCACTAATTCCCTTATGAGAGCAGAGCCCTGATGACGTAATGTCTCAAAGAACACACCTCCTAATGCTCTCACCGTAAGTGGAGGTTTCAGCATAGGGATTTTGGAGGAATCACAGATGTTTAGACCACGACAGTGTTTGTAAACCTTTTCTGTCAGAGTTTGTAAATCACCTCATGTGGTGTTTAGGACTTCACAAGGGAACCAGTAAATTAGCGTTTTACCATTCTTAGGGGATAGTGTCATATAAAGATGTGATTATAAAATCACAAGTATTTTTGTTTCACTCTCAAAAGTATGATCTTAAATTTGACTTTCAGTCTGAAGATCTGATTCTGTGTCGGTTGATGGTCCCAAGCTTTTCAAGCCAGACAGCCTATCTGTGTGCCGAGAACGTGGTCTTTGTGTGCTCCACGGGAACGGGAAGGTCCTCCATTCCTCCGGAGAAGATTGTCTTTAGTGCACAAGGTACCATAGCCACTTCAGAAAGCATGATTGGCAAGTCAGCCTCTCTTTCCTTACATGCTGCTTCAGCATGTTACTTCCAAGTGACACCAAGAAACAGGCAGTGCTGGAATTCCTGACTGTTTTTTATGGTCCCAGGGGACAAGTCCAAGAAGGAAAGAAGTGACACTGAGAGAAGTAATTGCTTATCTTAGTTTGTGAAGTGAGTTATTCTAAGTTGATATTTTTTAAACTAGTTTGTCCAAGGACTAGCACAAGTGATGGAGTGCCTTCCTAATAAGCATGAAGCCCTAAGTTCAAACCTCAGTACCAAACAAAAAAAAAAAGTTTGTCCAGAGCTCTGAAAAAATCCCAGGTGATAGACCTTGATGTGGAGCTGGGAGGGGTGGGCTAGCAGGCAGTGTAGATAAGCCCAGCAGATGTTCTGATCAGGGTATTTATCTAAGACAGCTGAGTAGAAGACAATCCAGTTAAGGCCACAGTGTGGAGCCTGGGCAGTTCTAGTCCTAGCACAGGGGCCTTGAGGACATTAAATACATTTCTACAACAGCATTTAGAGAAATAGATATTGTAAGGGAAAACTGCATTATCATGGTGAGTTTCTTTAGACTGTGTTCTACTGTGTGTGAGTATTGTCAGTGGTGGATTTTAGTGTGTCATGCTGTGTGCTCTGTGTGGTCATAGGTGATAAGTTATAGAGAGAGAGAGAGAGAGAGAGAGAGAGAGAGAGAGTGTGTGTGTGTGTGTGTGTGTTTTTAGGCTGTGTGTGTGCTCCCTGGTGGGTTTTAGACAGCATGTTGTGCTGTGCTCCTTCAGTGGTGGCTTTTAGCATTGTGCTGTGTGTGTGCTCTTTACTCTTAGGAGATGGCATTTTGGGTGCTGGCTCTTGTGGCGGTGTCCCCGTCCTCTTCTCTAGGAACAGTGGTCTGGTATCTGTCACTTCAAGGGAAAGTGTGTCCTTGTTAGCTGAAGACCTGGAGGAGTCCTTGGCATCTTCAGTTGCTGGACCCAGCAATGAGGTAATGTGGTTCCATAAGATTATTTTTTTAATTCTTTTTTTTTTTTTTTTTTTTTTTTTTTGTGGGACTTGGGTTTCAACTCAGGGCTTTGTGCTTACAGAGCCATGCCTCCAGTCCGTGGTTCCATAAGATTTTTTGACTTTTATTTTTATCAGAGAATTTCATTCAAAGTCAGAGGCTTAGGATGAAACATTCATTCTTGTATCACCCTCATCCCCCATCCTCTTTCCCAGAGCAGCTACTTAAGTCTTTCAGCTCCTGCTTCTGTTTCTTTCCCTGCATTTCTAAGCAATCCTCATGGCTGCTGTTTTCCAAGTCACAGTTTTAGAATTGAGGATTTGGGGTAGCTACACTTCTTCCCCTGCCTTTGCCTTCCCAATGCAAACGTTCTATGATAATATCAGCAAGAATATTGTTTTGGGTGCTGAGCCTGGTACTGTACTGATAACAGTTGCTCACTTCAGTGTCTTGAGCACCTCTGAAAGATGCTTTTCAGTGTATTCTTCCTGTGGTCATGATTGTAAGGCTGTGTGTTTGCACAACTCACCTGCAGTTCTCTTGAGCACCTGCCCCACCTGGTGCATTCTCATCAGCACTGCTGCAGCCTCTCCTGGCTCCTTCCTGTGGCAATTAGACTTACAGGGTCTGGCTGCAGGCTCCATTTCTTGCTATTCTGGGATGGGTTTTGAGAAGGGTACTGAGAAAAACCAACTTTTCTTCTATCTTCTTGAAATTTGAGATGCCCTTATCTGTATTTTTTTTTGTCTTTTACAGAAGATTAAAAATAGTGTTGTTTAAGGATATTTTCCACTTGATTAGGATGCAATATATGTATACTGTTTTTGTAATTCAAAATTAAAGTGATTTAGTACAGTTTTTATAGAAAGTAACATTTTTTAAACTTTGGTAATCATGGTTATTGCAATACTGCTGTATGTTCTGAAGCTATCTTACACTGTTCCATTTCTTTTAAATTTTTCTAAATCCTTATTTAATCTTGTAGCCAGCCATAATGCTTAGTAGTATACTGGTGGTTAGCTGTAACAGGGCAAATGCATAAAAGATTGTGTTGGTCATAATGAAATCCCCAAAGAGTTTTGCTCACAACATAGTCCCTGAGTTATCCGCCTTTTCTGTAAGACTTTGGTCAGTTGTCTTGTCTGTGAAAAATGTCTGGGTATATAAACAACTTTGTGTAGGTGTTTTGGTGAATATCTTTGGGTGTGTTACTATGTTGTAGGGTGGTCTTGTTCTTAAGCATCGGGAATGTTCTGGTAGTTTCACCTATAAACTGTAGCTTCTTTCTTTGCAGAGTGTGATTTTTGAGGCCACTGCAAGGAATGAAACCATAGCTCAGGAAGATAAGACGAAGCTGCTGAAAGCTGCTTTTCTGCAGTACTGCAGGTACAGCACGTTTTGAGCTATTTTTAAGAACAGGGTCTTATGCAGCTCATACTGTCCTAGAACTCCCACCCCTGCCTCTACCTCCTGAGTGCTGGGACTACAAATGCCACCATCTTTGTTTGGAAGGAATATTCAGAGTTTACATTCTCCACCGCCCCGTTCTCAGGTCCTGACCCCACAAGCCAACCTGCAGTGGTGTTTGAGGCCACAGTGGTGTCTGATGCCACGGTTAGACTCTGAAATGATCTCACAGCCTAAAACTCTGCCTCCTGAGGTCTGCTGCACTGTTTCCTGCCCAGGAAAGGGCAGCAGGAAAAAGAGAGTGTGTTTTTGGTTCGTTAAATAGTAATGTTTTTAACCTGTTCCGTATGGTTCAGTGTTACTGGAAAGATTGGATTATTTCATCTTGCACAGGTTTACACTTTAATTACAGTCTGTCAGCTATGAGTGACAAGGCAGCAAGTCACCATTGTCCTTATACTTGTTTCTTATGACTTAAATTTGTTTCTTATAACAAATTACCACAAACTTGTGGCTTAGAGCAACAGGAACATATTGTCTCACAACTCTGGAGGCCATATCTTAAATAAGAGGTGAGCAGCATGTTCCCTCTGAAGGACTTGGGGGAGAGCTTTTCCTGCCTCTCCTGGCTGCTGATGGCTGTGGCAGCCATTGCCAATTGCTTGGCTTATAGATTCCTTGCTCCTTATCATGAGGCCTCTGTACATTGTAGCTATCTGCACATGACCTTCTTATTGGGGCACCAGTCATTGGACTTAGGCCCTAATCCTTATCTTAACTAGTCACATCTACAGAAGCCTTACTTAGAGTCCCATCCTGAGGCTCTTAGTGGATGTGAGTGTGGGTGAGGTAGGGACCCATTCAACCCAGCAGTGCAGCTTAAAATATTGTGTGGTTCTAGATGAATATGAATGATGGGGGAGGGCACTCTTCACCCCTAGTGCTGCAGCTTAAGATGTCCTGAGGCTCTAGGTGGATGTGAAGGTGGGTGAAGGGGGCCTGATCAACCCAGTGGTGCAGCTTAAGGTGTCCTGTGGGGCATGGTTGCCAGACGTGGAAAGAGCCCCGACTTGAGTCTGAGAGCAGTCTCAGAAGCATCATCCTAGGGCCTCTAGTGTGGCTGTGCCCTCAACTCCTGTGAGCTGCACTGGTGGCCATGGCTGGGGGAGCACAGCCAGGGTCTTGGGGAGGCAGACTCTTCAAGGTGGGTTGTGCTGCTTCTGAAGTGGATTCTCAACCTGAAGTCTTGCAGTACTGCCTCACTGGGTTTTCTCCCTCCTTGCTTCTCTGTCATCTGGAAAGATCTTTGGGAAACTAGAACAGATGGGGACACCTGCTCCTGTAAGCCTTTCTGTGGTCCTTGGGACTGACTACAAACCCAACACCATGGTTTACAGACTGTGTGCTCTGATTCTGGGATTCGTTCCTTCTGAATGTGAGCCACCGTCCATGTCCTCTGACATTTCTACTAAGTTAAAAAGAGTCTCCTTTTTGAGGGGCTCTGGAAGTTTTTTCCAAACTCCCCTCCCTGGGTGACTTGTTCCTCTCACATGGCTTCAGGTCTCAGAGCTACAGCTTCCTTGCTGACTGGTGGGGACATATGTCCTGTGGGCACCTGCACATTCTCCCCAACCTCTCTTGGTCTCTCTCTGCCATGTCAAGCCTTGCATGTGCAGCTCTTTGTCCAGGGAGCTTTCCCCACCCCCATGGCAGGTTTGTGGCCCCTTGAGTTTGGTTGCCATGTTCTTCCTATCCTCCTGCTTCTCACAGATGCACCATCCTGGACTTTCTGAAGTCCAGGCCTGATTTCAGTGTCTTGCTCATCATTCTGTGTCCAGTGCTTAGCATGTTGTAAGTATTTGATAACATTTGATGAATTAGTAACTGCACAGTGGTTTTCTCCTTTTGATTAAATAAATGTTATTAATGGTGCTTTGAGCTAAAACCTATACATGAAACTTTGATTTCATGATTAATTAATTTTTCTGTAGTGAGTTTTGGAAATGTGCTGCTTCATACTTTTGTTTTTCAATTTTGTTGCAGGAAAGATTTAGGTAGTGCTCAAATGATGGCTGAAGAGCTCTTTTCCTCTCACTCTGACTTGGATTCTGATTCTGAACTAGACAGGGCCGTGACCCAAATCAGCGTGGACTTGGTGGATGACTACCCTGCTTCTGACCCGAGGTGGGCTGAGTCTGTCCCTGAAGGTGAGAACCACAGAGTAATCTCTTGTGAGAGGAGGATTTGGCTCTGTGTTCAGAGCATCTCTTAAATCTTATTTTTCAGTTTCTTAAACAATTGAATATTAACTCAGTATTTTTTAGTAGATTTTGAAACAGGTCCAGGCAGATGATACCATATCTAGATGATAAAGTAGAATCTGATGGGACATTACTAGAGCAGGCCTTTTTTTGGTCAGACTTTACACTTACAAAGCAGGTGTTCTACCACTTGATCCATACCACCAAATCCATTTTGCTCTGTTTATTTTTGGGATGGGGTCCCAGGGAACTATTTGCCTAGACTGGCCTTTAACCTCGATCCTCCCAATCTCAGCCTTCCAAGTAACTAGGATTACAGGCGTGAGCTTTCACACCCAGCTAGAGCAAGTCTTGATTATTCTTTCTAAGGCAAATTACTTGCTTTCTCTGTATTTTATTCCTAAAAGAAACTTTTTTGCATTTGACACTTAACTTGCTCCCCAATTAAGTATTTTTGACATAGTCTGTGTATTTGGCTAGTGGTGATTGCACATTCCCCCAAATGTGGCAGGGAGTATGTCTTGGTATAGAGTGGGCACATCATATCTTCTTGCCTGAACCAGGTAACTTTTCCTTAGGCCATGCTGCATTCCTGAGCACCAGGGACTGTCTCAGACATTTATTTTCTGTCCATAATTGTGCTTCAGGCCAGTCTGCTGAGCCTCACTGGGGATGTAGGGAGACAGCATAGAGCCTGCCCTCTTCCCCAGCTGTTCTCTTGGAGCTGTAAAGCTCAGAATGATACAGTAATTAAACTAACTGTAGCCTACTTGTTGTTGTGGATAAATGCAGTATGAATTGTATTGATCTACTCCCCTCCCCCCATACTCCCACCACCACAAATACAAGTTTTCCTCTAACTTTAGAAATTCTCCCTGAGCACCAGTGGTGCACACCTGTAATCCTAGCTACTCTGGAGGCAGAGATCAGCAGGACAAGGTTCAAGGCCAGTCTGGGCAAATAACTCAAAAGACTATCTCGAAAATAACCAACACTAGAAAGGGCTGGTGGAGAACACCTGCCTAGCAAGCACAAGGTCCTGAGTTCAAACCCCAGTACTGCAAAAAAAAATTTTTGCTAGTAATGTAGTTTTATTAAAGGGTTGGTGCTCTCCTGTTTTCAGATGTTTTTAACTTCTTGTATTGCTAGCCATGATTGTTATAAAAACATTGTTTTGGGCTTATGTGTTGCTGCTGTGTTTTAACAGAAGCCCCTGGGCTCAGTAACACTTCGCTGATCATTCTCCACCAGCTGGAAGACAAGATGAAAGCCCACTGCCTCCTGGTGGATTTTCTTCACAAAGTAAGATCCAGTGCTGGTTTGGGTGGCTGGGGCCTGGGCCTGGTTGCCTTTGTCAGCCTGTCAGCCCAGTGAGCCATCCCTGCTCTCTGCCTGTGGTGTTTCCTTATGAGTACCTGGCTCATTTTCTGTGCTGATGCAAAATTGAATAGTTCCAGGTCCTATGGAGGCCCATTGCTCCAAGAATGAAGGCTACCAGAAAATATGATTAAAAGAAGAAAAGCAGTGTATTTCAGCAGAAGTGTCATTTCAGCTTCAACACTGTCATATCTGTTTTGGTGGAGGGCATGTGCCACAAGCAGACACACCCATTTATCAGAGGCCACAGAATCCAGTGTGAGCTGCTGCATCCCACGGCCTGGTGGCCAAAAACCATGGTGGAGTCTCAGCTCGGCAGCATCTGTCTGGCTAGTTTTGGAGACCCCACTCTGGTGGTTCCTTTTATATCTGTATTTCCTTTCATCTTTGTGGCTTACATCACTGATTACATTAACAATCATGAAACCTGCAAAGCTGAATGTTCTTTCTAGGGAAAGGCCTCTGCATGTGGGGCTCTTCTGCATTCTGAAGGGGGTGGGAAGTGATGTCAGCACCTCAGAACACCCTGGCTACTCACTTCTGGTGTGGAGGAAGCCTGTCCTGGTATTGAGCAGAGGCAGGGGTTAGCTTACTCATCTTCTCTACGTGGTCTTTGTACAAAACTGTGGCTTCACTCTGAGGTCTGTGGCACCACAGCAATAGACACCAGCAGTGGGAGCCTAGCAGGAGAACCATGCTTAAGATATCTTTGGAGCTGAGCATGATGAGTCACACCTGTAATCATAGCTACTCAGGAGGCAGAGATGGAAGGGATACAGTCAGTCAGAGGCCTGTTCAGGCAAAAAGGGATGAGGCATGGCTCAGGTGGCAGAGCACTTGCCTAGCAAGCATGAGGCCCTGAGTTCAAACTCAAAAAAGAAAAAACAACAGAGAGTGAGATCTTGGAATCAGGAAATTGATTCAAATCACGAAAGACTATGTAACGTTTATTTTTAAATAATCAGGTGAACATGTTGACGAATTAAGACATTTCCATAGCTGTTAAAAACTATGGGTACCTAAATATTATGGAGAAAATGACGCTGTCAAATGAAACAAAGTTTGGAACAGCGTGGCATGACCCTGTTATGTTTTTAAAAAGGGTACCCACCAGCATGTACAGAAGAGATGAAAAGTGAGAGTTGGGGACTTTAGGTCACTCATTAATTGGAGGAATTGTATCTTTGTGTGGAAAGTTGTTCGTCATTTATGCCTGAGTTTTGGATGCTTCCTAGTTCCTGTTACTCGGAGTATTTTATCAAATGAGGCACTTAAGGAAACTAGACCTGAGTAACCCACCAGAAATGGACATCAGCAAGGAGGAGGCACAAAGGGCTGAAGACCCCTCCTGCCAATGCTTGTGTTCTGGAAATCAACTCTTGTAGATGGAGGTACTAAGGTACTAGTTCCCAAAGATCTGGAATCCAGGAGAGGAGAGTTCATTGTGCCAGTGGAAAAAGAGTAATTTGATCATTTTGATAACCACAAACAGCAATCTGAGAAAAACTGTGGTTTCAGCCCATTGTCATGGATAGAAACTCTGGGGTAACCCTCATGGGAGCATCTACAATGCCCTTATAGGTGGTACTGTGTGCATGCCACTGTGTGTGTGTGTGTGTGTGTGTGTGTGTGTGTCTGTGTGTGTGTGTGTGTGTGTGTGTCTGTGTGTGTGTCTGTGTCTGTTGGGAATGAGGTCCAAGGTGGGGAAGCCTCTGGTGGAAACCTGGCGATGCTAGTCTGCACCTTGCTGTGAGTGCTTTCTGAGAACGTGTACTTGTCTTTCATGAGGTCGGCCTGTTTGGGCGTCTGGGCACTTCTCCAGTCAGAGGGACACCAATGGCAACCCGGTTGCTACTCTGTGAGCATGCAGAAAAGTTGTCTGCTGCCATCGCTCTCAAAAACCACCACTCTCGGCTGCCAGACCTTGTGAACACAGCGATTCTGATTGCTCTCAACAAGAGGGAGTGTGAGATTCCAGCGAGCCTCACTCCTGCCGACGTCTTCTTTCGGGAGGTCAGATGCATCCTCATTCATGACTTCCTGGGCTGGTAGCACCCAGGCAGGACAGAGGGTTAAGAAACCAAATCTTTAAACTCTGCATACTGTCACTCAGAAGAGTCACTCAGTTATTGCCTACCCTGTAATTAGGGCTCACAGTAGGCTGAGAAGGGCTTCTTGTTTACTTTGGGTCTCTCCAAACCCCTCGACTTTGCCACAGGAAGCTGGCCTTCCTCTGGCATGCTAAAACCCAAGATCTTTAGAATATTACTAATGGTAGGTTTGTTTTTTGAACCACACCTCAAGTCCATTTTGCTCTCATTATTTTGGAGATAGGGTTTCACGAAACTGTTTGCCTGGACTGCCTGTAACCTTGATCCTCCAGATCTCATCCTCCCAAGTAGCTAGAATTACAGGCATGAGGCAACCACACCCAGCTAATTATTTTCTTGTATCGCTTACTGTTATTTTACAAGTGCTTCTATTATGGCTAAAGGAGAGGGATTCCCCAAACAAAAATTAGCAGGTTCTTTAGTTTGGGTTGTTACTTTAATCTTGATTAGCTCAGGATTAGTTTGAGATCTTACATTTAAAGTAATATCATTTGTAACTTGTGCTATTTAAAGTTTGTATTGAGTACACATAAATAATAAATAGTTCAGTTATTTGGAATTTAAATTTAAAAATCTATTTGACAACAGTCTGGATTTTGCCTATTTATAAGACTTGGTTACTTGGACACTAACTTGTAGCTTAGGAGATTATGTTTTTCTTAGTTTTTGCATTTATTTTCACCATTGACTGCAGTAAGCTTTCTTTATTCTAGTGATCTGAGGGTGTAGCTTAGGGCATGAACCTCACTGAGTAGTTGGTCTGTTACTGGATGGGTGATCTAAGGGCACCCTGGTCCAGAAGATCATAGGTCCTCAGGTCTCCTGAACAGAACACTGAACAGAGACACAGATTGCAAAGCAGTATCAAAGCTTTATTGAAAGAAAAAGAAGGAACTGGTGGAGAGGGTCAAGGAGAATAGCACCTGCCTAGCAAGCATGAGGCCCTGAGTTCAAACCTCAATACTGCAAAATCAATAAACAAATAAATAAAAATAACCAGAGCAAAATGGACTGGAGGTGTGGCTCAGTCAAGTGCCTGCTTTGCAAACACATGAAGTCCCATAATAAATAAGTAAATTTTAAAAAAGAAAGAAAAGGCATTGCAAAAGAGAAAGCGGGGAGCCCTGGCCAGGTGACACAGAAACCAGATCTTTGTTCAAAGGACATTTTAAGTTGTAAGGGCAAACGGTGGGAAAAATCTGGGTGGTCTTTGCAGGAGAAGCTAGGGTTTAACAGGTTTGGTTAACAAGGTCTTGTTATTCTGTGCATGTGTCTGTAGGTTCCCAAGTCTTTTAATTGTACATATAAAATGCAACCAATATCATAGGGTCTTAAGTAGAGGGCTTACCTGAGGAGTCTAATTGAGGACAAATTTTCCTTTATTGGGCATGCTTCTTTGTCTTTTGGAGCACTTACATCTACAACTAAAAAGAAATTTACAGCTGAAGGGATGTCTGAGGTTAGTACTGGGTGGGGAGAAGGAGTGCAAAAGGGGTGACCTTTTGGTGAAGAGGATGGAGTGTTATGGTGGGTTACTTTCCCTGTGCTAGCCTGCCTCAGTTGTCCCCATGGTTTTGTGGTAAGCAGTGATTCTTGTCTGACCTTAGGTATCCCAGGTGGACTCCATCTGCGAGTGTCTGCTGGAGCATGAAGAGCAGACCCTGAGGGACATGGCACTGGATTCCATTGAGTGGGCAGAGGTGGCCATCACCGTCAACACTGTCCTCAAGGTACCAGGAGGCACTGAGAGCCCACAGTGGGGAGGGGTGAGAAAGTGGTCTTATTCTTGCTCTGTCCTGCCAGTAACTTACATGGTTCAGCCATTAATTCCAAAAAGTTAGACAAATAGCATTCATTTTATGAACTAACAAAGGTTTGCCTAGTTCATATCAATAAGTTTCCATAACTCTGAGTTTCTGTTTGGTAGAATAAACGTTTTCTTTGGAGAGGGTTGTTTACATCGTTGCAAAGCTGTTAGTGTTAATGTAACTGTCTAAATCCTCATTTCAGTCTTTTTCTTTTGTTTTTTTTGAGATGAGGTCTCGCTGTGTTGAACTCCTGGCTCAAGACATCTACCTGCCTCAGTGGTTCTGGGTTTGAACTCAGGGCCTTGCCCTTTTGAGGCAGGCGCAGTACCACACCTATAGCCCTGACTTCTATTTTTGAATTACTCAAAACTTGCTACTTATTAGCTAAAATACTTCATTTAATTTTACCTATTAGACTTTGTAGTACTAGCTTTTCAGATTTGGTTACTATAGTTTGCCAAAATTGGAGCTAAATTAAAACAAATTTTACAAGCAGAAAGAACAAGGAAGTCCTGAGTATTTTTCCTTTCTTTGCTCTGCTGGGGATTGAATCTAGGGTCTCATGCATGCTAGGCAAGCACAGTGTTTCAGCTCTTTTTCAGAGACATGGCTATCCATTGCTTCCCAATGTGAAAATATATTTTGCTTTTATAGGACATGCTGCAGGCTGCTAGTTATTATCGCCAGAATAGAAACTCCATGTATAGACGAGAAGAACCGCTAGGGAGAGAGCCCGAGTACATTCCATGGACAGGTAACTATGGACATATGAACAGCTGTTGAGAATATATTGCGAGTGTTTGGGAGCTGCTGTTACCCTGGTACAGGTTTGTAAGTGAAAAGAACACTGAAATGCGTCCAAAGTGAGCAATTCTTCCAAAGTCACTTCCTTCCTTAGACACCTTTATAGACCTTCCTGTGACTTACTTATGTAATGTCCTTAAGCATCTGTTAAGCTGTAGTACAAATAGTCGTTCACAGAAGCAGGTCCTGGCCCTAGAGGAAGGGGCTACATTTTGTATGAATACTACAAAGTAAGTTGCACAGCATTAAAGGAACTAGAAAGAAGCAGGGAACTAGAAAGATGCGTACCTGACCATGTTGAGAAAATCTCCACAGAGAAGATGGGACCTAGGCAGGTATCACTGGACTCTGGTTTGTTTTTCCAGAGTGGGGAAGCAACATAGCAGTTGGTCTCTTCTCTGCCTTGTAGAACTCTTACTCACCAAGTTACTTTGTGTGATTTCACAGCCACAAGTGGCCCTGCTGGCATCAGAACAGCAATCATGCACCAGCACGGGATCATCCTGAAAACAGTATATCCACAAGCCGACAGCAACCTTCGAAATGTCATCACGGAACAGCTGGTAGCACTGATCGATTGCTTTCTGGATGGTTATGTGTCCCAGCTGAAGTCTCTAGACAAATCCAGTGACCAAGAAAGATACAGCAATCTGGAAGCAGAGTACCTACAGAAAAGATCGGATCTCCTTTCCCCTCTGCGTGAGTGCATGGTAGTCAGCACAGCTTGGGCCTGTGTGTGAATGGAGAAAAAGAGTCAAACAGTTACTGCAGGGTAGTCAGTGTGGCAGCATCAATCCAGCAGTAACCAGGAAGTTAAAGTTTCCTCTGTTCACATAGTCAGCCTTTCCTTCAATACTTACCAGGTGCAAGAACTGTGGACAATGCTGCAGTTGATGGAAAATGAGTAAGGTAACCTGGAGATTGCCCTCAGTCAATGAGCTCAGCCTTGGGAGGAATAACCCACATCAGAACAGAGCCTGGCAGTGCCAGTGAAGGGCGAGGTGGCACAGTGTGTCTGTTGAGAAGGGAGAGTGTGTTCCTCTCACAGCCAGGGTCAGGCGAGCTTGTTTGCTAGTGCATGAAGGAGGAGAGCCATGGCAGAGAGGCATCGAGGAGACAGTGGGCCACATTTGCATCTTTAGCAGGTTGCTGAGGATCCAGTAACCTGGAAGGCTTCCATTCCATTAGTCATTCTTAGTTCAAGTAATACTTTGTATTACATATTTAAGTTTTTGCGAGCAGGACTTTTCCCATCTGTTCTCATTTCCACAGTCACACTAGGCCAGTACCCATGGGCTGCTTCTCTAGCAGAGAAGTACTGTGACTTTGATATCCTGGTGCAGATGTGTGAGCAGACAGACAACCAGGCCAGACTCCAGCGCTACATGACCCAGTTTGCTGACCAGGTACTCATGTATGGGCAGTGGGCTGTGCTGGGTCAGATTTTACCCTTTCCAGAGTGTCCCTGGGCATTGGGGAAAGGGCATGCTTTTTCTGCAGGCATGAGAAGGCACTGGTTTACATGCTGTGCTTGTTTGTCAGACAGTGCTTTATGTGCAAGTGCTACTGAGTGGCTCTCTGGCCTTTGAAAATGTTCAGCCTTTTGCATCTATCCTCACCTTTCAGTCACAAGGAGAGCACTTAGTGCAGGGACACAGTGACATTTGAAGCTTGAACCGAGGACACTTGGGGGCAAAGGACACTGCTTGTGGAGAATCTAGATCTGTACACACCTGAGCTTCCTGCTTTCCTTGGGTTTGACATCAGCGTCCTATTTTTAAACAAAGTTCCTGTTTTGATGCTGTCATGGTGATTTCATTTGCTCCTTAAAGCCAGTTTATCCTGTGAGCTGATTATCTTATAAAAAGCTTTTTTTTTTTTCTTTTTACTATCTAAGTAATATTGTGTAAAGTTCAGAAAACTCCTATAAACAAATAGTTACAAGTCACTCAACAATTCCACGATCCAGAGAGAACCCTTTTAAATATTTGGTTTATATTCTACCAGTTTTCTACTCTGTAGTATTAAAAACACATGTTTTGTCAAGTGCTTTTTTTCACTTAGTACATCTCATACATGTCCATATTGGTAAACAGTCTACAGCAGGCTTTTTAGTGGCATTCTGGTATTGCATTGTTTTTATGTGACTATTGTCCAGCTGTAGGGCATGGCTTATCCAGTATGTGACAGTAGTGCTGATTAAATGCTTTTGACCAATCCTGATTTTATTTCTTTGTATGGATTCTTCTTGTCCATTATATTCCATCCATTTTTGCGTTTTTTTTCTTTCTTTGCCATGTTCGATAGTTGGGCAAATAGTTCGAGAGACCCCCATCTCACCCAAAATAGCCAGAGTAAAATGGACTGGTAGTATGGCTCAAGTAGTAGAGCACCTGCTTTACAAACATGAAGCCCTGAGTTCAAACCTCAGTCCCACTGAAAAAAAAAGAATCCAGTCTGAGCCACTTAGCAAGTTCCAGCCATCCTGGAACAGGGTGAGACCCTGTTCTTATTTAAAAAAAAAAAAAAAAAAGCTGTATTACCAAAATTAATGGCTTTTTGGCTATGTGCTTTGTAGAATTTTTCAGACTTTCTCTTCCGTTGGTATCTGGAGAAAGGAAAGCGGGGCAAATTATTATCTCAGCCAATTTCTCAACATGAACAGTTGGCAAATTTTTTGCAAGCCCATGAACATCTCAGCTGGTTACATGAAATTAACAGTCAAGAGCTAGAAAAGGTAAGAAGGGCTGGGTGTGTGGCTAAAGTGGTAAAGCACCTGCCTAACAAGTGAGAGTCCTTGAGTTCAATACTCCAGTACTGCCAAAAGAGAAAAAAAAAAAAAAAGAGCCGGGTGGCTGGTGGCTCATGCTTGTAATTCTAGCTACTCAAGAGGCAGAGATCAGGAGGATCATGGTTTGAAGCCAGCCTGGGCAAAATAGTTGGTAAGACCCTATTTTAAAAATACCCAACACAAAATAGGGCTGGTGGAGTGGCTCAAGTGGTAGAACACCTGCCTAGCAAGGGTAAGGCCATGAGTTCAAACCCCAGTACTGCCCCCCCACCCAAAAAATTTAAAAAAAAACATCATGAGATATTACCTCATGCCTATCAGAATGCCTTTTATCAAAAGACAAGAGGCCAGGAGCATAGCTGAAATGGTAGAACTCCTGCCTAGTAGGAAGCTTGAGGCCCTGAGTTCAGAACTCCAGTACAATAACCCCCTCACTCCTCTCAAAAAAAAGAAAGTTTTGCTAGATATAGCTCAGTGGTAGGGTACTTGCCTAGCATGCAGGAGTCCCTGGGTTCATTCCCCAATATTGCAAAACAAAACAAAAAGATCACATCAAAAACGACAAAAGATAACAGGAAACCCTTGAGTGCTGTTGGTGAGAATGTAATTTAGTAAAACCATTAAGGAAAATTGTGTGGAGGTTCCTCAGGGAACTAGAAATGGAACTACCAGATTATCTATAAATCTTACTTCCAGGTATCCAAACATTTTGAAATCAGTATGCCAGAGAGACACCTGCACTCCCATGCTTATTGCAACACCATTCACAATACCCAAGTTAAGGAGTCCAACTATGTATCAGTCAGCTTTGGATGGTGTCTTTATACCCACTTGCACACACATACACACATGCACCGTGTGAATGGATATGTACCATGTGTGTGTACATCCACAAAGGGACAATATTCAGTCCTTAGAAAGGAAAAACACCTGCCATTTGCAGTAGCATGAGTGAATCTAAAGGACTTATGCTAAGTGAAATGAGCTAAGCATAGAGGACAGTTCTGCCTGACCTCACTTGTATGTGGGATCTGAAACAATTAGCTATAGAAACAGAGTAGAAGGAGGTTACCAGGAGCTGGGGTGAAGGAAATGGAGACGTTGGTCAAAGGGTATAGAGTTTCAGTTAGCTAGGAGGAAGAAGAGGCATGCTGCGTAGTTATTAACAGTGTATTTGACAACACTTAGATTACTAAAATGTATACATCCTGTTTTCTCACAAAATTTAAATAGGCCATACTTGATATGTCTTCAAAAAATTGTAGGTCATTGTAATGAAATAAGACGTAAACATTTACTGGTAGTCTTTGGTTATAAAAACGTTCTTGTAATAAAAATATTAAAATTGTGAGTAAAACCAGTGCACAGTAAGGTGTGTGTGCTCTTGACAGAATATTGAAGTAAATGTGAAATGAGGAACAGATGTTGTGCTGGCCTTTTTCCCACTACTGTGTGTCATGTAATTACTTAGTGTTGTATTGAGCTGGGTTTGGGTTTGCTAATTATCAGTTTTTCTTTGTTTTGTGTGACTTAGGAAGACAAAGCAATTTTGGGGTGTACGGACCCTTTATTTCAAGATTGAGTTGGGACTCAGGACCACATCGTGATCTTCATGTTTTGTTTATTGTAGGCTCACGTGACACTTTTGGGTTTGGCAAATACGGAAACTCGTTACTTTGCAAAGAAAAAAACCCTTCTTGGCTTGAGTAAATTGGCTGCCTTAGCTTCAGACCTTTCAGAAGATGTACTGCAAGAAAAAATTGAAGGTAAGAGAAAGGATTTGAACAAGGAGATGTACAAGTCCATCATGCTTTCAGTTCTGTCTTCCCCTCTGAGAGGAATGCTTTCTGTCAACACCCACATGGAGTCACTCAAACAGAAACTTGGAATCTTTTTTTTTTTTAAGAGAAAACTTGTATTTGAAACGAGGATAGAGAATAATTAATTCAAATGCTTTTGAATTTGTTGAGGACTCTGGTTATACACCTTTGTAATGTATACTCCAAGGTAAAAAGAGCTGCAGAGAAGTCTGCAGAAGGTAAAAAGGCCTTGCACAGGGGCTTGTTGGAGTAATGGTGATGGTGCATAATCCTGCAACTATTCTTTAGATAGAGAAAATGATAAAATAAGGTATTATTTTTGAGAACCAAGAAGGGAGATACAAGTATAGAGTAGAGGTCCTGTGTTTGAACTGGAGACACCAGATGGAGCCGGTTTTGGCTCTTATCCTGAAAGGGCCTAAAGCAGTGGCACTCCAGAACAGGAGCTACCTTGGCTCCACGTTTTGGTTTCTGACCTCCAGTGCCCAGGAGAAGAGAGTCTTGGATGGGAAAGGAGAGCATAAGAGCCTTGAACAGATCCCAAGTGAAAGATTACATTTCATGGTTCATAAAAGAAAAATCCATAAATCCACAGTGATGCCCAAAAGGGGAAGGGGTCACTGAGATGCTTCTTTACGAGAGTGACAACAACCTCAGTGAAAAACTGTTCATCAAAACTGCTTGAATCAGCCAGTGATGGTGGCACATGCCTGTAATCCAGCTACTCAGGGCTAAGGCTGGAGGATCTCAAGTGCAAGTTCAAGACCAGCCAGGGCTACATAGCAAAAAAGACCTGTCTCAAAAAAAAGCTAAATCACTGAGTTTACAGGGGCATGTATTCCCATGTTTTCAGAGTATTGGTACACAGATCTCACAATACCCAAAGCAATCACAGGACAGACCCATGTTTTCACACTTCCTGGAGTGGTGTGGCATGGTAGCACATACCGCACCTGGATCGCCTGCTTGTTAGTGTGACCTGAACCTATAACTGATCACGGGAGCAGTCAGGTATCTCCTGGTGGCAGTACATTTTACAGTACAGTCAGCCTGGGCTCTTTAAAATTTTAGCAACATGAGAGATGAAAAGGCAAACTTAGAGTAAAGGATCCCAAGAGCCACACCTGCAGTCCATTTTGCTCTGGTTATTTTGGAGATGGAGTCTGGCTATTTGCCTAGACTGGCCTTGAACCTCGATCCTTTCAGTCTCAAGACTCCCAAGTAGCTAGCACTATAGGTGTGAGCCACTGATGCCCAGCTTAGAGCTGTTTTTAATTCATGTTTGTTTTATGACAGTGAAAGTGAAAGTGTCATCATTCTCTCTCTGTCTTTGAACACAGTGATGGCTGAGCAGGAGCGCTTCCTGCTGCACCAGGAGACCCTGCCTGAGCAGCTGCTGGCAGAAAAACAGCTGAGTCTCAGTGCAATGCCAGTGTTGACAGCACCTCGGCTCATCAGCGTAGGTGTCACATCCTCACCTTGCTCCCCACACCCAGAACCAGCTTGTTTGCTGGGCCATGCAGTGTAGCTCCTAAGAGGATTGCTTTCCGAGGCTCCCACTCCACTGAGAACTTTCCCCTAGAAAACATGTTGGAAGCTGCTTGGGAGCAGGAAGGTATTAGCAGGAAACAGCTGCCCAACCTCTGCCTTCCCGTGCACCTCCCCCGGCCCTCCAGGTGCTCCTCCCAATGACATGCTTTCCTAGTGTAGGAGAAGTGTGCACCATGAAATAAGTGTTTCCCCAGAGCGTCACTCTGCAGGCTCTTCTGTAAGAACTGGTTCAAGGCCTGCAGATACCTCCTTACCCCTCTCCTGGCAACCAAAGGTCAGAGGATGGGACTGAGGCTGGAGTGGGACCTGTAGCAGGATGAGATGGTGGATGCCATGTGCAAGCGTGGCTTCACTCCTATCAGAGGCATTTCACATGCAAGCATGATGTGGTAGAGACATTCTGAATCTGCTCTAAGATATTAGAAAGAAACTTGAGTGTTACTCAGTATTAGCAACAGCGTTTATGTGCTGAGCTCATGGCCACCTGACCTGATAGAGCTACTTAATTTGAAATCAAGTCTTAAGACAATGAAAATGAGCAGATGCTTTTTTCTGAAATGGTATGAATTTTGTACTTAAAAATGAAACTTGTCATATTACAAGTAGTTGTTGGAATAGGAAGATAGGGAAAACTCAAGTTGATAATTTTAATAAAGTAAGAATTTTCTGGACATAAAATGGCAGGATGTGTGAGGAATGTGTGCAGCCAGCTGTCATCTGACCAGTACAACCCTGGGTCACATTCTGGCAGGTGTTTTCCTTACCTTCTAGTGTACTCCACACCAACTATGTGTGTCTTGGGGTTGCGGTTTTTAAAGCCATTTAAAAGGGCAGCATCTCAAAAGCCATATTAAAAGTGCAAAGGGCACACACACAAAAATTCTGTCTTATTGGTAAAAATGTAAATTTTCTGACACTGTAAAAGTTATGCACCAGTTATGCAAACTAATTTCTGATTTAGGATGTACACTTTTTAAAGTTTATTTTGAGTTAGATGGAATATAGTTCCCAAATGTGACATTTTTCTTGGCTACAAAACTATCTTCTGCTTATTTAAAAGAAGACATAATGACTTTTCCTCCCCATTAATTTGTCTAGTATCAGTTCTGTAATTACTTACAATAATCTTCCGCCTTATACAACTTGCTACAGCTATATATCTGTGAAGAAAACAGAAGAGCTAGTGAATATGATTTTAAGAAAGCTTTGGACTTGCTGGAATATATTGATGAGGTAAGTAAATCACTTCATCTCTCAAGCAGCTGAATACATAGAAAAAGAGGGAAAGACTTATTTCTGGTTTAGCTACCCTGGCTCTTAGAAGGCATCCAGCCCTTTGGAAAAACTGCCAGGACTGATACTGATAAATGACCTCACAATTCCCAGATTTAAAAAGGTGGATTTTCAGAGTCCTAAGGTGCTTTTTTCATAATGTTCACCCAAAGAGAAGCTGTCTTTCAGTTTTCAAAAGATCATACTGTGCATTCTGTAGGATAAGCAGTTACTATGTTATGCGGCTGTGCAATCAGAAGTCGTCCGGTAAATTTTAAAAACATATGTTAGCTTTTGTAAACTTTTTAAAAATCTTAACTTCTCAAAGTCCTTGATGAAGTCAGATTTATCCAAGAGTGACCTGAAACTAACACACAGATACCCACTGGCTTTCTCTCCAAGTAGAACTAACATCTCAAAGAAGGTAAAAAGTTTTAAGTTAGGACTTAAAGCAAAGCAACAATATTTGTGCAGGGTTAGGAGTTGATATTAATAAAATTTAAACATCTATTTCTTTTTAAAGTCAGGCTTTAACCAAAGTGTTTTATTTTGCTGTGAAGGAGGAAGATGTAAATATAAATGATCTGAAATTGGAAATCCTTTGCAGAGCCCTGCAGAGAGATCAGTAAGTTCTCCTGCCCAGATGCCAGGTGTGGTGTAGACAGCTGGTCTTTAGGGCAAGCAGTTGACAAGCTTATGAACATTTTAGTCGTTGCTTTGGCAATCCTGCATTTTTAATTAAGCAGTTAAGAAATAGCCTAAAGACATAGGACCACTGGTATAATAAATCACTGCTTTTGTCAAGGGGTTCTTCTTGTTTTTTTGAGATGGGGTCTTACTGTGTAGCCCAGGTTGGCCTTGAACTCTTGATCCTCCTGCCTTAGCCTCGCCAGTGTTGGGATTATAGGCATAGCATCATGCCAGGCTCATAAATCATGGTTTTTGATGTTAATATCTAGACCTAAGTTCACACAGAAACGTGCATGTTCCTCATTTTCACAGAAGTCGAACCCTTCATGCCAGATAAGACTCAAAACTAAGATTTGTTTGTTTGTCTTTTAAATACAAAGTGGTTACAGTTTGAGGGTTGGTTATGGAGTAGCAGTCTCTTTCTCATAGCCATCTTTCACAGGGGGAACATTTCCATCCAGAAGTCTTATTAAGACTCAGTGGCAAAGAGAAACTCAGGCCACCTGTGGGAGGCCTGGGCTCCTCTAGGACAGGAGCGATAGAGAGGCCCTGAGTTCCCAGAGAATGCAGCAGGCTTGTGTCATGAAGAGCCTCTGGGCAGCTAGGACCCTATAGAGGCACTAGCTCCGTGCCTCCTTGGTCTGTTGATCTCAGCCCAGTTTTCAGAAGGATGCTGTCGTTTTCAGTGGAGCTTATTGTCCTGGCTTTTTGTCTAAAGTTTTAGGGTTTCTGGTGATTCTGCTAGGAAAGAAAGCTATCCCTCCAGCCCTCCACCGGATGCTGGGCCCCTGGCTCCCAGAAGATGGAGTTTGTGGTACACTGTAATTATGGCTATGCCAGGAAAGATGCTTGCTGGATCTGTTTCTACAGCATTGTCCTCAGAAAGGCACCTGCTGTTTGGTTTTAAGTCAGAACATGGTGTGGTGTGATGTGGGTGAATGCTGCCAGGGCAGCTGTATTCTGATGCAGACTGGAGCCTTCGTTTTGATGATTTGAAGCAGTATCACTGAACTCAAGGCTCTATCCCCACAGCCATGAGAGAAAATCAGTCTCTCTCAGCCACATCCGTGATTCCTTTTCTCTTGTGATTTTTGTCTTGTAGCTGGTCCAGTTCTGATGGTAAAGATGATCCAATTGAAGTGTCTAAAGACAGTGTGTTTGTGAAAATCTTACAGAAACTTTTAAAAGATGGTAAGTGGTTTGTTTCTATTGCAAACTAAATGTCCCTGCTATTTTAGAAACTGTAGAGCAGTCAATCAAATGATCCAATATGACCCAAAGACCCAAGTGACAAGATGTTAAATGACATGGAAATTCCAGGAGAAGCAGTATCATAGGCAAAATCATACATTTGCTTACAGTGAAGATTGAGTTTCTGCCCTCTGCCCTTGGGGAGCATATGTGAAGCTGAATCACCCCATGATACCCCCCATACACCCTCCCGCCTCCAGATCCCAACAGCAACCTATGGGCACAAATGTTGGTTGTGATACCAAAAATCTGTAGTGATAGAACTAATCATTTCCTTTACCTTTTCAGTTTACTCTTGTGAAGATCAAAAATTTGAGATAAGACAAACTTTTTTGGTATATTCCCTACTAAACTAACAGAACCGTGTTTAAGAACAAACTACAAGATATTTGTACAAATTGCTTTAAGATTTGAAAATTCAATTAAGAAACAAATGAACAAGTCAGGATGTGTTCTGCACCCAAAACAGTGAATAAAATTCATAACATTTGCTAACCCAGATTTCTGTCTTAAAACTAACACACACAAAAATGGCATGACACTTCAAAGATATCTTTTTAAAAGTCAGTATTTGGTTTTGAGAACCTTATGGTAATGTAACAAATTATGTTATCATGTTATTAATTTAAAATTTGTATCAAATTTTCTTTATTTGTCAAGTGAGAAAATTACACAAGTTTCTGTGTAGCTTCAGACCTCTGCTTCAGTAGTCTGGCCATTTGGGGCTCCTACTTTCCAGAGAAGACATCTTCCTCTCTGGTCTTCAATTTCATTTGCAATACTTCTGTTGTTTTTAATGAAATAGGGTCTCACTGTGTTGTCCAGGCAGGTCTTGAACTCCTGGGCTCAAGTGACCTTCTTCCAGAGTGCCTTAGCTGGGACTATAGGCACATGCCACCTCACTTGGCTTGGCTGTAGTACCATTGCAACACTGTAGCCACTCTCCTGACAGTGTTTCCACTAAATTATTTCCCAAATGGGGGAACATATATTTATTTAAAATAGTTGTTTTAAAATGAATTATTTTAAAACTTCCACATTGAAGGTATGTCTTAAGCTGAAGGGAAAAAAATGAAAAAAATTTCAGGTCCTACTACAGATTTCTCATGACATGACTGCTTTGACCAGCAAGGGGGGAGGAACAGACCCCCACGGGGACCTCTGGAGAGTTTGTTGTGACACTTGAGAGCACGTAGGTTGGATGAAGGAGGCTGGAGGGCAGCACACCCCAGGAGCAGAGGACTCTTACTTCCAAATGGATCACACATGCTCCATCCGTCGTCTGAATTCATTTGAGGGTTCTGTAAAAGTGAGAGTTGACTCTGTTCTGTGTTTGCAGGCATTCAGCTCAGGGAATACTTGCCGGAAGTGCAGGACCTACTGCAAGCAGATCAGCTTGGAAGCCTCAAGTCCAACCCTTACTTTGAGTTTGTTTTGAAAGCAAATTATGAATATTATGTCCAGGGACAAATTTAATGTTTTCTGAACTTTGTATTGTGTGCTTATAAAAATTTTAGGCCTTAGCTGGGTGTGGTAGTAGAGTCTGGGCTAGGAGGACTGCCAGTTCGAGGCCAGCCTGGGCTACATATAGTGAGACCCTGTCTCAAAAAACCAAAACCAAAATCAAACAAAAAAACTGGTTAGGCTTAAACAGTCAGAAGTTTGTACAGTTTTATAATGTGTGCTGCTGCGTCTTCATACTTTATTTGGAATCTAACATAAAATAGTAATGTAAATATAGTTCTGGTTTTTTTTTCAGTTACATGGTATTTTCTTTCCTCCTTTTTTCTCCTGAAGTACCTGTGCTTGTTGCCTTTGTCTCACACCTCACTTGGTCCAGTGGGTTGTATGGTTCTTGTCCTGATGCTGCCTCTTGTGTGCACAGATCACTTCAAGGTCTCGGTATCTAGTCATTTTTTCCTTCTTTGGCAGCACTGGGGTTTGAACTCATGGCCTTGCACTTGCTAAGCATGCACTCTTACTGCTTGAGCCACTCTGCCAGCTCTAGGTGTCAGTTTCTAAGCTCTTAGAAGGTTGCCCTGAGTTGTCTCTGAAATCTCTGTGGCTCTGCCATCATGGGCTGAGGGGAGTCTGGGGTGTTTGGTATGTATTTTGGGCAGGGCCAGTGTAGCAAAATAAATGTGAAATTTTACTGACTTATTGTAGGACTGAAAAAAAAAACCAAAACAGTGGGTCTGAGAGTTTGATAACTGGTTAGCTCATTGAGAACATTCTTAATTTCTCTATGCAAATAATGAATGCATGCATGTTAGTGAAGATGTTTTAGTGAGAAAGGTGTTCGTGTGGCCTTCTGACCTATCTGTAAATCATCACTGCCCAATACCCGTGTTAGTTATGCTTGCTCCTGTACTTTCAGGTGATTTTCACAGACTTCTTTCACTAGTCTGCCCTAGTCATAACCACATGTAATAGTAGGCTGGCTCACTGTGGGTTTTCCTTATATGGTCCCTAAAAAGTGAGGACCGCAAAGCCAATTTGTCCTGACCAGTCATCACTCATTGTTACATGGCCTTAAATAAAAAGCAGAGATTAGACAGAGTGGTCTGGGTAGCACTTTGGCCCTCCTGGCTGGAGCTGAAGTCAGCCATATGAAGCTTCCTGGTTTCACAGCCCAGCCATTGCGCCCTCTCCTGCTTCTAGTTTACCCTTGCCTTATTCGGAAGAATAGGCAAATGGAGCTGTTTATCTTATCTAAAGAAGGAAATTAGCCCCAGAGTTTTCTTGTGTATGGCCAGGTTAAGAATGTACTGGAGGGTGCAGGGCCAGGTGAGGTACACCTTGAAGGGCAACCAGGCAGAATGGGAAGAGCAGCTTGGCATGGAGGCAGGAGGCCCTTGAGTGCATGTTGTACATTAGACATTGACTGTCAGTGTTCAGTTGTCACTGTGTGCCCTGTCAGGTGAGGGCATGGACTCCACCACAGACCCATGTGTCATCCCCATGTGACAGGAGAACTCTACAGGAGTGGTGTGGATTTCTGTGTGAGGTATGGCCCTCTGGCTCTGTCTCACAACAGCCGCACCTCCAGAACACTTGGTGTTTAAATCCGCAACAGCAGTAAAAATGAAATTAAGACCTGAAGTTTTGAGTACTTTTTTCTCCTAAAATTTTTTTTGTTGTATTTTTGTTTTGTTTTGCTTTTGTTTTTGTTTTTTTGGCGGTACTGGAGGTTTAAACTCAGGGCTTTGTGCTTGCCAGGCAAACACTCTACCACTTGAGCCATACCTCCAGCGGTGTTTTGTTTTGTTTTTGCAACAGGGTCTTGCTCTGTAGCCCAGGTTAGCCTTAAGTTTGCTATCCTTTTGCCTCAGCCTCCTAGTACTGGGATTACAGGTTTGCATCACCACCCCAAGCTCACTGACAGAGCCCTTCCTTCTAACACCAAGCTGGTGTGTTGACACTTCCTACTTCTCTACCATGACCCCTCTACTCTTTATACCCCACTCCATTCCTGCCTGTCTCCACCTTCTCCAGTGTTTCCTATCAATTTAAACATGAACTTGTAAAACACTTAATGAAAGTTCTTCATGATTCAATCCTTTGCTGTGTCCTGAGGCAAACAGGACAGTTGTTGTTCATCTGTTTTTTGTTTCTCCTTTATTTTGGGGTATAAGGCTTTGTATGCCAACAGCATGCCCCAGCTTCCACAGCAACCAGATGAGCTGAGGTGAGCTCACCCCTCCCCGACCAGTGGCCAGGCAGGGAAAGGATTGCTTTCTACCTCTCTCTCCGGACATTTGGTGCAGATCTGGAGTTGTAGTCGAATCCTCCAGGGATCTTCGCCAGTGAAGATCCAAAGACATCTTGAAATGCAAAGCCATGGCTTCCTGAGCAGCTATCACCTTTCGTCACAGAGAGAATCAATCGTGAGGGGCAGGTAGCCAATGGAAAGACAGATTTTTTGCAAGCCACACGACTGCAAGTGTCCTGGCTCTTGGGTGGTCAGAAAGCCATAGTATCTTCTCTCTCCTTTCTTGGAACTGCTGGCTCCTCTAAAGACAGAGCAGCACTCTAGCACATCCTGAACTTACTTCCCCTATTGCCACATGACCTAGGAAAGTCACTTCCAAAAGGCTCAGTGCTCACACCTCCATAAGACTGGAGGTCATATCCTGAGTACTTAAGTGAGACTTCATTCTCATACGGGGCAAAAATTGGCCCTTGGGGAGTGAAAAAAACCTCACTGTAGCTCCAGCTGGACTTGAACTCAAGATTCTCCTGCCTCTGCCTCTCTAGGGATTACAGGTGTGTACCACCACACCCAGCCAAAAATATTATCTTTTTTTTTTTTTAAACATGTGAGTGGCTCAAGTAGCAGAGCACCCTGCCTAACAAGAGTGAAACACTGAGTTCAATCACCAGTACCCCAAAATAAATAAACAGAAGTTCGGGAAAGGATACAGTCCCCTGTAATCCCCCTGACAAGAACATCTGTTCCCATTTTGAGATTTATCTTAGAACTTAGAATGTATTGGACTGTGCCTTTTGTTTTGTACATAACTTTGTACTTCTCTTGTATGGGGTATTGTATGCATTTCACTGTACCCTTAATCCCAGGCTGGGGACCTGGGAACCTAAAGCAGGACTTCAGTCAGGCACCCACCTGGTTGGCCATCCATCTGACAGTCCTCTTGTGGCTGGGCAGGCAGTGGCCACCTGCCCAGGTGGTGGGAGCCATATGGCTGTGCTCAGAAATGACACATACGGTGTCCCCTCTAGTGAGTTGTCCATCTGTTCTCTAAATTGGTGAGTTCAACAGGAATAGAGTAGCTCCAAGGGTGCCTGGTGACCAGCAGGGACTTTGTAAGCCGGGGCAGTGGCAGGCAGACAGCTGACATCTGCCCATGTGTTGTGCTGTGCTGGAGGTCTCCTGAAGCTTGTGGGCATTTGTTCCTCTTTAGCATGGATGGGTTTGAATCTCAGTCTGAGCTGAGAAGCTTGTTGGAGAGGTTAAGAGGCACTGAGCAGGAGTTTTGAGCAGTAATGACAGCCCCAGCCCCGTCCTTGGCTGTCCAGTGGTAACAGCACATCCCTCTTTCAAGGCCCAAAGTTCAGTCCCTCTCCTTAAGTTGTACACACAGAGCACCCACCAGCTTATTTTGTCTAGCATCTCTGCTATCCATTGATATAGGCAAGCACAGGATACTGAAAGTGGAATTCGTTTTGTCTTTTATTCACCCCTCCCCAAATTAATTGGAAAAGTAAAGGTGAACTCGCAGAGCCATCCGGTGACCTTTGTACTTGCTGCATAGGCCATCCTAACCCACTTCAGCTTGACTGATGTGGTGTGGGTACGGAGGGGCCCCGTATGCTTTATCCCCTTCTTTGAGGCATCAACAGCTGTCCCAGTTGCCCAGTTCCACCACCAAATGTGAGCTGCGACTATTTTGGGAATGAGTGGTTCCATGGTGGCTCACACCACATCCCTGATGCACCCCTCAAGGCATGTTGCTGAGCTAGTCACAGAACATTGTTTCCTCCAGGCTTTCCTGTCCCCCTCCCCCCAAATTGAGACAGGCACCAAATTGAGGCAGTGACCTCCACTGACCCCCACCCTCACCTACCATAAGTAGATCCAAGTCCTTCTAGAAACCCGGGAGGCAGATCCCATATAGCCATGGTATAAATAGAATCTGCATGGCCAGCCGGCAGGTGGTGACTCCAAGGTGGACTGCTAAGCAGCCTGGCCTGGCGGACATCATCCTCTAAATATAAAAGACGAGGAGGGGCTGCTGCTAAGCTAGAGTGCAGTGCCTTGGTCCTCCCTGATTAAACTATCCCTGCTCCATTCCTCTCACCCACCTCAGGAGAGGGACGCTCAGTGCAATCAAGGAGGTGGGACTGTGCTGACAGCCCAGCCAACTCAGCAGGCAAGCAGTCCTGGAGGAAGGGACCCCAACTACCCCTCACTCTTGAGCTCACTGTTGCACCCAGAGGACAACTCTAGTGCCCTGTCCTAGTCCCCCACGTGGCCACAGCCTCTGCTGGGCCTGTCACCGAAGCCCCTGTACCTCCTCCCACCACTCCCCTCCCTCTACCAGTTGTCACCCAGTGACAGCTGCAGGCCCTCAGCCACACTAGTGGCCTCAAGGTGGGGGAGGGGCCAACTTGGGTCAGACCTTGGTCTCTGAGCTGATGGCAGGGAGTGGGGGCTCACAGCACAAGCCTTGGCTCCCTCTGCCTGGGAGCAAGTGGCCTCTCCACCCTCCAAGCCCATCAGCCAGCCATATGGCTCCCTCCCCAGAGCTACACACTTGGGGCTTTGGGTCTGAGTAAGGAACTCAGATGGGGTGCAATGTGGGAGGCCAATGGTGAGGGCCTTCGAAAGAGACCCATGTGCCCTGAGTGGACAGGTGAAAAACCTTTGAAACAGGTGTGGCTTGGGGAGCACAGACCACCCACTATGCACACAGTGACCTTTGCCCCACCAGTCAGGCAGGCGACCTGGCTGTTGGGAGGGGCTGACTGGCTGGGGAGACACTCCATATATGGCCTGGTCTGTGCCACCTGGGCCAGGGCCAGCCCGCTCCTTCTTTGGTCAGTACAGGGGACCAGGGCAGGAGCCCAGGCTGAGGACCAGCTGAAGGAGGGACTCTAGTGCCCGACACCCAAATATGGCTTGGGAAGGGCAGCGACATTCCTGCGGGGCGGCGTGGAAGGAGTGCCCGTGGGCTATATAAAACCTGAGCTAGAGGACAGGCAGCCACGCAGTGGACAGCGAGTGGAGCTTTGCTTCCTCCCTCCGTGACCAGGGCCGGAGAACAGCAGGTGTAGCCACCCACCCAGGTACAGTGGAATTGGAGAGGGGACAGGGACAAAGCCCACTGAGGACACAATAGAGCCCAACTGTTCTGGTTCTGCTCCCACTTCCCAAAGTCACAGGCATGGGCTGGCAGACCATAGGCTCTGGAAATTTCTCCAAACATCTCCAACCTATTTGGACTGCTCACCTGGCACTTAAGATGTGCCTGGGAGGCTGATTTTTAAGATTTATTTAGGAAGATTCAGTGTTGCTGTGGTCTTGGGAGGGCTCCCTCTCAACCCAATGCTGGAGCCAAAGGATAGTAAGGCACCCTCTTCTCTGGGCTGGCCAAGTGACAGGGTCTTTTTCGGAGTCTGCAAACTGGCCACTTCTCCCTAAAGGGGGCGCCAATGGCAGAAATTTCTAAGGGCAATTCCTTCCACACTGACACTGGCTAGGCAGGCTAGGCAAACTGACCCCAGGAGGCCTTAATCCCTCCTTAGGTGAAATGAGGAACAAAGGTTGGCCTCTGGAGCTGGGCAGTGGAGCCAGGGCCTTCAGGGAAGAAAGGGCTGTTCAGTGTAGTCTCCAGACCCCATGCCTCCCTCGGGGAAAGCGCAGGCCTGAGCCCAGACTAGAGTCCTGTCAGTATGCAAGAGGCTCAGCAGGGGGAATCCTAGGTCTCCCCCCCCCCCCGGAGGACCTAGGACTGGCCAGCGGGGCCTCACCTCCCTCTTCAGGACATCCTTTCACCTCCATGGTGGCTCTGTCCTTGCAGAAACCAAACACCATGTGCGACGAAGACGAGACCACCGCTCTCGTGTGCGACAATGGCTCTGGCCTGGTGAAAGCTGGCTTTGCGGGTGACGACGCCCCCAGAGCGGTGTTCCCCTCTATCGTGGGCCGCCCCCGACACCAGGTCAGCCGCTGGTCCGCGGAGGGAGCGGGCGGTCCACCCGGCTGAGGCAGCGACACCCTCAGCAGCGGTTAACCAGAGCCCGGTGTCTCCGCTCGCAGGGCGTCATGGTGGGTATGGGCCAGAAGGACTCCTACGTGGGCGACGAGGCCCAGAGCAAGAGAGGTATCCTGACCCTGAAGTACCCCATCGAGCACGGCATCATCACCAACTGGGATGACATGGAGAAGATCTGGCACCACACCTTCTACAACGAGCTGCGCGTGGCCCCCGAGGAGCACCCCACCCTGCTCACCGAGGCCCCGCTGAACCCCAAGGCCAACCGTGAGAAGATGACCCAGATCATGTTTGAGACCTTCAACGTGCCCGCCATGTACGTGGCCATCCAGGCCGTGCTGTCCCTCTACGCCTCCGGCCGTACCACCGGTGAGTGTCCCACGCCGCCAAGCGTCCCCTCCCTGCGCCCCTCCAGAGCTCCGCACCGTCCCGGCCCTGCGCCCCCATCCCCGCCGCGTACCCCGAGTCCCGGCCGCCGCTCACGCGCTGACCGCTCCGCGCAGGCATCGTGCTGGACTCTGGCGACGGCGTCACCCACAACGTGCCCATCTACGAGGGCTATGCTCTGCCTCACGCCATCATGCGCCTGGATTTGGCCGGCCGCGATCTCACCGACTACCTGATGAAGATCCTCACGGAGCGCGGCTACTCCTTTGTGACCACAGGTGAGCGCTCGGACGCCCGGGGCCCGGGAGGGGACAAGAGAGGGGATTGGCGGGGTCCCCGCGCTGAGGCCGCTCCGCTGCTCCCGCCCCGCAGCTGAGCGCGAGATCGTGCGCGACATCAAGGAGAAGCTGTGCTATGTGGCCCTGGACTTCGAGAACGAGATGGCCACCGCCGCCTCCTCGTCCTCCCTGGAGAAGAGCTACGAGCTGCCCGACGGGCAGGTGATCACCATCGGCAACGAGCGCTTCCGCTGCCCCGAGACGCTCTTCCAGCCCTCCTTCATCGGTGAGGCCCGCCCGGGCCCCTCTGGCCCTCCGTCCCCTCCCCGCTTAGTCCCTGCTCATGCGGCCCCCTCCGCGCCCCCCAGGCATGGAATCTGCGGGGATCCATGAGACCACCTACAACAGCATAATGAAGTGCGACATCGACATCAGGAAGGACCTGTACGCCAACAACGTCATGTCTGGGGGCACCACCATGTACCCTGGGATCGCTGACCGCATGCAGAAGGAAATCACCGCGCTGGCCCCCAGCACCATGAAGATCAAGGTGGGCGGCTTCGCGCCCCGGGCGGGGGCGGGTGGCTGGGACAAGAGGCCCGGGTCCCGCAGACTGACGCTTGCTCTGTCTTTTGCAGATCATCGCCCCCCCTGAGCGCAAGTACTCCGTGTGGATCGGCGGCTCCATCCTGGCCTCGCTGTCCACCTTCCAGCAGATGTGGATCACCAAGCAGGAGTACGACGAGGCCGGCCCCTCCATCGTGCACCGCAAATGCTTCTAAGCGCCCCATCGCCCGGCGCGCGCACTCTCCTCAGGACGACAGGCTCAGGTCGCAGGGCTGCCCTTCCCCCGCGGGTAGCGTCATCTGCGAGCGCTCCATCGCTGCCACCGCACCTGTTCTTAACGTGTACATACCTCATTTTGTTATTTTTAAAACAAAGCCCTGTGGAAGGAAGAGGAAAACTTGAAGCATTAAAGTCAGGCATTCTATTTGCTGCAGAAAAGTGTGTGTTGTCTTTATTTACTGGGGGGCGAGCAAGGAGCAGGAAGAATGACCCTAACCCCCTCACTTTTCACAATGCTCCAAATGGGTGTGACCTTAAAAGAGGACGTTAACTCTCCCCACGCACCCCGCAGTTTCCCCCTGTGAATCAAATCCATTCCCCAGCACTGGGGGCTTTGTGGCTGGACTCCACTCTGTGTGTGGCCAGGAGCCTCCCTCCCTCTGCCCCAGGGCAGCACCACCATAAGTGGCCATCCACCAGGCACCCAGCGGCAGCAGCACCATTGTAAGTGGCTCCTGGTGCATGCGCTGACCATGGTGCTGCCCGGAACCCTTCACAGAGCTCCCTGTAGAAGCTGCAGGTTTAACTGAAAGGGTTATGTTCTTCGGTTAATGAGCCAGTTTTAACAGTCACTGCCTCTTCCAAACTGGGAAGCCCTTTGCTTGGCGCCAGCTGCTGGTGATACAAGAATTGCCTTTCTTGGAGGGCTAGGAAGGAGTGCCCTAGGGTGAAAGGAGGGCCAGGAAGGGTAGGGAGCGCCCCAGAAAGGACAGTGCTGAAGGTGGCTAGAGAAGTGTCAAGAGCAGGCAGGGCAAACGAAATGGACAAGGGAGGGGGAACACCCCCCAAATGTTTTAAAGCCCAAAGTATACTAACAGGGTTTGAATTTCTATGAGAGAGCACAATAGCTGTTTAAAGAACTAGATCACTGTCCTAGTCAAGATTGCCAAGTCTTGATTGCACCATCCCCAAAGAAGTCAACAGATTCCAACTCAAAGAAGGTACTAAACACGTTTGGGAAGCAAGTTTAGAGGCGGGATTGACAAAGTAGCTGTGTTCTTTGCCACAGGACTGCATGCTTATCCCTTCCTTGTGGCCTGTTGACAAGCTTCAGCAAACTTTGATGCTGTCAAGGCAGAGATGGTACCAGATCCAGTTATCAAGAGAACTGGCCGGTTAGTAAAGCTTAGGACTTTAATAAAGCAGGCACTGATACCACGTTCACAAAGAATAATGAATCTTCACCCTACCCAGTGTGGATGAAGGTTTAAAATGGGCTAAATCCTAGTGTTTTAGAGCAACTCAGCTTTTTGTCAATAATACCACACATACACAGGGTGCCTGACATGGTGGCTGGTCATGTCTGAGCCAACCGCACACATGCACAGCCTGAATAACTCATGTCTCTAGCAGCCTGGAAAAGCATCCTCAGTGTCCTGTGAGTTAGCTGACAGTCATCTTACACGTTTGAACCAACACCCTGAGGCACTTAATGGGACTTCAGTGAGACACGAAAGGGGTGCTGGTCCAGCTCTCCTGCAGTCGTAATCAGCAAGTGACTCAGGACACTTCTGGGCAGCCATTCTGTGAGCATCAACCTATATCTAAAACCTGCCCTTGACCCCACTGTTCTGAAAAAAGCGTAAAAATTATGAATTGTGTGGTTCTGCTGGACATGTGCTAAATCTAAAAACCACCTTTCCTTTTCTGACAGTTCCTGAAAAGAAACAAGCATCGAGCGTGATGTTGGTGCCTGTAGCTTCTGTGGTCCAAAATAGGTTATGCTGGGTGTGGGTACTAGCAGAGGGGGAGGGTAAATGGAGAGGTTGAATGAGGGGGAATATGGTGGAAGTAATTTATATACTAGTATGAAAATAGAACAATGTAACTTGTTGAGATTTTAAGTCAGGGAGAGGGAGTGGGGGAGAATGATGGAGAGGGTGAATCAAACCAAGGAACCTCATAAACACACATGGAAATGTCACAATGAACCCCTGTACAACTAATGTATGTTAATAAAAATGTTTTTTAAAGCAAGTTATGCTTATAGGTATTTGGTAAATTGCATTACCTAAATGAAGCCAAAAAGGTGTAGTGTTGTATGGAAAGAAATGAGTATTAAAATCTGAGTGTGTGGTTCACATCTGTAATCCCAGCATCAGGAAGTGGAGGAAGAAGGATCTAAAAGTTTAAGGCCAGCTGGGGTTACATTGTCTTAAAAAACCAAAGCCAAAAACTAGGGCTGGAAATGTGGTAAGCACTTACTTACCTTGAGTTCGATCCCCAGCACGGCAAAAATAAATAAATAATACATAAGTGAGCCTTAAAGAACAAAACAAAAGCCTAGAACATTTGTGCTGTGTAGGGAGAGAAGCAACCATTTCCATCAGTCACCCATGAGTTAGCTGGTCTCTACTGAGTGAATAAAGTATGGCAGATTTGTCATGAAATACTGAGAATCAGTGTCTCTCAGTATTACTTAGGGAATGATGACAAGAAAAAAGTATCTCCATGCCTTCCATGTTCCCTGAAAGAGCATTCGGGGTCCCTGCTGTCAGGAGGGACTTCGCCAAGCTGAAGCACTGCTCCACTCACAGGGAGGCCCGAGGATTTCTGGCCCAAACCCTGCTTCTTGTTTAAAGCTGTTGTTTTTAACCCTGGACCTTAAACACACAATGGTTCTGTTAAGTCCCCAGGATGACAGGGCACCAGCTGGGAGGCCAAAGGGGCCTGGAGCCTGTGCAGTCACAGCTAATGTGCCATGTGTCCACGGGATCAGCTGAACCATGGGAAAAAAAAAAAAAAAAGAATGAAGGGATGAAGGGTAAAAGGGACAGTGGAAATAGGTCAAAGTGATAAATCACTTCTACTGGCGGGATGGGGCTTGTTTTCTGCCTTTTTAGACTTCCATGTTTTTTACAATTTAAGCTTTTCAATAAATATTTCATTAATATTAAAAATATCAACATGAAACTAACAAATGAATAAATAAACAGAAAAGAAAAGGCCCACTAGCTCAGCTGCTCTGAATTCTATTCCCAGAGGCAAAGACAGGTTTGGGCAGATCCATTCCCAGCCCTGTTGGCCACCAAAGGCCAGAGGTCAGGGGAAGTGTTCAGAGCTGGGACTGGGCCAGAGTAGGAGGAGCACCTGAGCTGGAGGGAGGGAACCTGCTTCTCTCAGAGTCCTGTGCAAAGGGCAGGGGCAGTAAGAAGAGAACCTGGCCTGGCTGGGTAGCCCAGGATGCTGGGTTCTACCTCACTGTGGTTCTCCCCTAAGGGCTCAAGGGAAACAGAGAGGGAGGGGAGAATGTTGGCCAGGAGAGGAGACTCTGGGTTCTTCCCCCACCAACTTCCCTGAGAGGTCCTCAAAGTCTCCTCCACACTTTTCCCTTTCAGAACCCAGGGTGCTCAGCAGCCCCTCCCTCCCTCCCTCCAATCTCTATTCGTCTGGTGACTGGGCTGAACTTCCAGAAGAGGCTTATAGGAAGCAGAACACCTCATCTGTGTCTAGAGTCAGATTTTCTCTGATTTTTGTTCCAGTCTCCAGTACTCAGCACAAAGTGGTGGTAAGATGAAGGAGGGGCCGTGGCTTCCTTTGGGAGACCCAGGCAGACCCATGCTGAGATTCCCAGGGGCTCCAGCAACTTCTCCTTCCATGGGGGCCCAGCGAGCAGCTTGTGTTCTCTTCCTACCACCCTGGGCCTGCAGGCCAGGGATCTAGATTTGAAGCTGAATGGGGGTCACAGCAACTCGAAATTATGAGATCTTTCTCTCCTAAGGCCAGGCTGGGCGTGAGAGGTGCTGACCCACTTGCAGGGTGCCCGTTACCTGCTGCCCCAGTTCCAGCACTGTGGTGGGAGGAGGGGGGATGCAGCAAAGAGGCACTGCACTCTCTCTGAGGGGTGGCCCAGGCTCTGGGGAATGGGGATAATGGTTTTTGTTTTCCCGCCCAGGCCGCAGGAGAACACAAGCCCCCAGCCAGGAAAATGTCTGTTTTCTCCTTTCCCTCCACCCAGCCCTCTTGGTTCTCCAAGTCCACAGGGAGAGTGGATCTCAGCATGGAAGTCAAGATATGCAAAGTCTTGATTTAGCTCATTTTCCTGTGGACCCAGAACTCTGTCGCTCATTCCCAATTAATTCAGAGCTTATTTACAACTGAGCACCTACTGTGTGCAGGAGATGCAGCAGTGAGCCAAAAGAACCAGGGCCTGCTCCCTTGGGGAGCCTACAGTCCAGCGTGGGAGGTATACACTAACCAAGCAGTAACAAACGTTAAGGGGCCTGGACTTGAGGTGAGTTGTCCCCACCCTGCAGGGAGGTCGCACCTGGGAGAGGAGGGTGCAGAGGGAGGCTGCTGAGTAGATACTGTTTTAAGCAGGGAGTAGGGATAGGGCTGGCTTGTGCAGGAGGGGACTCTGGACCTTGATGATGCTCAGGCTTGTGGCTCCCTCATGCACCCATGTGCTCCTAAGGACTTCCTGGGGGAGAGGCAGATTGGTACCCTGGAAGTGTGGCCAGTGGAGTGTGCCCTGGGATGAGGCTGCCAGCCAGTTCACTTCCTCTCAGCTTGCTGGAGCCTTGGGGCTGGCAGGGAGATTGCTCTCTGTAGAAAACCCAAGGAGACCACACGAGTGTGAGCAGCCATGCTGCTTTGGTCTCCTCCTATTTCTAACACTAACTTAGGGGAATGTTAGAGAGAAAATGTCTTGAGAAACCTTAGATAGTTCTGTTTCACACAGGGTCTTAGAGGCAGGTACTCCAGAAGGGAGGGGAAGACGGGGAGGGGAGGATGGAGAGAATAGGTAGGGATAGCAGGAGGGGAGGGAGTGGGGAGGAAGGAGGGAGAGGACCGGCAGAGGTAGCAGCAGGGGAGAAGGGAGGAGGGAGGGAAGGAGAGAGGGGATAGGCAAAGGGAGGAGGAGGGGAAGAGGGATGGGAGAATGGGGTTGAGGGGAGGGGAGAGAGGGCTTAGGGGTAGTGGGAGGATGGGAAGGAAGGAGGGGGACTGGAGGCAGCTGTTGGCTGAGCCCTCGCCTGCCTGCCTGCCTGCCTGCGGCGGTGAGTCACCACGCAGCGCCCACTGCCTGCCTCTATTTTTATATCAGTGCCTGCTCACATCTGACGTTAAATAAGCCTTCCAGCTGGTGGAGGGGAATCTGATGGCAGAGGGTGAGGACCGAGGGAACAATTTGGAAGTCTAGATAGGAATTGT